CATCAAAAAATCTGTCAAAAGTTAGCTCTCAAAGGTAACAATCTATCACTTTGGTCACAACAAGAATATAGTGCGAAGAACAATACATTAGCTTGCAAGTAATGGATGGATGAAGACGTAGAAATGGTAATAGGAGAATTCTTTAACCAAAGATTTTTTAGAGTTGTAGATGGATATTGCCGAAGCAGATGATGTTGCTTTACCTATGGGGTCAGTTGATTTCAATTCTGCACATAATACATCATCATCTGCTGCTCCCGTTGTTAATTTGTCAACGGAAGATGAAAATGACCCTACTTAGGTTATGGATGACGATATTGATGATGATGATAATCAAAATATCGTAATGGAAGATTGTCTTCTTGCCGATAATGCTAGTGGTTTGGACAATGATGAGGAACCTGGTCTGGCCGCAACTCAAATCCAAGAATATCAAGATGTGGAGGAGTCTCAATTCCCGAAACTTCATGCCATGGGCTCGACTCAATTACCACAACATTCTGAAGGTGTGTTACTAAACAACACATATTCACATGTATGTCTAGCTTTGTTTATGTAATTTTTTTTTAAGTTACTAGTATTAATCCGCACATATAGGTGATGTTGTTACTCCTTTTTGGGGTGGAATTCCACGTTACACACTCATTGATTGGGATCATTCGAGTCAACAAGATTCTTATACTAATGGTTCAGGTTCAGTTGAGGGACCATGGCTATAAGGGAATAAGTTGTTTGTTAAGCAGGAATTTACATAAAAAAAAGATGCGCAGATGGCAATCAAGCAGAACCTCATGAAGGAGCATCAAAAAGCTATTATGGTTGAGAGCACACTTACAAAGTTAAGCATGAAATGTCATGCATATGAGCAGGGTTGCCCGTGAAGGGTTAGAGTAATCAAACCAACGTACGGTAAAAAATAGATGATTACCAAATGGGGTGGGGACCACATTTGCTTGAATGACCACATTTCTTAGGATCGCAGACAACTTGATGTTGATGTTATTGCTTCACTTGTAGTAGGTACATTATTGGATAGTCTGATAATTATGAAAAATATATGATATTTTTGTTATTCTTAATGTATACGCTACATTTTGATTATTAGGAATGATAAAGGAGGAACTGTAATGCCTGACAACTTGCAAGGATCAACAACTGTCCCCACACACTAACACGAGACTTTTCAGCGTGCTTTGTCCTCAGTCGCACACTTCTCGGGAAAACTTCCCAGGAGGTCACCCATCCTAGAATTGCCCCAAGTCAAGCACGCTTAACTATGGAGTTCTTCCGTTCCGGGCTATCGAAAAGTAGATGCATCGTGTTAGTATAGGTAGTACCAATTAATTCTTATAAGTTATTCCCAACTACACCGTCCTATACCAGCACAGTCTCTGGAATCCCTCTCTTTCGGGTGTTGATTCGATTTATTCATGTACCCCCGTCGCTGGAAGCCTGACAGGAGCCGCTCCTTGTCCATGCCCTGATGGTTTTGTATATCATTATAGACAAATAAAATACCTTCCAAATATTTTATCCAATTGAAATTTTAAAAATGACTTGGCGATGAATCAACAATTCGAAATGCTTTTCTTGCGTATTCTTGATAAACCAGCATTTATATATAGATGTAGAAAGCTCTGTTGCACCGGCGATCACTCCCCGCCCTCGTCAGCGCTCAACATGTTACATGCCCACCAGCTTCCACCTGGTTCGTCCTCGAACCACACCGTACTGGAAGAGAGGCCCTGCTCTGATACCACTTGTAATGCCTGGCAACTTGCAAGGATCAATGACTGTCCCCACACACTAACACGAGACTTTTCAGCGTGCTTTGTCCTCACTCGCACACTTCCCGGGAAAACTTCTCAGGAGGTCACCCATCGCATAATTGCCCCAAGTCAAGCACGCTTAACTATGAAGTTCTTCCATTCCGGGCTACCGAAAAGTAGATGCATCTTGTTAGTATAGGTAGTACCAATTAATTCTTATATGCTATTCTCAACTACACCGTCCCATACCAGCACAGTCTCTGGAATCTCTTTCTTTCAGGTGTTGATTCGATTAATTCATGTACCCCCGTCGCTGGAAGCCTGCCAGAAGCCGCTCCTTGTCCATGCCCTTTCGCACCGGCGATCACTCCCCGTCCTCGTCAGCGCTCGGGATGTTACAGGAACCATCGGTCTCAATTGCATTGGTTCAATAAAAGATCACCCATTAATATGGATTCAGAGAAATATGTTAGAGAGAAGATATAAGTGAAAAAATGAAGTTGGGGTATATACTAGGGTGCAAAGTGGCGCCTAGGTGAGGCGTCACCTATTGCGCCTGGATGAGGCGCCACTTTGCACAACTTGTGCCTCACTGGGGTGCGACTTGTTGCGCATAGCTAGGACACAACCGAGTGCAAACAAATTGATTTAAAACGATTATATTTTTATATTTTTTTATTAAAATAATAATATATTATTTTTTTTTTTGCCAAATTTCATGATATTAGCCTGCGATACCCGGACACGCCTTTTTTTAAAAAAAATTCATGTCGGACACCGACATGCTCCGACACACGGTCAACTCTCCAACACGTTTTTCGACACGCAGTCAACTTTTTTCGACACGTGATCAACGCTCCGACACGTTTTTTTTTTCAGTCTTCATTTTATTTTATTAACTAAAAATAAAAAATTTATTTATAAATCAATTTTTTTCTGTTATGAAATTTGACATGAAAAATTAACAAGGTACAAAAAATTATTTTTGTTTATATTTATGTTATGAATTTGAATATTTGATTGGTTATATGACTTATTATGGACTGATATATATGTATTAAATATAAATTAGATTATATATATATTAAAAATATTATTTAATATTATTTGATTGGTGATTTCTAAGTAAAAGAAGCAAGGAATTAATCATAAATGTGTGAAAATAAGCTCATAAATGCAAGAAATATTTGATTATTCCTTCTCAATCATTCTCTTGCTCAATTTATGCATTTTGATAGCAGGAAACATCAAAAAGAAGTGAAAGAGAGAAGTTGAAATTGCATAGTCTTGCGCAAAACGCATGAAAATGGCGCGATCCGCGTGATTTTGGCAAATTACTTTCTGTTTGTACGCGCGATCTGCGCGGATTTGGCACTGATCGCGTGGGCGTCATGAATGCATTCCTTGATTTGTGTAGTTTGATGGAAATGGAAATTTAATCAAATTAATGAGAGGATTATGACCTGATTGATTGGTGGAATTATGAGGAAAATGAAAATTTAATCAGAATTAATTAGAGGATTATGACCTGATTGAGTAGCTGGCTATATAAAGGAAGCAGAAACTCTAAAAGAGGATCATCTTTTGGCAAGGAGAATTGGAGAGGAAGCTCTCGGTGACTGAAGATTCAAGACTTCTTCTTCTTCCGGTTTACATTTTCATAAACTCTTTCTCATTATTGTTTTGTCACACATGAATATGTCTGGCTAGTCTTTTATATTGTGGTAAGGGTCACAACCCTTGATGTGAACCCCTTATTTTACTCTGTTCTTCATCCCATAATTCTTTTAGAATTCGCGACTCTACTAGGATTGCGAGGGTTAGGGTTCGCAATAGGGATATTGGGATTCTAATTCCTGACAAAGGGTAAGATAACTGTTCATGTAAGCACTAGGGATAAGCTATATGAACTGCAAACATGGAAAATTCACTGGGCTTAAAGATTAACTTGAAAAAGGATTTCTAAGGGATTAGGATTCTAATAGGGTTAATAAGGTTAAGATCACTAAGAGATTAGAACTTAACTAATTAATTATAGATGGTGAATTGTTTGATCAATTGGGTAATTAAACATAAATATTAATCATTATTACAAGGTGGGGATCAGAAAGGTGTTGGAGTCCTTTACTGCAATAGCTTTTTACAATAATTTTCTCAAAAACCTTTTATTTTAAAGTCTTCAAATTTCTTTCTGAATTGTTCATAAATTATTGAATAGTTCACAATTGTTACAAACACCATTACTTTCAAACCAACTCTTGTTCATCCATTCTTAAAAGGAACAATTAATTGATATTCGACCCAATCCCTGTGGAGACAATACTTTACTTACTATTATATTACTTGTGCGATCGGTGCACTTGCCGATTTTTCGCAACACCCAACGTGTCAAAATATGTCATTTTTTAGAATTAACGTGTCGGCGTGTCGTGTTGTGTCTCGTGTCCCATGTCAGTGTCGGTGCTTCATAGATATTTGCTGTTATTTTCATAAATAGATATAGGGTTATATTAGTATAATGTTACATGAAAATCAATGTTTGTTCTAGCACAAACATAAAAGAAGAAAGAGAAAGTGAGTTTAGGAGAAAGAAAAGAAAAAATTGTGGGCCCCATAAGTTTTTGTTTGAGTAGGGAAACAACTTTAAATCATGTTACATGATACATACATTTCCCATAGATATATTCTAAAAAATAAGTCTCTCACATCCAACATTAATCATACTGTAACTACATCATATTCTCCAATATCCTTGATTTCGTAGATATTGAAACCCAATTACATTCGTTCTCAGCAATGACAGCATAAGAACTGCATCTTGATTAGACTGCACTGCACATTACATTATCTCCTCATCAATAATGTATAAATGCATAATTATCACCTAAAACAAAAGGTATAAACCAAGCTATACACAAAGAAGGAAGGAGATCATTGAAGTATCATATTTTGTCTGGGCCTATCCTCCTTAATGGGCCTGCTTGTTCGGGCTCTTCCAAGTTCCCACAATTAAAACAAAAAAACCAAAAACAAAACAAAACAAATTGCCTCCTCAAAAGGGTTGCTAGAACTTCCATTTGACGCTTGAATGTTCATGAATATTCGAGAACGTTATGATCTTTTTCAAAAAAGGTAAACTAAGAATTCGATCTAATTCATATTAAAAGTATAAATAATTCTAAATTTCATTGATTATATGATATTTACTCTTAAACGTGATAAAACGTACTATTCAATATTCACTTCTTTTTGAAAAAAGCTTCTTAAAAAGTGCATGAAAAACAGCGTGGTGATGCAAGCTTTTTCGAAATACCAAAACGGCAAGAAACCCAAGTCTTATTAGAGTCACAAAGCAGCGTGGCATTCAGTGAGAAAACAGCGTAGCTAGCGGCATTCATTCTGAAAATAAAAATAAAAATGGGGAATCGACGGTTCACTCTGGTGGCATCCAGCGACGAAGAAGACAATGCACCGCCTCTTCCCGATTCTAAGCAGCAATCTACTGTAACTGGCGCTGAAGAGAACCCTTCGAAGCAGCGGAGAAGGAAGAGAATGAAGCTTCCAGAGGAAGAGGAAGAGGAAGAGGAAGAGGAGGAGGAGGAGGTTGACAAGAAAACGAAGAGGAAGCCGAAAGACAAGGAAGAGGAAGAGGAAGAGTCTGACGACGAAGAAGAAGCGCCACAGGAGGACGCTAAGCCCATTGGCGAACCAGTTAGGGTTTCCGGAAAAGGAAGAGGCAGGAGGAAGCATTTTGACTCCTTCGAGTATGATGGGAACCAATATACACTGGTATCTCATCTCATTGTTCTATTATATTAGCTTTTCGCATTTCCATTAACTTATTTTGAATTTGAGGGAAATAACTTACCGCCATTGCATTAGAACGCATGAATTTCACTATTTTATTTTTTCTTGCGCTGATAGGGTTTGCGTCATCTACATAACTGTGTTAGTTTCTATGGCTTAGATTTCTGTAACTGCAATCAAAATGACAGCAACTGAGTAATTGTGGGGAAAAGAAAGATGATTCTCCTGCTACACAAGTGTATCATCTAATTTAAGATTGTTTCTTAAAATTCCCTGTAGCATAGGTTCAACAATGGATAGCTGTGAGTCCGGGCCGACTCCAAAACAAAGACCGAGGTGTTCTGTTGTGGAGACTTGCTGGAGAGAGAAAACAAAATATGGAATGAGTTGAGAGAAAATAGAGGCAAGGAGCCATTGTTAATAGATTGCGAAGTTGGTCGAAGGAGACTGTGAACTCTCAATAGCTTCCCGGTACACGGCTAGAAGTGTGATGGGGCAGATGTGCTTGTCGGAAAGTGAGTAGAGAGGCAGGAGTCGAGAGTTAGGGTTTGAAACTTCGAAGCTAACATTATTAGGAGAAAAAAGAGTCAAAATTCGAGTACCCCCTTAATATATGCATGGGAGATTAGTCACACATGGGATCTGACTCCCCCTTCATTATAGCGGCTCCATTGCGCTGCATCGCGATGTTGCGAAAACAGTGGCTCGGGCAGCTATTCACATCTGTGGCACGATAACAACACGTATAATAACTGTGCTTAGTATGCACTTTAACCACAAAAAGCTTGATTATTCATCTAATGACAATGTAACTTTTAGCCTTTTCAAACCTACTTGTTGCATCTCTCTATGTTGCTTTTCCACCATAGTTATCAATCACGGGTAGCAACCAACCCCAAAAACACTATAACGATATAGCAGGTAGCGAGCTAGCGGCATAGCTGCTATAGTGAAGTGAGGCAAACTTGCCGAGGTGAACAAAACAAAGGCATTGTGGAGTCGCAAACAGAACCAAACTTGCTTTGAGTGAACAGCAGAATGAGTCCAAACTGTGGAACCACAAACAAAAGCAATCTGTGGAACCCTAAATCGTCGGAACTTGAAACTGTGATGGGCTTGCCCGAAAGTGAGTCGATATAGGCAGGAGTTGAAAGTGAGTCAAGAGAGGGAGGAGTCCAGAGATAGAGTTTGAAACTTTGAATGATAACATTATCAGAAAATAAAAAGGGCCAAAAGTCTATTATACCCCCTTAAATTGCACATGTGACCGAGTTCCATAGGGGCAAATATGGAATTTTCCCTTCCTTCACTATAGTGGAGCGATTGCTGCTATTACTGCAAATAATTGCGTTGCATGATGAAAATCGCAGCGGGAAGATGTTACGTGCATATATAGCGCGATTTATCGCGTGATATTAATAACCTAGTTCTTTACTGGCTTTGTCATTCCCAGTCTTCCTACTTCCTGGCTACTGAAACTGAACCCTAGTTTAAGGCTTCTGACATAAAGTTGGCTTGGGCATTGTTCGAGAGGTTGATGGTTATTTTCTGAAATTGGGTTCTAAAACATTCTCTCTTGAGAACTACGTTGCATTTTTATTTTTTTGATATTGCAACTTACTGTTATTCTTGGCATATTGTTTGCGTAGGAGGACCCTGTACTTCTCGTGCCTGAGGACAAAGACCAAAAGCCGTATGTTGCTATTATTAAGGTAAATTCCTTGTCTACTATTTAATTCTGCCCTAAGTTGACTACAGTTTTGAAGATACGTTGGGTTGGAACATTAAAGTTTTATGATACTCGATATATGCTTAGATATCATATACATGATTTTGGGCATTGGTGAAGAGTAATAAATTCTACAAGAAGTACAAGTAGATTTTTCCCCTTATTTAATAATCAATACATGTTTTTATGGTTCACTATTTCATGTGTTTAATATCCTTGGCACATGTATGTGCTAGGGTTAGCATGTTACTTTGCTCTTTTTTGAGTTCTGGTCACTAGGTTGCCAAAATTTTGTCATGTTGTATGCAACATATGTTGTCAATCAGCTTGAGCTGTGTTGGTGTTATGACAGGTTTGGTGCTCCCTTTCTCTTTTCTCCTCTTCCATGCTTGGGGGAAGAGGGGGGTGTTATTCCTTCCTTTTTCTCTTCACCTTTTGATTTCTCAAGTTGCTTTGCTGTTAGGACATTGCACAATCCCAAAATGGTAGCGTGATGGTTACAGGACAGTGGTTTTATCGTCCTGAGGAAGCAGACAGAAAAGGTGGTGGCAAATGGCAAGCATGTGATTCAAGGGAGCTGTTTTATAGTTTCCACCGTGATGAGGTTCCTGCAGAATCTGTTATGCATAAGTGTGTGGTGCATTTTGTTCCTATACACAAACAGTTTCCAAATCGCAAGCAACATCCCGGGTTTATTGTGCAAAGGGTGTATGACACAGTAGAAAGGAAACTCTGGAATCTAACTGATAAGGACTATGAGGATAATAAACAGCAAGAAATTGATGAGCTTGTTCAGAAAACTATTCAAAATTTGGGTGAAGAACTACTTGACATCGAGGTTGAAGAAGCTGTTGTTGATGAGGAAGATCTGATGAAAAGTAATAGAATCTTGAGGGAAAGGAGTATTTCACCTCTCGATGTTACAAGGGAGGAGGAAACAGCTCATAAAAGCAACCAACCTCTGAAACCTGAAACACCAGGGAGTTCTGTAAATAATGCCTCGGAGCATTATCGCATATTGGTGGATTTCAATGTACTAACAGGAGATACCCATAGGGACAAAGGTTTGGAGAAGTTGCTTCAAAGTGTTCAATACATATTTAATTCTGATGACGGCATAAAGAAGGATCACAGAGGAAATGGCAATTCTGATGCAATAAAAAATGGAAGCAATAACAAAAGCATAGAATTAGCAAATGAATACAAGGACAAGGTTCAGAAGGTATATGATGAATTATCCAATTGTGGTTATGATTTCCTGTTTGGGATTATTGATTCTCTTGTAATCTTCTATTTATTTTCCTTTTCCTAGAGGGTTATAATGAATTCAGTATTTACCTTTTTGGCTCTACAGAGTTCCAAGTCTTTCGTCTGGCCAGATGTTGCTGTTCCAGCTGTAGTTGCTCTGGAGAAAGCTTCACATGATACTCTTTCATCGGATTATCAGAAGTATAACCAGAAGTTACGTCAATTAGTATTTAATCTCAAGGTTAGGAGCTGCTCTTGTAATATGAATCATTTACTTTAAATGCTTATAGACATTGATGTAAAAGTACATATTGCTGCTATGTACAATGGAAAAAGGAAAGAAAAAATTGGCTGGCTTAACAATGATGATATTTTCTCTATTATTGATGTCTATCATTAGTTCATCACGATCAGCATCACCACTATCAATGCTCTAGAGCTGTTTTTGGCTTGAGAAATAAATGTGAATATCTTTGTGTTTTTCTGCGTTGATAATGATGGCTTGCTTATATTTATTATTCTATTTTTTCTGGGATTTTTTTTTTCTAGAATAATGCATTGCTGGCACGCCGTCTACTAAATGGAGAGCTGGAACCTTCAAGAATATTGAATATGACACCCAGTGAGTTGAAGGTATATTATCTACTAGGATTTTTTTTTTCATTTCATTTGCTCTTTAAGCTGTCTGCTTATATGATGAATTTGGTTTGCAGATTTTATACTATTAATTTGTGATTTAAACCGGTTGCTTCTTACATCAACTACATCTTTATCTCAAACAAGTTAGGGTCGGTGGCCAATTAACCCAAATGAAAAAATAAAAAAAAAAGATTGAGAGAAAAAATTCCTCGTGCTTTTAAATATTGCTAGGAAATGACTTTGAAAGCCTTTTGTGTTTTTTTTTTGTTTATTTACTGAAACAGCAGAAAAATAACAAGAGCTTCATAAAGCAACTAGGGATTTCTTACTCGTAACATCGATCATCAATTCTCAAAGCTACTTTTGGAAAGAGTAATCTGGTTGTTGATTTTGTGGTTATTATAATTATTAACAAAGTATTTGAACTCCAGGAGGGTTTAACTGCTGAGGAAATATCCAAGAAGGAGCCGGATGAGTCACAGCACATTCAGGTCATTTTTATTTCCCACCTCACTCTTTATGTTATCTGTTATATTGTGTGAAGATATTTGCTGATTGTTAGCTTTTCCGTCCGGGAAACAGATGACGGATGCCCGCTGCTCAAGATGCTCCGAGTCTAAGGTGGGCTTGAGGGATATTATCCATGCAGGACATGGTGACCGATATCAGGTTTGCACCATCTTATTTATTTATTTATTTATTACTGGTTTCTAAAATTCCAAAATGATCTCCTGCACTTTTTATGACTTGGGGTTTGATTGCTGCTCTGCTTGTTCAGCTTGAATGTATTGCCTGTGGTAATTCCTGGTATGCCTCACGTGATGCGGTGTCAGTGCTGACTATTGATGCATCTGATTCAAAAAGAAGTGTAGGCGCAGCGCCATGGGCCACAGCAAAATTTGAAGATGTTGAGAAGAAGCTGGTGAGTCCCCGTGAATCTGCAAAGTCGGCCAATGACATCTTTAAGAAAACTAGCGAAACATACATGCCTGTTTTGGACACCAAGAAATCATTTGGCAAGTCGAGGAAAGATGAAAACGCTGAAGCTACAAAACATGCTGACTAGGAATATTCTACCCTACCCCGTATAGTATTTAGTTTAAGGAAAATCTCTTTTTCTTTTGGTCTGGTTGTAGCAAAGGATTGAGCTTAGTTTTCTTCCAGTTTGATTGTGCATACAATAAGCCGTTGGCTTTCCGTATAGCTTTAACTAGACTAATGGATTTTTATCTATACTTTACATATAATGTTACAGAAATGCCAGCTTATAGGGTTATATCTGAATTTACGTTGGATTTTTCTTGTCCTTGAACACCTTTGTGTGTTGGGGATGATTGTGAGGTTTGAGGTTTAGGTCATTATTTTCTATCTTCAATATAAAATAAACTTTACGATAAACGTTTAATTCTTTTAAATACTATTTAAATAAATTGGTTAGGTATATATTTATATTAAAGTAAAATAATTATAAATGTTTACGTCTCACTGCTTTATTTTTATCCTTAAAATTATATTTTTCCGTTTATGTTTGTGTATATTGCTTTACTTTGTTTTTTTTTTAATGCATATTTTTTTTGAGAAAATATTTATCATATTATATGAGATAAAATTATTTTATATAATATATAAAAAGTAGATGAGATTTATTTTATTTTATTTTTCTCTCTTAACTGTAGATTTTACTTATTTTTTTATATATTGAGAAATATATTTCCCTCTGGGGTTTGTACTAATGGCCTTTCATTAACAGTAACATGAAATTAGAATTGGACGATCTGGAGAAAATAAAAAAAAAATGCAGGTCGTCTGAGTCCAAGATTCCGTGGGTTTGATATGAGCCACAGTCATTGAATTTGGGGTCCCTCTGCCAATCCAATCTCACATGCAAATGCAATATTCTCGTTTTTCTCCTTACCTTTCTTCACCTTGGGAAAATTTACGCCTCTACCCCCGCTTGCAAGAAAAATCCTTTGATTTAACTTGGTCAAAATATCTTTTCCTTTCATGTTAAAATTTATAAATATGAAATTTTTGTGTCTATTTAATTATTATTAATAAAGAAAAAAATAAATATAAAAAATTTATATGACCCTGTTACATGACAATCTTTTTACATGACAATCTTTTTGGAATGAGTTTTTTTTTTAATTTCTGTTCTTGGGAACAAAAATGGATGAGAATTGCGTTTGATAAAATCGGTTTATATTTTTGTTCTCGCGATGAACCGGTCTTTTTTTATGCTGGGGAATAAAAAAGAATCAAAAAATTTCTTTGGATACGAAATCAATCAAAAAAATTCTGCTTTTCTATTTCTGGGCACAAAAAGAGAATCAGTTTACTCTCACACTCTCGTGACTTTTTTTCTGCTCACACACTAACACTGAACTGTCACTGGCCTTCAACCACATATCACCGGATCACCACCCCTCCCTTCACCATAGAAGTTTTTGGTCTCCTTTCCTCTCTCTCTTGCGTTCCCATTTGCAGGTAAAAGCTCCAGACTTTACCGGCCTATCCTTTGCAGAAACACTTTCATCGCCCTCTATTTACTTCATCGCCCAAAAAAAAACAGAATGTAATTGTGCTAACTATGTGAATTACTTCATTGTGATACTCTAATTACTTTAAAACGTTCTGAATTACTCAAGCTTTAATGTTTTGTGTTTCATTGTTTTGAGAGAGCTTTAAAAAAAAAAACAAAGTCATTATCTCTATCTCTCAAAAAAAATTATGTTAACAAATGTAATTCTGATTCTCATAATAACAATAAAATATGTTAACAAATAATTCTAATTCTCAGACCTCTTACAAGGCACAAAAATAAAAATAAAAATCATTTTTTTCAAAAATAGTGCGAGGAATTAAAATGGTTGTCGTGCGCAGCCGAAATGTTAAAATGAAAGAATTGATTCCATTACTTGCCTTGTCCACTTGGAAAATAACAGGGGGTATCATGGTCAATAAAATTAAACAGGTGAATAAATACTCTATAGATCTGATTCGGAATTCGACAAAACTGATTATTGTGTCTAATATCATTATTATATTAATTAATTGTCGGATTCCGTTCTTAATAAGTTAATATGTCATATCTGCCCTTCCCGAAGCTATAAGATAATGATTTGATTTAGAAAACCACTCTTTTTTTTTGTACTGTAACCATAAACAAGAGAACTCGCAGTAGTACTGTTACTGTGGTAAGACATCATTAAATTCCACTATGACCCTTGCCTCTGTGAAACAAGTACCAAAGCCAAATGTTTTTCTTCTATGGGGTTATTTGTCTTTTCACCAGGGGAATCCTCTCTCTTTTTTCTATCGATTCTTTCTCGGGTCGCTAACTTACTTTGCTTAGATCACTGGTCTCATGCTGACTGCAGAGTGAGACACAAATAATAAATAATAATTAAATAATAAGGGAAGGCCCCCAAAAAAAAAAAAAAAAAAAAGCAACATCGCATGATGGTGTCTGAAGAACATGGCTTTTGTTAGTAGTAGTAGTACATGCGTGTTATTGTTGTCTCCTCTCTCTTCCGTTACTCGTGTGTGAGAGAGTCCAATGCTTCTCTCTCTTCTATTTTGTAGCTTCCGTTACTGTTACTGTTTCTAACATTAACATCGCTTTTTGGCTTCATTTGCAATGCTTTATTACTAGCTAGCGGTGATTGAACTAAGCTTGCTTCTTGTTCCAGCCTCCTCCCACTGCTTTTTGTTGCTTATTTTGAGTTACAATACAAATGGGGCATGATTTGACTCTTTACCAAAATGGGTTGGTTTAATAAGTTATTCTCCTTCAGACTTCATGCTCAAGTTTGGAGATTTATGATTATGCACTGAACCTGCCTTGTTGGGTCTTTTTTTTCTTCAGTTCACTTCTCCAAGATCTACTCCAGTATGGCCTTTTCCTTTTTTCCGCTGTTTTTTCTTTCTTTCTTTTGCATTTTTCCCTGCTATAGTTTGGTATCAAAATAAGTGTGTACTTTACTATTTCCTTTTTTTAAAATTAAACATTTTGGAGCACTCATCGGTGTCACTTTACTCACATTTGGGCGTTATACACATCATATAGTGTTCTTTTCAGCCTTTTTCTATTCCTTTTGCAATTGTTTTATCCAACAGATCATACAGCATTTCTTTTTCTGTGCTCGGAATCAATAAATATTGTTCTTTTCAAGTTTTTCTTTTCTTTTTTTCTTGTAATGGTGGGATGCTTCCTTTACAACAATGGTTGTTTGCAAGGTCACAATAATGGTCCTTTACATGTTTTAGGAGAGTGTAGATAACTTGTTCTGCTGTGTAGGTACCGTTTCTTACTTGCAATCAACAATTTGTTTTGTGAAATATCATTTCATGATTTTCATCTCATCATCTAAAATATTAGAGCTTATTGTTACGCCCAAAGTATTGATATAATTTTGTTAGAATATTTTCTAACAAAATATCATATAATATATTGATTATATCTTAATACAGGTTAGCTTTCTCTTTTGTATCATATCAATATACAATATTACCAGGCCTTCTCCTTTTCTTTCTCCCTCAATGCCTAAAAACCCTATAATTTCAACAAATTTATATGGACTAATGAATGTATCTTGTTGCCTCTTGTTTTTTAGTCTAACAAAAATTCCTTAATGGAAGGTTTCCCTTGTCGTCATCTTGTTACTTCTTAGATTAGTTTACTTGTAGCCGTCAGAGATATAAATCTTGTTAGATAATAGGTACCATACAGCATTGTGTCAACTGAAGTTGGGTGTGTCTGTTGCCTTGCCACAAACTAATTTATGTTCTTTTTTTTTTCTTAATGGTATTGCACTAACTGCAGGGCTCTGAATTCATCAATGGGACAAGAGTTGGAGTTGGATCTCAATGATAAGTCTTCAGTAGGTCTGAGTCCCAATACTGTTCTTCCATCTCATCAATATTGTGCAAATGTGAAGAAGAGATCTAAAAAAGGAAAACTCACAGGGAAAGATGATTTTTTTACCCTCAAGGGGGATTTTGCGGAGATCAAATTTGCTCGCTTCCGCAGTTCTTCGTGTAAGAACCATCTCCCTAGACCTCATGGATTGGAAAGCAATATAGATATGAGGCGCAGTAGCGTGTATCAGAGTTCAGAAGAAGTAAAAGATATAAAGAAAATGGGCACTGTAGTAGGGGGAAGGAAAAAAATAGAAATTTCAAGGAGTGATACCTCTTTCCCCGGTAGCATTGTTGATTCTTTATGTGGTTCAGTTGATAAGGGTTTTGAGCAGAGATCTTCAGAGATATCCCAGGATTCAAACTTGGGTTCCCCATCTGTTTCTAGGTCCTGGGCTTGCAAGGAGCCAGACTCATCAAATGGATTCATTGAAATTTGCATAAATCCAGATGCTAAGTGTAAAAACTCTACTGTGCTAGAAAGGAGAGATTCTATAAATTTAAAGTCCAGAAGTGTTAAAGTGGTTGATTCCCTAATTGATGGCAATTCTCCTCTTGGAAAGGATACAGTCCACTCATTGCACAAGTCACTTTCTGCTAAGGTGGAAGTCTCTCACTTGGTATCTCCGATGGAAAGTGATTGCTCATCAAGAGCAAGTCCAAAAGTCCAATTCACCCCTATTAGGAAAAGACTGAATCAATTCACAAAGTCAAAATCTTTGAGAAGTTCAGCGGGTCATGTGCTGGAAACTAATGAGGTCAAATCAAATGAGACAGCAAATGTTACAAGAAACAGGACTTATCAGAAATCTTTGCTAAATGTCTTCTCTAACACCACAAACCATTCTGACATTATTTCCGAGTTTATCAATAGAGAAATCAAGTATTCAGGTATAGCATCTTCACCAGTTCATCTGCATGGTAATCTCAAGTTGGAAAACAAACATGGTGTGCCATTTTTTGAATTCAAGGTGAAGTGTCCTGAAGATGTCTTTGTGGCCAAGACTTGGAGAGCAGGTAATGCTCTGAATTGGGTATATACTTTCCACTCCATTGACAATAGAAAGAAAAGCAATGCTACTGACTTGGGATCCCATGATTGTGACAAAGATTCCTCAATGGTAGCAGAGATGCTAGTTTCCTGTAATTTATGTTCTGAACCAGAAGACAGAGTATTTGACAACTCTATGGTGACAGAATTCGTGTTGTATGATCTTACACACTCAAGACAAAGTGTTTCACGAGGAAAAAAGTCTTTCTGTGAACAAGATGCTTCTAAAACCCGAAAAGTTTCCCATGTTGGATTGAAGGAAGAAACTTTCAGGCTGGATGAAGAGAACCTTGCAATCAAAAACAAACTTCAAGACAAGCCTTTATCAAGCAATGTTGATTTTGTTGATTCAAATTGTTATCCTTTGTTGTCCACTGAATCCCATTCAAACCTTGAAATTGCTGCCATTGTTTTGCAAATTCCGTTTACTAAGAGAGAGAGCTTGAAGTACAAGAGAGGGGATAGAATAAGTGCTAAAGAGTATTTCAACATAAGCGGTCTCTCTACAGTAGTAGATCAGGGTAGAAAGAGTCTTCATGACAGCAAAATCCAGGAACAGATGAAGGTGGTAATACCAACTGGCAACCATGGTTTGCCAAATGTTGAAAGCCGGGGTCCTTCATCATTACTTGATCGATTGAGGCATGGTGGAGGCTGTGACTGTGGTGGCTGGGACATGGCCTGTCCCCTTATTCTTTTAGGCAATCCTAGTATTCAGTTTGCTGAAGACCGGTCACTTATGGAGGAATATCAACCACTGGAACTTTTCGTTCAGGTACAACTTGAATTTCACATAACCTGTTTCTTGAATGGATGTAGGATAGATGAAAAACAAGTATTTTAATTTTGAGTTACTTAGGAGACAAATAGAGAGTAAAGGACAAATTCCGATGAACAAGGCTCTCCGACTTTGCGAGAGTAGGTGTGAGAGTCCATTGTAAGCAACTTTACCCTTATATTTTAAAAAAGAGACTGTTTTCCATACTCAATCCCGTTACCTTCTGGTCACAAAAGAACAATTTTACTGCTGCGTTAGACTCGCCCTCTTACTTAGGTGACAAATATGGAGAGAAAAAACTTCTTGCACTTTTGTATTCCAGTTCCCAAAATGGGTTCGAATTTCTTATGGAGCTATTCGATGTGACTATTAGAAGATAGTTTTGTTCCAGATTTCCAGCAAACCATATGCCATAATGCAATAACTTTTCAGGATGTATTTTAGAGAGTTCAAAAAACTGCAAAAGTTATTTTATTGATAATAAACGACCAAGAAAAAAGTTTATTGATAATATTATGTCCGAGACATTTAATCAACCTCTTCCTGCTTTGAGATGGGTTGCATCTGCTTTTCAAATATGCTGATCGAATCCCACGAACATGTGTTGATGAAAATATTATCTTTTTTATTCATAATTTTTAGTGATTCGCTTTATCTTTTCTTTGCCCCACCCAGTGGGATAAGGATTAGTTATTGTTGTCCTTCATCTTTGCTTATTTGTGCTTTATTTTCCCAAAAAATATGATAGATGCTTTTAAGGAAATTGCAAGTGTTACAGTAGTTAGAAGATCCCTCAAATTAGCTTCAAGAACTCTATCCCATTATTTGTGTTTAGCAACCATTTGATATAAAGATAGAATGCATGCACAGGTTATAACAAAGCAAAAAGATATTGACTGTAGGATTGGACAATGAATTAATTTCATGAGACTTGCATCTCTATAAGCTTTTCGAAAGCAGTGTTTCTTATCACAGCTCTCTTCGAATTCTTCAGCGTTACAGTTTTAACTTGCCTTGTTATGAGATTGTTGTTGTTTTTTCTAGTACTTATCTGATGTTTTGGTGCACAGGGAGCAAAAGAAAATAGTCCTACCTTCAGCATGACAATGGTTGAAGAGGGGCAATATGCTGTTGATTTTCATGCACAGTTATCAACATTACAAGCATTCTCCATCTGTGTTGCTATTTTGCATGGCACTTCTGCCTCCAGCAGTGCAGGGCACGAGAAAAACCAACAGTTATCTCAATGCAGTTCATTGAAAATGCTTCTTGGGGAGGAAGTAGATTTTTTCATCAAATCGGTCACAACCGACAAGAAGACTGTATGCAAGACTCAGAAAGGAATTCCTAGATCCTATGTGCTTAACCCACCTTTTTCTCCTATTGCACGAGTATAAAGTTAAGACTTAATCAGCCCAGCTAGAAGATGGAGCTGTAGTGATTAAATGGAAAATATATCTAAGTCTCTCTTATCTTTGTATCAGTATCAGCTTTAATAGTGGAGGGTGGGATTCGCATCAATAAGAAATTTTGTTGCTAGACACAATGCCCTGCTTACTGAAGCTGTAAAACACCCTCAAAATCCCTAGATAAAATGTAAATGGCTGCTTCTAAAGCTGATAGGGATAGCTAGCACATTAGAGGTATCAGAATAATTCTTTGTAGTAAGTTCTTTTATTCCAGTTACTGAAAGTACATGGGATGGGATAGAAACCGAAAATTGTTCATATTGTATTGGGATAGTTAGAGGGGGGAATACTTTACACTCAGTAGGAGATAGCATAGCAATCTTTTCTTTTCTCTCTTCCTGTTTGTGTATCTATTAAGATTCTGAAATGATAAATTATGGGAAGTGGATTGGAATAGATATAAGAATTGTTGGCCTCTCTTCTTTGAGTATGTATCCAAATTTTTCAGGAGGCTGAAAGTTCAAAGGAAATGCTGTATAGTAATGACCAAACTTTAATCTCACAAATCTACCGTAGACCAATGCAAATTATTATATACTATCTTGGTCACTGTAATTTTTGGAATGATCCCATATAAGTTTCATTTAGAGTTTGTGATCATAAAATGTGAGCAACTTATCATTACTGACCTTCCATTTCAATATCCTCCACTGCATATTAGCACCTTTTTTGCAATGATTTCTAGGTTGCCAACTTGCACTTATTCTGGGCTTATGCTTTCTTCGAATGACTGATGGCGTTGTTTATGTAATGTCTCGGCTTTAAAATGCTAACGAAGCACTGCATGGGAATGCTAATGTTTCCATTGTATGACTAATAATCATTGAAGTGGTAGACCATCACTTATGGACGGATATGTACTTCAGGTCTTTTTTTTTTTTTTTTGATATATACCAACCTTAATTACCTCTTTCAAGTGAGTAGATTTCCCCAAATATCCCTACAAGCTTCGACTCTTTGAATTGATTATGAGACTAATTCCGAGTGCGGGACGAGTTGAGGATTAAGGACTTATACCTCTCTCTAAGATGACATTGGTGGAAACGAACCGCTATCCTTCACCACCTACTCAACTCCATTACACCAATTAAGTTATCATCATTGAATACTTTCACGTCTTGTTAAATTAGGGAAAGACACAACATGACTAATGAAAGGGTCCCTTTAGAATAAAAATTAATTCTACATTAAAGTCGATATATATATATATATATATATATATATATATATATATATATATATATATATATATATATATATCGACAGGATCAACTTATACCGATATAAGAATAATAAGTTTTACATCAAATTTTAACCGCTGATTTTTGTGTATTTAACAATTATAATTTATTAAAAATTAATAATTAATTAATATAATCTAATAAATATATGAGATAAAATCAATTTACACCAATATAAGAATAATAAATCTTAAATCAAATCTTAACTGTTAATTTCCATGTATCTAATGATTATAATTTATTGAAAATATATAACTTTTGGAGGATCAATTCTTCTTATATCTTTTGCGTTTTGTCATAAATATACTAATGTAAAAGATAATATATAAACCCGAGGGGGCGGGCACATTTGGTAATAAACTATGCCTCAAGAATACAGTCGTATCCTTGATAGACGCTCTTTGGGCCAGAGGTGATACCCTTGCACTTTAAGCCTTGATTGAAGGATTAGTCTTATTCCTTCTCCGGTGACAACTATTTAATACACCCAATGCACCAATGAAAACCTAGCTCTAATGGCCGTAATCCAAGGGCAAGATGGCTACAAAGGATTGAATAGCTCCATGTTAATACTTAAAAAAAAAGAAAGATAATATATGGTAATTCCTTTACAGAACTTGAATGTATATTGGGTATCCAATAGTAGTGACTACCTATGATGCACGGACACGGACACGGGACACGGGACACGACACGACACGCCGACACGTTAATTCTAAAAAATGTCATATTTGGACACGTTGGGACACGTTTTGATATTAAATAAATTTTTAATATATATAATATAATTTATATTTAAGACATATAAGAGTTCATAATAAGTCATATAACCAATCAAATATTTAAATTTCATAACATAAATATAAATATAAATAATTTTTCGTACTTTGTTAATTTTTCATGTCAAATTTCATAACAGAAAAAAATTAATTTATAAATTATTTCTTTTATATTTAGTTAACAAAATAAAATTAAGATTTAAAAAAAAAAAAAAAAACGTGTCCGAGCGTGTCCTAGCGTTGACTGCGTGTCCAAAAAAGTTGACTGCGTGTCCAAAAAACGTGTCGGAACGTGTCGGAGAGTTGACCGCGTGTCCCCAAATGTTGACCACGTGTCGGACGCGTGTCCGAGCGTGTCCGTGTCGGACACGTGTCTGACACGCAAAATTTTGTTTGATCAGCGTGTCCGTGCTTTAGTGGTGACTACTATAGGCTTTAGATAGCACTAAACTCTGAATGTAATGTAAATTCTGTCTTAAGTTTCTGCTTTCACATTCCGCTTTGATCTCCTTAATTTGATATTAATTCACATTATGGGATATATGTGAAATTTATATATATATATATATAGCTTGTCGTTTCTCAAGCTGCTTGAGATAATTTTATCTCCAGCTACTAAATCATAACCGTACAAAGATGGATCAATGGTGATAAAGGAAGAGAGAGAAAAAGAAAATCATAACCATTCAAAAGTGAATCAATTAATATAAGGAAATAAATAAACAAAACGACATAGTTTTGGGATGGCCGAAGATAAACTTATCTCAAGTTACCGGAGAAACGTTTTTCCCATATATATATATATATATAGGGGGGGGGGGAAGAGAGGGAGAGGGTGTTACATTTTTAATATATTTATATCGTTTTTATAATTACTAATGCTCCCTCGAACCTCTGGGCTTGGCTCCGCCAATGGAGCAATTATAAATGCATTAAATATACAGTTCATGACTTGGGGATGCTTCCTGATTATGGATTTGTTAATTCTAAGTTTCTGTTGTCCTCAACATTATTGTCATCGTCCTGGATGTATAAACCAGTGGGATGTGACGCTTCCAGAGAAAATACTCTCTTGAAAAATTCATATGAAGCAAAGAACAGTGATCCTTGAGACATGTACATAATCAACCGTGGCATCAACCCCCTGATAGCAGACATCCAAAAGAAAATATCATGATGCAGACAGAATGTATAGCATTGTCTCTTTCATACGTTTTCTTCTGATATAAATGATAATGGCTAGACTAAGAAAATAATACCTGTACAGACCCTTCAAACCTTCACTCTTGCTAATTTTGTAAAGAGCATGAAGCACGCTATCATATTGATTTCTAGATCCAGGAATCTGCAGTGCACTCAGCTTTTATCAGAAACATAAATTAAGAATATAATAATATACATCGACCAAAATTAATAATAATAATAATATACATGTTATATTTATTTTTTTCAAAATATTATTAAAAAATAACATATCATCGAAATCAGATAACAATTATTGATACCAAATACATTGGAGCAGTTTCAGAAACCTAGTGTCAAGAAAGGTTGTCTGCAACACCTAGTAACATGGCTAAACCATATTCTGCATCACTGTTAGTAGTTATAATTTATACAACTGAAGAGCTGGTTTATTACAAACCTGTGTCTGTAATCTAGTCTTGATCACATCAAATGGAGTTGTGAATAAAGCAGCAGTAGATCCAGCTAATCCTCCACATACTAACTACAGAAAATGTAAAATCATCATAGTCACGTCCGTCGTAGTGAGACAAAAAATGATGGTTAAGAAAGAGCAAGGAATAAACACTAACAGTCTGAAACATGTTAGGTTGAATGCTAGATGGCATCACTTGCTTCATGCTTTCGTACGTGTAAAACTACAATAAGTCACAGACAAAAGTCATAGATAAAACCTCAGTTTCTGAAGAACTTAGGAAAGCAATCACAGAAGAATATTAACAGAGGGAGTTTGACAATAAAGCATCAACAATCATAAGAGACTTCCTCTACATTAAAATTAAGAGATGAAAATTTCCAGGGTCGAAGTTGGGAGCCAACATTGAAAATAATGAATCTTTAGCATGAGTGACTTTTGAACAAACACCACCAATTCCTCATGCAAACAGCCCCTCCCACATTGTTGTCAAAAAATCTATTTGTTTAAGCTACTTCAATATAAACATGCATTGAATGTCGAAAACACCTACTAACCTTGATAATTGAATGTGGAACATTCCGGCACAGTACAGCTCCCCAGCCTGCATACAGGGAGGGAAAACCACCGTTTCTGATAATTCCAATCAATCCCTCCCTGCACAGAGATATTCATAAGATGCGTGGCAAAGTAAAATACAATTACAAAGGTCTTGCATGAGAAAATATTCATGTGGAAGTGGGAAGCCATGGGCTTACTCAGACATAATACGGATCTCTCAAGATGATGTAATTATTTGAGACTACCAAAATACACATAGAAAGGAAATACTCAAAATCTACTAGATCTTCAGAAACAACGAACACAAATTTCAATGATTGAATACAATTCACGACAAACACATAAATCCAGGCATACTCAAAGCAAGCAGTTTAGTACTTTATGTCGTGACAGGTACAGATGATACAAAGAAATGAGACATACCAGCAGTTGCGATAATGAGACCCAACTTGCATCTGCTGCTTTACTCGCTCGCTAGGAGTAAAAATGAAAGAGGTGGCAATGCTTGCACAACCACCTCCCACACAATGGGCAAAAGAATAATACTCCTGCACCAAAAGATGGTTGAAACCTCATTTATACAAATAAGCATTAAAATTATAATACGACCCTGGCTCATTTTAGATATCTACCACTACAATGTTGACAGTGATGTTTAACTTGCATAGTTTCTCTCACCTAGGTGGCACCATATGTAGAAATAAAGAAATCACTAAAAAATAAATAAACAAACAAACAAACAAACACAAGATAGCAGAGATAACCAATTTCAAATGACTCCACTTAGACGACTAGAATATAGAGAAAGACAAGCTACCTTAGGAAGATAAGGAAGCAAAGCTGCTTTAACTGACTCATAGGTGAAAGTATAAACTGCAGAAATTGGAGCTGAACATGCAATGTTTGTAGTAATTCCACGATATAGTCCAGGCAAACCTGAAATCAGTCCATCAACTCTATGAAGAATCCATCTAGTAGAGGATTTAATTCAAAAGGGAAAGTGATCTAAACGAAACACGAAATGTAAGGTACACAGATATATAGCAAGAAGAAGATTTCTCTTAAAAACCAACCTCTATCAGAAACAATTGATTTGCCAATGTAAAAGAGGGACCTCTGTTCAGCATGACATGATTGAATGACTGTCTTTATTGTGTCAATGGGATGCAGACATAGGCTGACACATATACCAGCCAATGCCCCAGAAACAGCATGTTCTTGCTTGGCAAGGGAATAACCAGGCTTTTGATGGGTTGTGGAAAAGATCTGTACCTTAGGTTCATCATCAGTTACATCTGAGAACTGTCTTCTTTGGATTTCCATCAATTCATTATTATCAATCTCATGTTGGCACTGCACAGAAGTGCTATTACAGGTGGATGAAGAGTTAATATGATAGTCCGCATTGACACTAGAAGATAGGGTATGACAAGCACCAACATCTGTGTCAGAATAAGGTACAGGTTGAATAACATAGTCTGAACACAGAGGGCTAACTTTTCTTGTGTCCAGAATCACATCATTAGATAATGGTCGACCTTCATGTACAATTAAATCAGGGCCGCACACATCACTCTCATTAGCCAAAGCAGGGGTGCTTGTATCTATTGAAAAGCAGCCCCCAGCCTCAGGAGAATTAGTTTTCAGGTTCTCAGGCTCAGTAACCTTTGCATGATAGTTTAGTCCCTTATGAGCATTTCCTGAATTGTTATCACTTGCCTGCAAAAATCTCTGGAATAAAGAATGAACAAATTTTTGGCTTTCATTAGAAGACTCAAGGGCTAACATCTGTTTTACCTTGGGAAAATCCATTTTTTCCTGCACTATCTGTGAACCATATCCAGTATCCCCCATATTAACAGGATAGTAAGTAGTGTAATTTGAAGTATATACCAAGCCATTCCTTTTCTCATCAATGCTATCCAAAATTTTCTCTTTTGGGAATCCTTTATCATCTCGGTTCACCTTTTCCTTCGAGAGTAAAAATGAAAGTGGGCGACTTGCAGAATCCCATATCTGGCCTATTGCAGAGATGAGCTGAGGTGTGCTCAGTATCTCACGGGACTTCAGTTGAGATCTTTCGTAGCATTGTTTATTCTCTTTATTGGAAAGAGAAGGCGAATAATCTACACAAGAAAGATCAGCCTCAAAGGGTGCCCCCTTATGTTGATTCCCTCTATATTTGATTGAATGTTGATCATTTTTAGGTGATTTACTGCATCCAGACATATTCTCAATCCTTTTCTATATCTCCTTCAAGAAGCAGATAGCCTGAAAATGTCTGGAGTCTGGACAGAAAAGGCCTGGAAATGAAACAGATTGCGACGTGAATTGCAAAGTAATTAACTGTCAATTGCATAAACACTTAATTTCTTGTATTGTACTCTCTCAACAAAGAGACAGAACCCATTACTCAGGATTGACCGACCAAGTTGCAATTTTGGACTGTTCCCACAATATATCAATCAAATATGTATCGAATTGAACCCCTAAATAGTCTAACTCCTCATCCTCACCCACTCCTCAAAAAATAAAAAATAAAAAATAAAAACTATTGTGACATTGAAAACTGTCATTCAATCAAGCATATGATATACACATTGAACTGGAGAGAGAATTAAAAAAACAACAGTATTTACCTGTTAAATCCTTCTCATTTGTGTGATATAGAAATGAATAGAGTGGCACCCGAATCAAAATTGGCCACATCAAGTGAGCTAAACGAAAGAGGTCCTCTGCAGAAAAAAGAAGAAGACAGACACAAAGTCAAGACACTGAATTTGTCCGAAAAAAATAGTCAGAGACAGTGCAACACAAAAAAAGACTAAAGTTGAAGTTCGATGTTGATTAACAAGGGAAACCTTGATGAAAGCGTTAGTTGATTACAAGCTCTGAAATTCATGTCTTGAGGTAAAGAGGTGACGAAGAGGTTAAGAGGGTTTAAGAAGCTGGAGCAGAATTTATAATTGAGCCAAATTAAATGTTAATTTTTTTAAATAATTTTAGGGTTTAGTGTGCGACGTTACAAAGTTGTGTCTTTTAGTAACTTACACAAAGTATGATAGGTCATATTTTATATAAATTCAAAAAGTTACTTTTTTTTCACTTTATATGTCATCGATGTGACTGGAGAGAAAAAAAAAACTTTTTATATTTACACAAAGTATGACAGATCATACTTGATGTAAATCACCTAAGCTTGTGGCTTTTAAAATAATACTTCTTTTTCCCATAATTTTAATATACTTTTATTTAAATTTTACTTGAAATAATTATTGAGTTTATAATTTTAAAACTTTAAAATATTTTTTATTATATCTGAATATTTTATCTGAATTTAAAAATACCCATATTTGAGTAAGTTTAATTGCACTCTGTATATAGGTATTGGTTTCTAATAAGATTCAAATTTCGATGGTAGCTCAGTTGGGTGTGAGAGCATATATTCAATCCTAGTCTTAATCCCGTCATTCGCCTCAAATCGAACTAATCGTGAAGTGGTGAATCGATTGGAATATCTCCAACAACAACAACAAAAATCTAGCATTTTTGTAACAAGTATTCAATTATTGCTTACCTATTGGCAAAAATTTAGCTTTATATTAAAAATTTTAAATTTATTTACTCACTTAGTGTTTGTTTCTAGTTTCCTAAGATATTCTTCAGCCGACAATCGAAGACTAATACTTTCGAAGTGGGAGATCACGATAAATGGATAAACCTTACCCAACAAAGCTTTTTTTCATATATACTGCCAGAAATCAAATCCCTATTAATTTGCTTAGAGAACTCAGTTATCTACCAACTTTGCTAAGCTTTGTTGGTCAATTATAGTTTTTTCATAAGAAATTTAAAAAAATTGAAATTTGTATAAAATATTAATACAAAATACATAACACCACATATAAGTTATATATATATATATATAGCAGGAGATTACCAAATTTTCTTGCACGTAGAGGCAAGCTGAGTCCCACTAGTTTTTGTAAAAAAAAATAAAAAAATTAGGCACGTTTTACGAGCTGAGAGTGACATGATATAAACAATTTACTGCAATAGAAAAATACATTTTGCCATATATATAACCAACAAAATACATAACAACAAAATAAATATTATGAAAAATTAAAGCAAGCTGTGTGTCTGAGCCCGGGTTCGAACCGGGGACCTCTAGTGTGTGAGACTAGCGTGATAACCAACTACACCACCCAGACCACATGATTCGATTTGGAAAACCTGCAAGTGACTAAATTTCTTTTGTTTCGACAGAGTATCATTCTTAGTTTGTTATCATCTGTGAGTGCAAACCATTGGTTAGCCTATTCCTTTTTTTTTTATCTTAACATCGCCCCAAAACAATTGTAAACCCTTTTTCAACGAGCATAGGGATGAAGTCATGGTTAATCATTGAAGCTCTTTATTTGTGTTTATGAATTACGAACGTTCGGGTATATTTTAAGACCAGATTGCAACAATCAGGACTACGCATTCAGAATATCAAATATACTAATTTAAGTGATTCGATATTTGTTAAAAGATGAGGGTTGTTACCCTCCCCCGGGCCCCTTTTTCAAATGGTTATGTTCTATTCACTTCTAGATTGTGATTTTAATTGTTCCAACGTGAAGTTTCAAAATGAGAGGTTTTAATGTTGGATGATTTGTGACCATTCTCACTTTTCTGCTACATATACATTATCGCAGAAAGGATTACTGAAAGGAAAGTTGTAAAAGCAACAGATTTGGTAGTATGGCAGAAAAGACCATAATATGCTTACATACAAACTAGTTACAAGCCAGAGTTTGCAATAGCCTCATTCAATAACAGATTGCAGCTGAAATGAGCTATAACCCTTGAGCATCATAATAAAATTAGCACCTAACATGAATAAAAAGTTCCTACCAGCTATCACTACTAGCACTCTACAGCATCGAAGTGGCATCCTAACTATTGCCATCGTTTGAGAGGCTTCACCGAAGAAGAGCTACTGGCTGTGGGTTTTCTAACACCTACATGTAAAACAAGAAATAAGAAGCAGAAAAATCAAAGGAGACTGGGTCCCAAAAGTGAGAGCAAATTATTTAAATTTTGGAGACATAACAGAATAAAAGGGGTAAGTTAACTGGATATACATACTTGACAAAACCTTCGAGGAGCTTCTGTTCAATGATAGCCTAGATGGTCTCTGCAGTTTTGGCTGGACTTGCGGAGCTTTGGGAATTTTGGATGGCATAATGGCCCTGAATTCAAAATCAAACACAAGTTGATATCAGATCTGATTTCAATATAGATGGCTTGGTAACAAGTGCTACGCAAATAACTAGCGTTTGGAATGAAATAGAATAGACTTGAAAAACTTTAAAGAGAGAGAACTCACTTTTCCGTGCTCTCAGCTGGAAGGTTGTCGGCTGTTCTCTTGTTAGCTGTTGGTGTGGTCTCGTCTGCCTTCTCAAGTTCAGGGAAAAGAGTGTATTCCACAATACTGCTGATTGAACCATCAGTTTCTGTTCCCATTGAAAGACCACCATCAGATATGTCACTTAATCTCTCCTCCGAATCTGCATCTCCAAATCTTAAGAGTTCAACATCCTCATTGACATTTTGACTGATATCTTCTCTAGCTAATTTCAACCGTAGGGAACTGGACTTGTTCCTGAAATCATCCATTGATTGATGAGAACCGGCTTCTGAATGCTTATCACTATACTCTGAGCAGTTATCCACGTCAGAAGCTGCTTTTTCATTGACTCCAAAGCTCCTTGTTCCGGAAAGTCTCACCCTATGTCGGGGAGTCCCTATGGAATGTCTCCTTGGAGATGATGACCCATGCCTTCGTGAGATCATACCAAGCTTTGAACCATTGTGATTAGCCTTGAGCAACTGCAACTGCTCAATCTCTTCATCCTTCCTAGCAATTGCATCCTTGAGAGATGCCAACTGCAAGAACGATACACGTCAGTGTGCACTCGTATATGATATTGCAATATCAGTTTAAGCCAACTGGTTTCATTTCATAAGTATCAATGGATCATTGGGCCACAAACAATTCAACTGGCTACAAGATAAAGCTGAAAAAGTGTATGTTATGGTGACACCTTTGCCGTGGCATTTCACCATGGTCTGCTTCCTAAGCCATAAATAAACTCATTAAATGGAAAGATTTTAAATTTTTTCAGTTTTATTTTCCATAGTAGTTAATTGAGCCATAATAGCACCGTGAGCCGCGTCGTATGGGCATTGTGGTGCCTTGCTGCAAGAAACCGCGCCATGCTGCACCAGAATGCAATAACGGCCATTGCGATCGCATTTGTGGCCAAATCGCAACCATATTGTTGTCGTAAGGCAAAATGTCAATTTTGTCCTAAATTTAAATATGCAATAGAGACTTTTTAAGGGTTTTTTAGTCTTTCTCTGTCAATTCTGCTATCTCTGCCTTTAAAAAATGTTTCTTTTTGTCATTGATTCTGTCATATATCTATTCCGCTATTTCCACAACCCGCTATAGCACTATAGCATTTTTCGGGGTTGGCCGCGACATGCCGCAATCCGCATTTGATAACTTTGTTATTTTCCCTACCTACATAACTTCCTCATCCAAACTAACTAACAAAGTGTAATTGGATTTAGTGCTTCATAAACCATAAGCACCCACAGATGCATGCTTCCCAATCAAAACAAAGTGCAATTTTGAATTTAGTGCTTCATTAGCCATATGTGCAGGTGCATTAGCTACTGCAAGAGCGATGGGGCATAAGTGTCAAAGAAAAAATATAAAAAAATCTGGTGCTTTGCTGATAACTTGACACTGACATCACTTCCATGGGTTCCATCAACTAAAACACCTTGTAAAATGCAATCAAAAATAGAATTAACCTGCTCCATAAGTTCTCTCACATCCCTTCCCTCTTTGTTGCTACGAGCAGCGCCTAACTCAACACCAGAAACCCTCTCAGCAAACTTCAAGGTGCTTATAGTTTCAGAATATGAAGCAACATCAGGATTAAGCTGTACAAACATAAGGGTTTTCGCTTGACCACCTAGAAAATACAAGAAAAAAAGCTATTACCATTTAGTAAGCCATGACTACAATATGCTAAAATCATTACACAAAATAATGAAACCAGATATACAAAAACTGCAATGTTTACCTAACGAACTCTGAAGAAGTTGAGTCAATTTACTATTTCTATACGGCACATGTGGACTCTTTTGCGCTAGAGCAAATATCACATCTCCAAGTGCGGATAGCGATTTATTTATATGTTGAGCCTCCTTAAGCCTATCTCCAGTTGCTTCAGAACGATCCACTCTTTCACTTCCTGCAAGATCTACAAGATGCAGACATCCACGCAACATAGTGTTGGCCTTCAAATCCGTTCCACGAACATGAACAGAGAGAACACTATCACATGATTATAAAAATAAAATGAGTTTTGTGTCTTCACAATTGGAAAATTGACATAAAAGATAATCATAAAACTGAGTAGTTACGCAACCTGTGTGATCTGCTACTTCTTTCATTTAAGGCCGTGGCACTAGTTGCCCGATTCATCAACCCAGTATTCATCAAATCAAGGACATCTGTCATTGAAGTCACTGAATACATACTTGCATCAGGAACAGCCAACCCATTTGGTTGGGCAGTATTCCAAATCCCAAGTGTGTGAAAGTCAAGGAAACAATACTTGGTATATTTTTCATTGAAAACAAAAGTAAATGAATGGTAGACAATGTTGTGTCTATATATAATGATGATAACATACATGATAGCAAATAAAGAAGCATGAATCAAATAAATAATATTATATGTTAAATCTCTGATCCATGTGTGTTTACATGCATAGTTTTATGTCAATACATAAATGAATAAGCATGGAAGCTTAAGTATGAATATAAAGAGTTGCATAACTTTTAATAAGCATGGGAATATTTGTTAAAAAAAGTAAAAGGATATCTCTTTTGTGGACCATTGCTTGATAGTAAATCACGAACTTGTTCGTTATAAATTTCAACCATTTGAACTCCAACTTCATAAACAATAGAGCTTCTCCTACTTTGGGAGAAATGGAAAAGATCATGAAGTGCCCGATAGTTGACTCCCCAATCTGATTTTGTTGATTGGGAAGGTCCACTCTAGAAGAAAAATAATTGCTAAGTAAATGTTTGAACCATATATGCACTCACAATGCAAATGAAGTATCAAAACATACAAAATGCATACCATCGTATACGTCTTTCCTGAGCCAGTTTGACCATAAGCAAATATACAAACATTGTACCCATCAAGAACAGAACGAATTAGAGGTTGAGTGTCCATGAATACTTCCTCTACAAAAAAAAACATTGATGTATAAGTTGAACATTTTTGTAAATTCCAACAACCCATAACATGCAAAAATAATAAAAATTGTGAAATAGAAAAGAAAAAAAAACAGTACCTTGACTTGATGCTTGACCAAAAACCTTATTAAATTTAAAAAGCTTGCGACTTTCTTTTCCTTGTTTAAGAGGATTGCTAATAACTAATTCTCCATCATCACCAACAAACTCAATTGTTGTATGGTTTTGACTTTGTCCCTGAAGAAATGGTCTAATTCGACAATATACCCTGATATTTCCTATTCATTAATGATTTAGAACGAAAGGAATGAAGAAATCAGGTCAGCAAACAGGCAAGGCTCACAAGTGGCACAACTCTAATATAAGAACTATATAAACATACCTTTCAAATCTTGAACTTCATTATACAATTTCCGATTTTCTGCTAGAACTACATGATAATTTTCAGCAGCCTCAGCTAGACCTTTGAGCTTGGTTCCTATATATGCACATCTTGTAAATGCATATAATCCATAATAAAACAAATAATCAATGATAAATCATGAAAAGATTTAAACATTTTATCCTACCAAAGTACTTGAATTCCTCTAAGTAGCTTCTTTTTGTTTTTATCACTTCATTTTTGACAGACTTCATTGCAGCTCTCAATTCCTACAGAGAATCAAGTTATATGGTATAGCATAAGAAAGAAATTGGCAACATTATGCCAACAGCAAACAAAGAAGCAAACCTGGAAAGCTCCAAATTGGTAATTGACAAAACTTTGATAAGTATGCTCTTTATTCTTCCAATTCAAAGATCTGGATTCTGAAAATGCCTCCAGTTCCTTCACTTGCTTCCTTGCATTAGCAAGATGACGCTTAAGTTCCTCTATCCTTTTCTCATATTCAGCTTTGGATTCAGTTGCTTGCAATTCTAATTGCGAAACATGTTCTTCATGTGTTCTTTTGGCCATTTCCATTTCCTGCTTCAGTGAAGAAAGTTCAATTTCATTACGAACTTTGTCTTTCTTTAATCGAGAAAAATCCTGCTCTTCAAGTTTCTTCTTCTCCTCAAATTTGGTTTGTTCACGCTGCAAAGCAAACTAAAGAACAAATGAGTGTAGCAAGTTAGTAGCCAACAGAAATCACGTTGGAACTTGGAAAATTGGAAAAATTACATGTTTTGCAATTTTTAAAAGTTAAAAATACATTTAAAAATAAATTAAATCATTTTCATTTTCCACAATGGTAACATGGAAAACCTCCTTAACCGATATGCATTTCATTATATATAAAGGTAATAATCACTCATAAGCATTTTTAATTGCATAACATATTGATAGACAAAAGGCAAGCCTGGAGCAGTGATAAAGCTACTCTTTTGTGACTAAAAGATCATGGGTTCGAATCTAGAGAATAACCTCTTTGCAAAAAATACAAGTGTAAGGTTGCATACTAGAATTTCCCTCACCCCAGCTTTCGCAAAAACAGGTTTTATGGGGAGTGGTTTTTATAACATATTGGTAGACAAGTTTACATAAAACTAATCCTATGTCTGATCAATGGACTCCCCTTGCTACATTGGAGAAAAGCAATATAAGTGGCACTCTTATCATTTTAAACTTTTTAGCATGATAATTATTAGTTATTCACCCAAATCAAGAACATTACTGTATGATGCTGCATAAATGAGCCAAGCCAACCACTTAGTCTTCTTGAATGCAAAAAGTTTAAGCAATGGTAATAATGACAAAGAAAATAACAAGAGTAAATTTAACAGAACCAAGGATCTATATTGATAGTTTGTTCCATAATATTGAACTCAAAGATAGGGGGTTTGGCACCTTCAATTGCTGAACCCAACCTGTAACAACCTGGAGAAAGGGGAAACCACTTTAAAATTAAATTAGCAATACAATAATAATATAGAAAGACAGTAAGGCAAGCCCCCAGATCCATCAAAATACCTCATTCTCTTCTGTCGTCCCTACTGCCAGAGTTTCAAGTGCATTTATTCTTGATTGGTACTTTCCCTCACGAGCCTTGAAAAGATTGTTTTGCTTCAGGTATGCAACATGGTAAAATGGTCATTCTTCAAGAAAAAACTGAAAAACCAATACTGTTTAGGAAAACATACATAAAAAAATGTCAATTTTACATTTTTCAAGCCTTCTGCTTGATTTGAAACGCGCAACTCAATTACTTGCAGAATTTTCCTCAACAGGCATGCGGCACGCTGAGCCTAGAAACATATAAATAAATGGGAAATTGAATTACTGCTCTACGCAATCAAATTTAATTTTGCAAGAATAAGAAAATAAGTATTAGTGTTATGCATTATTTATTGCACAAGTATTTAATCCACTTACTTGAGGTACATCTCCATTCTTCCTTTCAAAGATATCGCTTAGGATCCTATTTCCTATGCAAAAAAGTGACTGAGTTGAGGCACTCTGCAGAAAAAAGATTTCACTAATATATTAAGGTCACATATGAGCTAACAGCAAGAACTCAAGTGCATAATACACATAAAAGAATTATTTAATAGTACGAGCAAGAAGGAAGGGAAACACTAATAGAGACAAATAAATTAAATATCTTATTGACTTACATCCAAACTGTTTGATTTTAATAATTCATTAAGTTTAGCATCTAAAAGATCCACATGCAATCCTCGCTTCAACTGGAACGGTTCATTAGACTTTAATCCAGTATGATCTATAGAAGCAATTCCATCTGGAAAAAGAAAACAGAAGCATAATATAACAAATAAAAATGTTTGGATAAGAATAGAAAGAGCATAATCAAAAAACAACCAAGCCTTATCCCATTAGGTGGGGTCAGTTACATAGATCACATGGTGCCCTTGGACTCAACAAAAATTTGAATTTTTCAATAAATCTATTTAGCGCAAGGCATTTTTTAATGGATCATAATACCTGATACAACAGAACCATCAACTGCGTATTGGAATTTTGAAGCATCCTTGAGGAAACTATCAGTTTCCTCTAGGGATGTTAGATCCGACTCATCCCACCTCTTTCTAGACCAACTTTGGATATTTTCTCGTGCAGCATTAAAAGCAAAATGAGTTTTCAAAATCTCAAGGCACTGCAACACAGGAGCCATGGATCCCTGCATATATTCTCAGAGCACAGAATTAAATAATTAGAACAAAACTTACAAAGTGTGGTAAAGAAAAAACGGAATTCCAGTATCAGGTTTGGACAGTTCCATCTAATTTATTTTATTAGTCACAGTCCAGCATAAAGCTAGTACAAAGCAGAGTACTGGTTTCATCATCCAAGAAAGAAAATCAACTGAAGTTATTTCCAAAAGCACAACCATAAATAGTAGACATAGCAATCAAATTATTCAGTGGTTCTCCTTCATTGTGTAACGGAAATGTACAGACATATTAGGCGCTTATCTAGCCAACCCTTCAGTCAAGCACACCAAAGAGAGCCAAAGACATAACCCAGCATGTTCTCAAATTACATTTCACGTAAGGAACTTCTTATACCTGCTCCAGGTCTGACAATTCAAATCCAGACAATCCCAACTCATCCAAAGCCAGCAGAAACCTTTTAACACTCACTGGCTCATTCAATGAACCACTTCCCTGAAGTTAAAAATGCACTCCTTAGAAGAAAGAGGACAAAAATAAATAATCTCTAACTTAATGTCAGCACAATTAGAAAATAAAGAACACTAATGTATGCATACTCATAAAAAAACAAAAAGAAGCAGTATATAAGTATATAACGCAATGAAAAATAGTAAAAAATAATCCTCTAACCTCCACTGAACCAGGAACCAGCTTGTCCAAAATGCTGCATAATACAGATCCATCCCTCAACAATAACCTCAAATCCTCCTCTGAAGTTTCTAAAGGCAAATTAAAGTTAGGAAGCACAGCATTCATCCACTTCACCACAGATGCAAGTTGGTTACCTGAAACCATATCAAAATCTAGTGTCCTAGAGAGGGTGAATAAGGAATACAAAAAAAAAACATCTTAAAAGACAGAAGCCAGTAGTTATGTTACCTTCAACTATGCCTCCTAAAGCTTCTCTTCGGTTAACACCACCCCAAGGAAACCCATTTAAGCTGCCAGTTCCCCCATTCCCCCGCCCCTCCTGTTCCCACTGCATGCTCGTTTTCGATACTCCTTGCCCCTTTGATTATGTTCACGACAATTTTATCTAGAAGATGCCTAACAACAATTACTTCTCAGTAAAATAACAATTAAAAAATAGGAGCCAAAATTTCTTGTTAAACTAAGCTACATTAAACAATACAGTATTAGTGCAGTAGAATAACGAGATTAAAAGTTGTCATGTCATGGTTCAAACGATTTTGTCAGGAACAAAAACAAAAGTGCAATTTAAGGGAAGCAAATGAAGAAAAAACAAATTAATAAAAATAAATAATAAAAAAATAAAATTCAAAATCGCAGCTACATTATTAGCTAGCTGACACGTATGATTATTAATCGATTAATTAATTAATTAATCACTTAACGAACGAACCAAAAACAATAGAAAACAAAGAGAAAGGGAAGCAGATCGGCGCGAACCTAACCTTGGAGAAGCAATGTAGGAAGAAGGTGAGAGAGGAGAAGCCACGCTTTGAAAGGAAGAGATCAAATCGAACCAATGAATGAAGAACAAGTTGGCGCGGAACGGAAAGTAGATGTCTCCTCGAAATTGCAATGCGAAATGGAACGACGCCGTTACGGATGGATCGGAATTGGAGGAAGATTTTCTGTTTGGAGAAGAAAAGGAAGAAGAACAGAAATTAGGTGCGAGATTTGAGAGTGTGAGAGAGAGAGAGAGAGAGGTTGAAGAGTTAAGCAATGTTAAATCAAATGGGCCTTTTCCTTTGTTTGTTACGTTGTTTTCAAATGAAAAGCGTTCAGGAACATGGAAAATTTTAGATAAAAAATAGTAAACAGTAAATTGAATTGGATTAGAAGCCAAATAAAGAAACTTGAATCTCTTTTTAAGTTATTTTAACTGCTTCTTTGTAAAATAACAATATAGCACCCTTTTTGTTTCGATTTTGTGATTTGGACACTAGCTAGCGAATTCTCGAATGGTATTCCCGCCGGCCTCTTTAAATAATAATGTGAAGTGAATATCTCAATTCGACATTAGCCATAAGATTGACGAAAACCCCAAGGTTCGAACGCGGTATTGTTTTAATGAGATTGACGAAAAAGGACATAGCCCTTAAGATGTTAACAAATGTGTCCGATCGCGTTTGATTTCTTGGAAATTTGATGACGGTGTACGTAAAATGAATGACCCCTCTCTTGAAGGTAACAAGTATTTTTTATTTTATTTTTTAAATAAAGAGCGGCTAAGCCCCAGAAACAGAAAGAAATTACAAATCAGAAACTAACAAACTAGACATATTTCTAGCATCAGCAACTATAAGTTCCATCAACTGAGGAAGAGGATCTTTAAAAATCTTGAAATGGAGATTATTAGTCTGCCCAGCTTTAGCTAACCAATGAGCACATTTGTTGTTTTCTCTCTTGGTATGAACAAGATGAATAGTCCAATCTGCTTTTAACCATAATCTCAATTTGCTAGTGACTTGAGAGTCCCTAGGATCTTCATGTTGCTCCAATAACATCTGGATGGCTTAGATAGAATCACATTCTAGCTCTATTCTTTTTAATCCTGTACCCCAAAGCAGTTCCAAACCTTTCAGTAATCCCCATAATTCTGCATCAAGAAGATTGCAGGAACCTAAATTACAATAGAAGCTTCCCAAAAAGGATCCATTGTGATCTCTTAATTAATATACCACCACAACTAGCTTTTTTCATGCCACTAGTATTTTAATTACCTATTGTTAATTTTATAGTTTTTTTTTATGTTTGTTAATGATGAAATTATTCAAATGCTTGATTTCTGAAGTATACCAATTATTTATGGTTAAGCCACCTTATGAATATCATAGTTTTTAAAATTTAATTTATTTTATATTTAAAAATAATAAACAAATTTACGGAATGGCTCTTGAAAAATAGAAATTTAAAAAATAATCATTACCAAATATGTACCCACTACTGATTTCTTGCCTTTCACTGGATGTAAAAATATAAATTGTCTTTCTTTCCCAAAAAAAATATGAATTTTTAAATGACATAGAGTTATGTAATTTTAAGTGAAAAAAAACACACATAATAAAAATTATGAGAGAAAAAATGAGTATTTTTTTAATTTAAATTATAAATAAATAATTATTAAGATGTGTCTTTCTTTTACAAGATGACATAACTATATATTTTATAAAAGAAGAAATACTTTTCAAAAAAATATATATATAAATTGTCCAGACATGATCACATATCAAATCAAAATAAACCACAATAAAATAAAACAAAAATGTGATAGCCTAGGGACCCATTGTCTTAACTCTTAACCTTCGTTTTTAGGCATAAACCCGAAGGTTCGAATGAGGTATTAATGTGTTCGATTGCGTGTGGTTTCTTGGAAAATTGATGATGGTTTACATAAAATGACCCCTCTCTTGAAGGTAACAAGTATTTCAATAAATTAATTACATATTGTTAATTTTATAGCTTTTTTAAGAAAAAATACTTTTCATTTTAAAAAATACAAACTTATATCATTTTAAGTAAAACTACTGTATTTTTGTGATTTTTTACCTTATCTTTCATATCATTTCTCTCTCCTAATTTTGTAAATGAGAAAAAAGATAAAAAGCCACCAAAACATATACTTGTATCATTTTGGTGGCTTAAAATGATATAAGTATGTCTTTTGATGGCTTTTTACCTTCTAATAACATTAGTATGTGTTTTGGTAACTTTTTACTTTATCTCTCATTTCATTTTCTCTCTCCTTCGAATTTTGTGAATGAAAAAAAATGTAAAAAACCACCACAACATAATAATTTCACTTAAAATGATATAAATTCGTATTTTTTTTTTAATCTACTCAACCGGTTCATCCATATAACTAATTCAATTCGAACTATATAAAGTGGGCAGCTGTCTGAGACCAATTTTTCTATATCCACATCAGGCCCACACATTTCATCAGGTTGGACATCCGGGCTGGAGGACGAATGGACCACCATCAGTTGCTCGAGATCGTCGTCCCCAACAGCGTCCTCTGGTGAGGCAATCAACAAAAGGAATTGACGTTTGCATTTGTGAGTGGGGTGATACTTATCGTCACAGTTGTAACAAAGGCCCTTATCGCGCCGGATCTGGAGTTCTGCGGGAGAGAGTCGTTTGATGGCAGGTTTGGTGAAGGGTTGAGGTGGGAGTGGTGTGGCATTATAGACGGTGGAAGTAACGATTGGTGAACGAGGGTTACCAAAAGTTGATGAATGAGAACCAGTGTAGGGTTTGGAACGAAAGTGCGTGCGTTGATCGTTGAGTTTGTCCTCCTGTAAACGGGCCAAACCAATTGCCTGAGCAAGGGACATGGGTTGAAGGGCCTGAACCTCCCGACGAATCTCAGATTTGAGACCGAAAATAAAACAGCTCAAGAGGTAAGGTTGGGGAAGGCCAATACATCGATTAGCAAGGGATTCAAATTGGGCCTGATATTCGCGAACAGTGGCTGTCTGAAGCAGTTTCATCAAGTCACCGCGTGGGTCTTCATACTGTGACGGAGCAAAGCGAAGCTCTAAAGCCTGAAGTAGCTGAGGCTAGTTGGCGATTTGACCGCTGGCATGCATCCACTGGTACCAATTCAATGCCTCGCCTTCCATGTAAAAGGAAGCAATCTGAGGGCGTTGTTCCTCCGGTGTACCGTGAAATTCGAAAAATTGGGTGATCTTAAAGATCCAACCCAATGCATTGGAACCGTCGAAGCGAGGAACCTCGAGCTTGAGAGTGGCGGTCTTGATTTCGGCTGGTTGTAGGGGTGGTGGTGGGCCGGAAGAAGAACTTGTCGTGGCAGTGGTGGGGCACGAGTTTCGAGGACAGTAACCTTGTGAACGATGGCCTGCATGTCTTGCTGAAGCGTCAATTGGGACTGTAAGAGCTGGGCTAAAGTGTTTTCGATGGAATCTGGGTGTGAAGGAGGGATAACCATGGTGGTGGTTACTCAATGAAAGCGCCAATGAAAGGTAGGACTTCTCTTAACAGCACAATATTAGTAAGAAAAACAAAGGAATTACAACAATATATTGAAACAGAACGATAATCCTCCTTCGAGGGGAGGTACCTCCTTAACCACAAGGGTTTTCTATAACTTCTGATACCTTCATTTACTCCTGGAAGGGAACTTTATACACAATGCAAAACAGAAAAGATGCAAATGACTAAACGGTTGAGGCACACCAACAAGTGTTGCCCCTACACCTTATGCAACAGAATTCTTAACCCCTCTCTAACAGAATCCTCACACACACGTCCCTTATCCCTGAGTCACATGGTAACTAATTAATTGACCAAATAGTCCCTCGTCCATTTGGGTTTGGTCTTGCACCTCTTGGACCATTTAACCTTTGGGCTGGTATGTTCTGATGCTAATTCTTCTTCTGGTTCCTCATATGTATGGGCTTCCTCCCTTGCTAGATGGGCTTGGTTCATATCACTGTCTGAGACCAATTTTTCTATTCACATGGTTAGAACAGGAGACCACTATTGGGTTCTTTAAAATAACTAACATTTAACCCCTTTTTTTTAATGTTTGTAAATTTCTTAATTTTTATGACGAAATTACCTAAATGTTTGTCTCTTGCTTAATGGTGTTTGGACCTTGGTATCACTATATTCTCTCTTTTTTTTTTATTTTTTTTATTTTCCATTATCTTTAACACTTTTTATTTTGCTTGATGTAATATAATTATAATTTTTTAATATTTTAATATCAAAACGACATCGTTTTGGAAGTAAATGCAGATAACTTATCTGTAGAAACATTTTTCTGATATATATGTATATATATATATATATATATATATTCCAATATCTTTTCTATTTTTGAATATAAAAAGTACAAGAATTCCTATAAAAAATATGATGTATATGAATCATTTCTCAGAATATAATATTAATATAATGTTGGATCAATATGCAATTTAAAGCATCTCTTTTTATAGGAATTTAATATTGACATTAGGACCAATACTATGTGACTTTTTTTTAGTTAATGTGATTTCCTTTATTTTGCCACGTCTAGCTATAATTTGTCTGTGAAATTTTTCAAAGCCCCGCTTCCAATAATTATTGTTCTCCAAATGTATTATTTTTACTAGTCATAATAAAATAGACTTTTCCACCATTTTAATTTTTAGATTCAGAAATTATTTTGAGTAAAGTTCTTTTTGGGTTCTTAACAAAAAAATATGGTCCTCACTTTCATTCCTTACAACAAAAAGTATTTATATTAGTAATTTTTCAGGGACTAAATTAAGTTTCTATTGAATTTTTGAAGTACCACAATTTTCAAAGAACTGAAATTGTAAAAAGACTAAAAGTTAATATTTTTTTTGTAAGAGACAGAAGTAAGAATCGTGTTTTTGTTTTTTTGTTAGGAATCAAAAAGGATTTTACTCTATTATTTTTGTTGAACAAAATTCTAAACCTAAAATAAGAATAAAATTTCTGAGGGCTTATTAACAACATTAAAGGTAGAATTGAATAGAAAAAGATCACAGGAGGTAATTGATAAAAGAAAGTATAGAGATGTAACTAATAAAAACGAACTTTTCTTAAAAAATAATAATAATGTAAAATTACTGAAAACCCTGACTTGTACCGGAGGCGAGGTATTAGAATAAGGATTGAGGACAATCCTTCCGATCAAAATCTTCGTCTCTGCGAGTCGCAATTATAACTAACTATTAGCTGTTTGTGGTTTGTTGGATCAAATGGGTGACAGAGAAAGAGAAACAGAAACAGATAGAGAAAGAGAAAGCGAAACCCCAATTTCAGTATCGTCGGATGGCAGCACGGCCTTCAATAATGAGAGAGAAATTATGAGAGCGATTGAGGTTGTGGAGAGAGATTCTTTGGCCATCGCAGAGAGCTTCACTTCTCTGTTCGCGTCACTCCGGTTGGCACTCTCACAAGCTACTTCCACCTCACTCCATCACATCCACTGCTTCACCGATGCTACCGGTCGCCTTCAGGAATCTGGTTCTCAACTGCATCTCTATTCTCAGCTACACTTCTAACCTATTCCAATTACTTTATTAACCTTGTATTTGTGTTTTGCAGTGCTTGATGCAGCAACAAAAGGGAACCGCTATATCAATTCATGTCTCAGGTATTATCTTTATGTTGTTTTATGATATTTATTATTATTTATGCAACATATAGTCAATTTTAATTTTATTTCTCTTTTTGCAACATGATTTTTTCTGGAACTTTTTGGGTTGGAGATAGATATAACTTTATTTCATGTTGCACCGGAAAATACTAAATTCTAAGTTTGTTGCTGTTTATAGTCAAGTTATAGTATCATGTTGAAGTTGGCTAGTTCCTAACCCACCCTTTTTTTCTTGAGGGGGTGCAGATTGAATGAGGAGATGAAGAGTATTGATGGCCTAGCGTCCCAACTGTATCCAAAATCCAAATTGCTTTAATATTTGCTAGCTAATTTATTTTACCTTTTTCTTCATGCATCTTGATAGGCTAAACATTCATCTCACACATATATATATATATATATATATATATATATATATAGAAGGATCCGTTTATAATTTTTTTTACAAATTGCACTAAGTATGACCAGTCATACATTCTTGATTAAAATATGACCGGTCATACTTAGTGTAGTTTGTAAACAAAAAATTTGTAAATATAACATTTCCCGTATATATATATATATATATATATATATATCTATATATATATATTTGTGTAATGTAGTGTTGTTTCTATTATTCTGGGAGGTTTATATATTCTCTTTTTCTGCTCGAGACTTTCTTAGGAACACTTTGGAATGTTAGATAGTCCTTCTTTTTCTGCCTGATTTAATCCTAGTTTTCAATGGAATCTCCTTAATGGTTTGAAGAAAAATCCTAAGAAGGCACGTTGATGCTCTGGATTCTGCTGTTAACAAGCTTGTTCATCTCTCCTGACACCTGGGATTTAGTCACTATGGCAAGCTCATGAATGAAGAAGTTGTGAAGTTTATTTATCCATATATTTTGTCATTTCATGGATTGTGCTAAGATAGCGAAGCGCAAACAAAGCAACATAAATTTGGGAGGTAATATAGGCGTCAGAGAACTGGCGAAGTGTACTTTTGTTTTCAGTGAACACAAGGGTTTAAGAGTTTACTGATTGTTCCCTGCGTTACTGTGTGTATGTTACAAGAATTTCCTAGCAGACAGTGTGGTTGAAGTTTTAGGTGTTGGTGATTTATGTCCATGCCTTTGTCATGAATCCTGATAGCTGGTGCTGTTAATAGTTGTTTGGATACAGAGCTCTAGGAATAAATTACTTAAAGAAGCATATTTTTGATAGTATCTTTTGGTGCTTTTTGTTCTGAAACGATTGTTTTAAAACACAATATGCTTCTTGTTAAGAAAGCCTACACCCATCTTGCTAAAAGATTGGGTGAGATATCCTGCATCCACCTTTTTTTTTTCGTATGATGCCACATTTTCAAAAAAAGAAAGAAAGATGGATAATGCCTGGCGTGTGTATATAGACCTTGTGACCAACTAATCCTGGATGCTGTGTTGCTGGCAAATATGAAAATGATAAATTCGAGTCAAGGCTAGTGAAAATATGGAGTGATAGGAAAGCATGGTTGCTGATGTGCCAAAGAATCAAAGATTGTATTGTATCAGATGGGAGCTGATAAAAGACATTCTCAGAGGAAGCTTCATGAGCTGAGCTTTTCGAATTTTATTTTATTTTTTGGAATAAAAACAAGTGGTTGGATTTCATCTACAAGGCAACTTAAGCAATTCTACATATAACGTGCTCGTGCTTCGAAACTGCCCCCAAAAGCTCTGGCTCACGCAGATACCCAAAATCCACAAAAAATCATGGGTGTTTCGTCTCTGTTTCCATTAAAAATCTAATAATCTTGCTTCTTCTTCTCTAAGCATCTGCCCCTAAATACGCAGTCATCTCTTTTCCATTCTAATACTAGGTTTTCCTTCTACATTTTCATCCCTCGCTTCTGCTATATTCTATAGGTAATTTCATGTCTTTATACTCCCGACACAGTACAACTATGAATCCTAGTTCTTGTAATCTGTCTTCCTTTATATTTTTTGAGTTTTGCGAATTGGGTTGTGAATTTGATTGGGGTTTTCGGCTTCAGGTTTGAGACTTCAAGTTTGAGTTGTGAACTCGTTCTTTACTATTTTTTTTCAATGCCCTTGCTGTTGAAACTTCTTGTGCTGTAACTGTTAAAAGTTTATGATTTTCATCTGGCTATCATCTATAGGAAGTTGACTTTTATTATTATTATTATTATTAATTTTTTTATTTTTTATTTTTTGAGAAAATCGAGCTTCCTGTTACTCAAGTTTGCTGTCATGATAGGGGATAGCACTGTCGTCTCCTGCTTTTCTTTTCTTCCAAAATTCCAGTGCAAATGTCCTTCATAAAACAGTTAGAAGTTAGGACAGTCATCAATTTTAAAATCTGGGATTTCTATATATGTCTAAACTCAGGTGCTGTTAACAGAGTTCTTATCAAAGAATAAAATCATTATAATTTTCTGCGAATAATAGAAATGTGTTTCGAGCGTAAAATTATGTTGGGGGTTGCTGGGCTGGGACCGAGATTCCATATGGTGTTTGTTTAAAGTATAGATTAAGCCACATGCATAGAATTCAACTGAATATTTTATGAACACATTTCCATAATCTTAATATTGTCGTTTCTCATTATTTACTACGAGCTCTGTTGTCTAGTACCTGGTGTATGCGTCTATTCTTTACAATAAACTGATGGAGCTAATTTCCTTTCCTTATTTTTGGAGGCCTAAATTATCATAATTTTCTGAAGAATTTAAATTCTTTGTTAATTTCAATTGCAATCGCTTCTTCCTTGGATATGTCACTTGCTTATGGGAACAGGACGTGACAGAAGCTTCCCGTGTGCCAGGTAGTACTCTTACTGGTGGAAGAATGACTGATTCTGCTAAACGACTAAAATATGCAATTTTTTAAATGATCTCATTTTCAAATATAATAGTGAGTTTCACACTCTATTCATAAGAGATTAGTCTAATATGTAACTAATTTCATAACAGTTGCACATGAAAGGTGTGAGCAACTGATCGAATGAAACTAGTCACAACTAAATTGTAATTAATTTTTTTCAAAATTAATTTCGAACCTTTTTAATTTGCAACACGTGAAAGTTCTCAGAAATAAAATTCAATACTCATTGCATTAGATTGATATTATATCTGAAAATAATATTATATGAGCAATTTTTTAAAAAATTACATCAAAAGAATTATCCATGCATGTACTTAATGATGCATGTACTTAATGATGCATGTTATCACAATTGAGCAGAGACTTCTCTATGTATATATTTCTGTGTTCACCTGTTGTGTAATTTAATGGATGTTTGTTGTGAAAAAAGATTAACTTAAAATTCTGCAAAACTTCTTTTAAAATCATTCATTTCTCATAAACAGAATAAACATTATTTTGGATTGTGTGCTGAAATTAGCAGTGTTGCGGGCTTCGACGAGGTTGCAGTGGGTAAGGAACTTGTTTAGCTCTTCAAATGACTCCAAAGAAATTGACAAGTCTTGTTTTAGGTGTCATTCTTGCTTTTCTTAATTATTTCATGTTGTTTTCTTTTAGAAAGATGTCATATCCTCTGCATAAACTTAGCTATATATTTTAATGACACTTCTTCTTTGATAAAAAAGAAACAGCATCTTTTAATTAGTACAGGCCTTTTGAGCAAGAACAAGAAGGGTGTTAAAAATGTCCACATGTAGGCCATAAACTAATCTTTCACGGCACAAGAAGCAAATGACTAATAGAAACCATTATATATTGGTCGTCAAATGTCTTAGGATCTCTTTGAAATGGGCACGTCACATGTTTAGTCCATTACTTGAGCAAATTTAAATAAAGTCTACACCATTTTCAGAAGTTTCACTGCTACAAAACTGGAACCAGAGCTGTATTTCATTGAATAACTTTGGTATATGATCAGAGATACATACTGATATCATTTCAGAAATAGATATATACAACTATATAAGAAGAAAGCAAAATAAGTACAGCACAGGGGGTCGGATCTCACTTCCACAACCCACTTCAAAACATATAAGTATGGAGGCTGATTACACTTGCAGCTCAAATTCACATCATCCTTTCTACTTTCTATCCCCTACTAACCTCTTAATCTATCATAAAATACACCTCAGTACTGTATGAGCCCTAGAATTCACTTTTGTGTTGAGAGATATGCAGATGAATGCATCATGGTTTGAATCTTAATTTTCTACAGCATAGCTAATTTTTTGAGATAAGGTTTTCCTCCATCTGCTCAGGCAATTGTTTTTCTCTCTATAAACGAACTTATTACCATAATCAAAAGAAGATGGAAGTAATGCTATTATATTAAATTTGTATCTAAACCTGAATGAAACTATATCTTACTATTGATACCTTCGGACAATGCAAGTCATTTTCTTTTTAGCATATAATGCTTTTTTTTTTTTTTTTGATAACAGCATATAATGCTTTAGGGTAGAACATACTTAATCGAATGTTAACTTCATTTAAGCAACAAAACCAGAATTTTATTTAATAAAAGAATTTACCAAAAAAATATATTAATCTGTCATGCCAAGCATGCAAGATGTTATTCCGTGTGGCGCCTTGCAAGACACCAAATGAAATAACGCCTATAATATTTTAAAAAAAATTATTAACCCTCGCACCGAATTTAGAAGAGGTCATGGTGCATTCTGTCACATAAGCACGAAGTTTGTTGATGGGGCCTTGTTACATTCGAGATAAATCTTTGTTGTGTGGCTTGTCCTCCTTCACTATTGGGACATCTAGATCACTTTACCAAAGGGAAAGCAATAGCCTTCTCGTAGCATTCTATGGTAAAATCTCAATTGCTTGATTGAGATCCACTGCCCAAGATTGTGATACAGAGCACTGATGCGCAAGATCCTCAAGAATGACGAGAACTTGTTTAAATTGAAGGTGGGGTTGATTGTTAAATGTTAGCCTTTGTCCCATATCAAAATAGACGATTATTATGCCGAATCAATAAATTAAATATGGATTATATAACTATTATGTCACGTGACTAAATTTTTTTTCCTGCAAACACAGATTTGGATGGGGTCTATTGATTTTTTTTGTTCTCCTTCTTGCTTCCACTTAAAAGTGAAAAAAAAAAACAGTGAACCCCATCCAAATCTGTTTGCAAGAAAAAAAAAATTGGTCATGTGACATGATAGTTATATAACCCATTAAATATCACTATTAACCCGTATCCATCATTAATACTTAATCACCATAAGCCCATCAATACCCAAAAAATTCCGAGAATGGGCTAGAATGAAAATAATGGTGAACTGAAAATGATGTTTATTGATTCGGCAAAACAAAATAGTTTATGGCATAGGCAGGCCTTTTCCCAGTCTGCTTCAACGGGGACACGAAGGCTAACATTAAAATCTCACATCCAATTTAAACAAGTTCTTATTCTTTCAAAGCATCTTGTGCACCAGTTCTCCGTTTATCTCACAACCTTTGTGAGTAACCAGGGAATCGAAATCACAGGGAAGGTATTCACACTGCCCTAACCCACGATGACAATGCTGTCCATTTCTCTTTTGCCAAGCGATCCAAATGTCCCAAGAAGATGGAAGACAAGTTGTAATTCTACCCAGAATGCCAACACCACCATGCAAGCAAGCATCGTACTTGTGTACAGAAGTGCCATTATGCCCTTCTCTAGATTTGGCATAATTATTTTATTAAATATTAAAGGCACTATTTCACGTAGTGTCTTGCAACGTACATTGTAAAATAACATCTTACACACCTGGTATTTTTTTTCAATATTTTATGGTAATATTTAAAAAAAAAAAAACATTTTGGTATTGTAACCCAAATGAAGTTAACCTTCATTTACTCATTTACTCATCCTACCCAAAAGCATCATATGCTAATAAGAGAAAGACATAATATCCAAAAACATCAATAGTAAGATGTTAGACCCCAAAGTAATACAACAAAGAAAAAAAAATTGCCTAAATAAAAGAAGGAAAATCTTATTAAAAATTAACTATGTCATAAAAAATTAAAAGAGTATGACAGGATGTACCAAGGTTCGGAAATTACGAAAGGTATAACTTATGGGAAATAAAAAAGCTAATAGAGACTAGAACACTCAAGGCAAAAAGCATGATGTAAATGTGGACAAAAATTGAAATTTGAATTATAAGCTTATAACCACCCTGCACACGTAAGTGGAAAAAAGGAAAACAAGAGGGGTAGATATTTTGGAGTTATAGAAAGGTACCGATCCCTTGAAGTATGTGTCTGAACATTTTCTGCTTTCTTTTCTTATAGTTGTACACATATATTCCTGAAAAATATCCCATTGAGTTACTCAATACAACGTGAAAAAACTAGGAAAAATAAAAAGTGATTCATAAAACAGGATTTGCCAATCTCTTTGCATTTCCACAACATGAAAAAACTAGGAAAAACAAAAATGACACATAAAACAGGATTTGCCAATCTCTTTGCATATCCACCAGAGTCATTTGAATACCACAACAAAATCCATTTGTCCTATACTAAAGAGATCCGTACACAGACTTCAAAAGCTACATAAATGTCCTAAATCTTTATATTAATATGGCATATAACAACACAAGAAAACATTAATCATCCGATTTCTATGAAGTTGAAAACACAAATTTAGTAAAAAGTAACATCAATAACAAATTATATTATTAATGATATTAAAACTTACGCAGAACCATGATTAAGCACCAAAAGACCATCAGTTTGATCTCCTCCAGGCCTGCAACATTGCTATCAACAGCATACAATCCAAAATAATATTTATCCTGTTTATATAAAAAGAAAAAAAATGAATGATTTTAAAAGAAACTCAAGTTAAATTTTTATTGCAATGTGTTAAGCATGTAGTTTTGATCCAGAATTCCAAAAGAACATCCACTAATTACACAATATAAGAATATGTACATAGAAGTCTCTATGCTCACTTGGAATGACGTTCGTCGTTACAACTGTGCTCTTCCTCTGCCCATTTACTCCAGTGATATTTACACGAGCAGATATTGCCAATTCTGCATTGGCACCAACAATCTCAATTTTCATGGGTTTTCCATCCAAAAGTACATTACTAAATCGTTTAAGAGCAGCAAATGCATCACTTCTAGTATGCAAAACTTCAGCTGAACCCTGTAACCCAGTTAAAGATATTAAAGATCGAAATAGAAAGTAACTAATACCAGCATTGTTGAAAGGTTAAGATACATAAAGTATAACTGCTAAACATGGTATTTTCTGTAACATATATCTTCCCAAGAGTTAACATACTTCAACAGGAATCTCAGACTTTCATGCCAAAACAAATCAATTGAAAAATAAACCATGTTGCTCAACATGACTTTTAACAATTTCATGCAGTAACTCCAATAACCACTATTATCAAATCATGAATTGGAAAGCCAATTTTCCAAATAGCAAATTATAAGAATCTTAGCTCAAAAATAGCATAAAAATATGCATCCTCCTACACAATAACATGATTCAATCATTTAATAAGTGACAAATATCAACATACATAATAACATACGATAAGTCATCATGTATCAAAAAGATAAAAGTCTAAACTTAATGTAAATCAAATTCATATCACATGGTCTAATAACTTGAATTTTAAAAACACAAATCAGTACTTTTAATTCTAATTATTTTCTCCAATAACAGTATAGTCATCACTTAGCTCATCCTCCTCCTCCAAAAACCAAGGAGCAAGTCAAGGTTGGTATGGGACCACAGTCATTAAACAAAGGAAAAACACCAACTCTCCCAAAAACTTAAGCTATTAGATGAAGGCACATGAATGGTTTTTAATTATATCTCTAACAAGTTAAATTATGAATCAGAAGGCTGTTTTTATAATGCCCTTTTGGGTCACAAATGATGAGCTAGATCCTGTCATGACCCAGAAGGAAATTATATGTTCAGAATCGTTCGAACTTCCATTCTGGTGATTCCAACTACACTACTGTCCATAAGTTCTATATTTGAAGAACTTCATGACAAGGAGATGAAGATTTTGTTTGAAAAAAGAAAAGTAAGAAAATCATATAAGTAGCTACAATTTCATTGATGGTGAAATACTTCTCCCCCATAAGACAGAATACTGAAATGGTTCCATGTCAAATACTGAGAAACATGCCCATCCAAGTTAGCATGTAATTAACATGGACAAAAAAATGCAATAGCTAGCCAAATTAAATTCCAGGAATATTTTTTAATAACCAAGAACATGAAGATCCAATAAGGAAGTTTCGAGATAACTTCGAGAGAGGTCAGCTAGAAACAGAGACTAAGAAGGAAGTACTGACACAGTATGTACCCTTATGTCGTCTTTAGGTACTCCATGGTCCAGGTTTGAAACATACAATTTTGTGCTTAATTCTATTCCTTGTATCCCTACAGTTCTTAGGCTACTTCAAACAAATCACGCTGACACAAAAAAGGCTTGGTTCTGAGAATGGACTGGAAAAAGCAAACAGAATGAATTTGCACTTGCAAAAGAACACGTGAAATTAAGTATTCCCTATTCTTCAAGAGAGCATGAAAATCAACATAAAAAATAAAACAAGCAATGAAGTAGAAGTGGCCATGTAATATATTATGGGGGGAAGGGGGCTGTAACCATAGTCTAACATCAATATTTTAGGTAAAGGATGGTAAGCAGGAATAGGAATTCAACCAACTGCATATAAACGTGTGGTATGAACCTGTATTATGCTACAAGCGAGAACTCCATTTCTGATGTAAGTGAAGGAAGCTACTCAGCAAAATACCATGAAATAATGAGTAAACCGAATTCTTGCACCATAAAGCCCAACATAGCAAGAGGATCAAATAATGTGTCCACACAACCAGTAAGCAAGCATTTAAAGTCATCTTATTCTTATCCAAATCAAATGGATTAGCATGGGTTAGAGAATTTAACCCCACTTATAGCTATATATTTTTGTGCTACTAATAAAAGCTCCATTTGTAAATTCACGCATGAAGCTCCTTCACATAATAATATGCTAGGAATCACCAAGGAACTCCAGAAAACATCAGAGATACGTAGCAAAGCCCCCAAACACACAAGTAAAAAACTCTTTGGTGCATATTAATTGCAATATTATGGAACTATGACGATTGCATTGAGAATGCAAAATTATCAAGCATGAGCTTCTCATTGGAACAAAATAATAATGTGCAATTTGCACTTGCTTTTCAGCTGCTCGGTGCACTCATTTTCATTCAGCTACATCTTTGGGGAACATTGTAAGAGAAATGGGGCAGGCATTGCCCAGTGTAAGGGAGAGATTCCTTGTAAGAGGACTTCTCTCTTTTTCCTTTATGCAATTCTTCATCGATCAATACGATCACTGTAAAGAATATACACATACACCAGAACTCGTATCACATAAGTAATGAGGAACAACAATATTAAGATTATGGTAATGTGTTCATAAAATATTCAGCTGAATACTAGACATAATGTGGCGCAAACAAACACCAAAAATGAAATCCCCATCCCAGCCCTAACCCCACCAAAGTAAATTAAGTACAAGCAAACTCCAGTTTCTAAAAAAAAAAAAACAGAAAACAATTTCCTATAGATGATAACCAGGTAAAAATCATAAACTTTTAAGCACCGTTGCAGCACAACAAGTTCCAAGAGCAAGGGCATTAAAAAACGGGAAAAACTAGTCTCATACTACATGTGATAAATTTCTCTCCTACACTCTCTTCGATAAACTGTGTCACCTATCTCCTTTAACGTGAGATTAATAAAACCCTTAAAAAAATAGTAAATACCCAGTTCACTGACAACTCTTATTCCGAGTTCAAAAGTCTCAGACTTGGAAAACCCCATTCAATTCGCAAAACCAATTTTAAAGAGAGAATAAAGATTAAAGAATAAGCTTTCAAAATCGTAACCTTTCCGATTCTGGACATGGCCTTAGAGGTTTGAACCTCGTACGTCTTAAGAGAATAAAGCCCATAAGCCAAACTGGACCTTTGTTCATGGTATCAAGTATACTCAAGAAAAGAGGCCTAATTATATTGATGAACAGCACCAATTTTGAAAATAAAATTGGCCAATAAATAAAAAAGGAAAAAATATATTACAATAGTCAAATAGTAATTATTTTGCGTGGAAATAATGAGGATAATGTTATCGACACTATATTTCCTAATACAATGTTTCTTGACTTTTCTAAGCAAGCACCCAATAATCAACTAACTCTCAACTAATTCCCTCAGTTTGTCTTCTACAGTACAACAGACGTAAATATTTTATAATTATAATTTTCTAATCTTTCAATTCCAAAACGACATTGTTTTTTAGAGTAAATTCAGATAACTTATCTACATTAACTGCATAAATATTTTTCTGTTTAATAAATATCAAAAGTTGGTATCACCTTCCTCTCCGCCGATACAACATGATCAGCAATAATAGCCTTCAGAGGCGTTTCAAACTTCTCAACTGAAGCTTGTGGTGCAAAAAACTTGACCATTCTTATCTTATGTAATATGATGGGGAGAGGATAGGGGTTTGCTATATTAAGTTACTCGAGATGTAATCTTGTATTGTAAGAGCACTAAACTAAACTCTAATGCGTTTATATTTGACTAAGTTAATCAGTGAAGACGAATTCCAATTTTCATCTAATTCTTTTTTTTTTTTTTTTTAATATAAGGTGTTAACTGCCGAGGTTCCAGCATGTTATAAGATTTGTCACACGTTACTCCCTTGTTCTGTTAAACGGATTAATTATACACAGATGAACCAATAAAACCTAGGCTGGATCAAATAATATACCGTCATTATCTATTTAATAATTAAGAAAGAATCGACAGCAATAATAATAATAATAATAATAGTAATAAATTAGTCAAGCCTCATGCTACTAATATATTAATTTGAAGAAAAACAAATTATATATAGATTGTTTGAATTATATTAAAAATATCTTTACTCCCTGTAACTTTTGGTTTATATTTAAAAAACATTTTCAGATTATATATGGTTTGGATTTTGGAACTTAACAACAGGCTTGGAATCTGTTGGTTTTCCTTTTGCTAATTTATCAGTGACCATTACGCAGTGCTCGAGAAGAAAATTTACAATAACAACAAAAAAAACTCAGATCAAGTGGTCGTTTATAATAAAAAATATAGAGGCGGCCACTTCACTGGCGATTTTGCATTTGTCCATTTACGGTACAGACAATGGTCATAATTGTTTTAGCGCTGCCCCGTGTGCTCTGGGAATCGGGACAGTGACTAAAATGTCACGTTTTGGTAAAAAAATTATCAAAATGTCACGTGAACAGTAAAATTTTTCAAACTGTCACGCGGCATAATTCGATACACAGTGTAGTGAAATATGTCACGTCAGAATGCACAGAACCAAAAAGTGTCCTGTGTCAGAATGTTGAAATTCGCTACATAGAGTAGCGAATTTCAACAATTTTGACACATGACACTTTTTGGTTCTGACGTGTCGTATTTCACTACACTGTGTAACGAATTATTTGCATGCATAATTTGCTACAATGTGTAGCGAATTATGCCGCATGACAGTTTAAATTTTTTTACTGTTTGCGTGACATTCTGGTAATTTTTTTGCCAAAACGTAGCAAAATGGTGACTGACCCTTGGGAATCATCTTACTGCACCGCAAATCCAGCTATGAATTATATTAAGTTAAGGAATTTGTTCATTTTAAAGAAATAAAACATATACTGAATCAAAAATTATAATAAAATTATTAAATATATTCAGTGTTGTTTGTTTCTTTAGATAATAAAGAGTATTTGATATAACATATAAAATACTCTTTAATTAATGCTTTTAGATGTTCATTAACAGAATCCTTAAATTAATGATTATATGTTTTTTTTAAATAAACTTAAAAATTTCCTTTTTATTTATTTATTTATTTATTGTGCATCCCGTATAAAACTCTATTTGAGGAAGTCATTCAGAGCCCACCAAACTTATGTGGTCAATTCAACTTAATTATGAATTATTATTTTTCAAAGTTATGCTAAACCAGTGTAGCAAAGTGGCACAGGTTTCCCGATGATTTGTCAACACTTTTACTGTATGAGTTGAAATTTGAATGATATTAAATTTGCAGGCGAAACTGACCTAACGCCCATCCCTCTGTATTTTTGTGTGTTATGCAACTAACTCTTTGACAAAAAAATTAATTTATTATTTTTTGAATAAAAAATTATAAATAAGTAGTCATTTTAAAATTAATTACGAAAATATAACAGTCAAACACATCCCATAGAGGCGTGACCAGTTGGAGAGAGACACGCTCAATGTTGGGCGTGACCTAAGCGTGACTCACGCCCACATTGGGCATGACCAAGTTGGAGAGAGACACGCCCAATGTTGGGCGTGACCGAGGAGAGAGACACGCCCAATGTTGGGCGTGTTTCACCAGGTGCTGCCACGTGTCATAAAAGTCAATAATTTGACCGTAAAACTTTGGAAGTCCATAACTTTTGACTCGGGTATCCGAATTAGGTAATTTTTTTTAATTCCACATAACTTTTCGAGATCTACGTAATGACACCTAATTTGACCTATTTTGTCTCTCACAAAAAAATTGAATTTACAACAATGATACCATAATTATTAAAAATGACATGACTTTGTTACCTTATAATTATTACTAAAAATAATCCAACATTTTTATAATCATGAACAAAAACTTAAAAATCAAAATAAAATGAAAAGCACTCACTTAACTTATTGATATAAATTATTCGATATTCTGTAACCGATAGATGTTAACTTTTATTAATTATCAATTTCATAAAATTCTTCATTCAAAATTTTAATATATATCTCAATAACATACATAATTAACCTTATCATAATCTTTATTATGAATGTTTCTAATCATAACAGTGGTTTTCTGTCCATTAATTTTTGTTTAAACGTTCTTATGATATCATTATTATAAATTCAATTTTTTTTTTGTGAGAGACAAAATATGCCAAATAAGGTGTCATTACGTAGATCTTGAAAAGTTATGTGGATTCAAAAAAAAATACCTAATTCGGATACCCGAGTCAAAAGTTATGGACTTCCAAAGTTTTACGGTCAAACTGTTGGCTTTTGTGCCACGTGGCAGCACCTGGTGAAACACGCCCAACATTGGGCGTGTCTCTCTCCAACCGGTCACGCCCCTATGGGACGTGTTTAACTGCTATATTTTCGTAATTAATTTCAAAACGACTACTTATTCGTAATTTTTTATTAAAAAAGCAATAAATTAATTTTTTTGCCACCAACTCTTTCTTTCTTTCTTTCTCTGAAGTGTCATGCAGTTACTTTTATTTTTTGGTTCAGAATTTAGTAATTAGTGTGTTTCGGATGGATTTTGGGATTAAGATTTTAAATTCATTTCAAAAGAATATTGGAGACGATCGAACACATGTTTTCATTTCCACATGCTCAGTTTTCTAGTTTTAACTGAGTTACCATCATTTGGTTATGCAATTACTTATGAAATGACTCTTAATAGTTTAGGATTTTATGTTTATCATGTTATAGGAGATAAATTTATCTTTTATACATGCATAAAAATATGTGAGGTCTGTATAGGTCAATGTGAGGAAAAGAAAGAGAATAATAAAAATATGGCTCATGTTTTATATATATATATATATATATATAGTAGATAAATTTATCTCTTATAATACGAAAAATATTAAATCCAATAGTTTTAGTTTTTTTTGTACAAGGAAACTCAATAATTTAAGGATTTTATAATTATCATGTTACATGAGAAGAGAGATGCCAAAGATAAAAAATTATATGAAACTCATATATTGAAAAAAGAGATGTGTGAAATTTATGTTAGTACAAAAATCGAAAGATATATAGAAATTTTTGTTTTCTGATATTATATAAGAATTACAAAACCGATAGTTTAAATTGTTAGTGAATGCAAAAAAATAATTTATATATTATATTTTGTTTATAAGATAAATAAAGAGAAAATCTACTATTATGTTACATGTGACAATTTTTTCTTTTACATATCTTTCGATAACCGTATCATTTTTTTTTTTTTTCAGATGATAGAGCTCACAAATTTATCTTTATGACATGAGATAATTTATTTCCTTTAACATGAGATTAATAAAACTTATGAATAAAAGTTGAAAATGGGAATTTTATATATTATACAAGTAAACCCACTAGTTCGCTTGAAGTGCAACAAATACGACATACTGGGAGGGAAGCGTAGAATAACGGTGGAGGTGGAGCCTACACTTTAAGCAGGCGTGGCGTGGGTGTGCTGTGTGAATTGGATAGGATGATTACAGCTGATTTTTTTTGTTTTTCTTAATTAATCTTCACCTACCACCGCCTCCATTCCTAAGCATAGACGAGGGACCTACCCAATATTTCGCTGACATTAAAATTGGCTAGCAGAGTCGTTTGCAAACTTACATTGTCAAACAGAGACTGTAATACTTCTTAGAGGTGTTTAATAAAAGAGATATTTTTTTTTCCCAAAAAAATATCTCCAAGAATATGGGAGATTTTTTTTCCTGAAAAAGTGTTTGGTAGGTCTAAATTTTTATTGAAAATGTTGAATTAATTATAATGATGTTATAAGAAAATAAAAATACCATATATCAGAAGTTATTTTTGTTTGGGATTCTGTAGGGATATTTGCGGTTTTGAAAGTAAAAATTATCTGATCCAATTCCTTTGGTTTGATCATGTAATTATTCATTCAGTTTGAATTTTTTTTCAAATCCAATCCAATTTTTTTCGGTTTGGATTGGATCATTTTTCGACCTAAAATTTGTACGATGATTATTATGCAAATAACATATCTTTTTAATGTATTGACTTTGTAAAATTTGTATGATGATTATTGTGCAATCTAGAAGTATCATGCACCGATGATCTATTTTTTAATATAGTATAACAAAGAGTTGAATTACTATCTTTTAACTCAAACAAAAAATTTACGATGTGGTTGCTTGAGATACGGAGTAACATAGATCAAAAGCATAACAAGCACAAAAAAGCATTGACAACATGATGGAATTGACAACATTATTTTTCCTCTGACGAAAAAATTTCAATAACACGTGCAATGAAAAATATATGATGTATCTTACAAAACAAAAATATAACATAGATCGAGCACAACCGAAAATGGAGAAACATATCATTAGGATATTGTATTTGATTAGGATTTTACATGCAATTATTAATTATCAATAATTTTTATATTTAATTAGAATTATATTTTCTCTTGCGTTTAGAGGTTGATAGATTAATAAGTCTTAAATTTAGAATTTTGCTATATGATTTTTGAGCTATGACTGGGGAATAGGCTAAAGTGGGTAGAGGGTAAGGTTGAGGAATCACTGAATTGGTTCAGATTGGATCAATTTTCACAAACCAAACCGCAGACTGATCCAATTCAATTAAATTTTGCGATTTTTTTCAATTTTCGGTTAATTCGGTTATCGATTTTTCGGTTCGGTCACTGCGGTTTGGATCAGTTGATGAACACCCTAGGATTCTATAGTTAAAACTGAAAAGATGGGAAAAAAAGATTTCCGAAGATATTTTTAATTTTCTCATACCAAACGTTGGAAAAAAATTTGCCCCACCCCACTTCCCAGGATTTAAAAAAAAAACTCCATACCAAACAACCCCTCACTTCTTTATCGGTTAATGATATTGGAGGTTAGTTAAAAAAAAATCTCATACTTAATATAAATTGATATTATTATTAGAGAAAAATATTTTACCTCACATGCGACAAATTCCAAACCGATTGTGACCATTGCTATAAAAATTTAGTGTAAAAATGAAAAAATTTATATTTTTATATTTTCATTGAAGTGATACATGTTAAAATGCAAATAAAAACTTTCTCAATAAAAATTGATAAAAACGACAGAAACGTAAGTTTATGCATTTTTACTTAAACAAAAAACTAAATCAGATCTTATATATAAAAAAATTGAACTAGGTCAACTTTTAACCCACAAATCGATTTTCTCCATTCCCCTAAATCAAAATGCACAATGAAAAAAGAAAAGCCTCGCACGGGGTCGCTATTGCAGAGAAAGAAGAAAGTGAAACCACTGGTTAAAAGTTTGAATACCAAGTTTTATTGCAAATTAACTTATTATAGGATCAAGAGAAGATGACATGTAACTGGTGCAAGATGATGTATTTGATTTGAATCAATTGATATAAATCAAGATGATGCAAGAAAAAAGAAAAGCCTCGCACGGGGGTCGCTATTGAATAGTTGTTAAACTTTTTTTGCGTTTTTGAACTTATATTTTATATAGTTATGTAACTTATATCTTTTAAATAGGAAGTTGTTCATTGAATTTTGAGTAGTAACGTATGTGATATATATATATATTTTTTTTTTGTATCTTGACCTTAAGTAGTTGAAACTTTACGTTTTGTATTGTTTCTACCATCCTCTTCCGTTTCTAAGTAGAAACTTGATTTTGATAACATTGATTGTGATAGAATATTAAGCGTATGTTTGTGAAGATTTTTTTTTTTTCAGTTTTTCTTCTCTTTATATGCAAAAATTTTGCCAAACAAATTTTTATAAAATATCTTATTATGAAAAGAGCTTTTTTATATAATAAAAACAAGTTAAAAATTAAAGCTAAAGCTCTTAATATGAGATTTTTTATGTCAACTTTTTTACTCCTTAATTATTTACAGTTTTATCCTTATTCTAAACTTACTTTTATAAATTTTATCATTTATTGTAATAATTTATTCTAATAATAATTACCAAACAACTTTTAATTTTATTATTTATTTATTTTTTTATATCTGTAACTTGAAAAAATGTGCTAAACATGCTCAAAACCCATATTATTAGTTTAAATATATTTTAATTTTAAAAATGACATTTATTTTTAATTTATTTGTTATACAAAATAAATTATTTGATTTTATAGATAAATTATTTTTTTTTCGTTTATTGTGATTACAATATCATGAGATTGATATAAAGTGTATAAACTAAATTAAACAAAGGTTCTATTTTCTCGTATTGTTAGAGATAAATATCTCCTGCCATATAGACACTTGATGTGGTGGGTCCACCATCTATTAACAAAAAATGGCACAAATTTTTATATAAAAAATAATTATTTTATATAAAATGAGATAATAATTTTCCTTAAACAAAAGCATATCACGTGTACAGACAAAAAATATACCGTTTTCATTACGTATACTTATTTTTAATTTATTTCTCACAATTTATGTTGTTATGATTTTTAACAGAGAATATTTTAATAATAAAAGACGCTAAGGGTTAAATTAAAATGATTGTACGAGACTATATTAAAAACGTATGAAATTTGTGCCCGAAAAAAGGTATCAAATTGAAATAAACATAATGTATAGTGATTAAAAATATAATTTAACTTACTATTAACAATTCGTGTATATTACTATTTAAAATTGTATCATCTATTTTTTTACTTGAATAAGTACGTAGAAAAAAGAAATTGGAACAGAATAATAACTCATAAAACAGAATAAAATTCCTAAAGAAATAATACCAATATATATGATCTGATATTAATAAACAAATTTAAAAATAAAAAAATTTAAAAATTCATTGGAGGCTGTCTCAAAAATAAAATTAAAAATCCTAGCAGATATTAATGATTATATTTGCAACTTTACCATTTCATTAATTTTTAGACTTATTTATTTTCCAAATTTGAATATTCAATCAGGGGAAGGATCTGTTTACAAATTTTTGCAAATTAAATTATGTACTTCTGGGAGAACATAGTGTAACCTAGTATTCTTCCAGAAGAATATAATGTAATTTATAAGAGTTTGTAAAAGAAAAAATATAATCCTTCTCGTCAAACATAGCATACTTCCTACAATTAGATTTTCATAGCCGTATATAAACTGATATATTAAGTAATTTAATTTACCTGTACACCAAAACATTTTGAATAATTTTTTTTTACAGGATTACATATTTTGTAATAAAATATTGTTTCTCCCTTCTATGTTTATCCAATCTTTGGGAAAACAAATCAATCAGAAGCACTCAATTTAGAAGTTAATTATTCTTCTTCCATATAATAACTCAAACCTTGTAAGTTTTAACTACTGAGTTGGTATGGACGTATGGTAACCTGACAATCTATAGAGATAAACTTATCTCCTGGATTTGCCAAAGACTTAGTACGAGAGAATGATGTAAGGTGTCCCACTTAAGTTTGACCTCCATACCAAAGATTCATATTAAATTTTTTTACACAAATACGACTTGCCACTGGACACAATATAAATAAAGAAAACAAAAGTATCGTTTTAAAGGATACAAGTTTGTATCTTTTTAAGTGATTTACACAAAGTATGATTGGTCATACTTTGTGTAAATATGAGAAGTTTTTTTTTTTCTCCCCAATCACATCATGTAAAGTGAAAAAAATAACTTTTCAAATTTACACATAACTTGTGAATATAACCTGTGTAAGTCACTAAAAAGACATAACTTATGTCCTTTTAAATGACACACTAGACCCTATAAATAATATGCTAATTTAAAGGTGTCCCACTTAATATGTGAATATGAATAAGAGATCGTATCCTTTGACATTAAAATTTAAAATTTGACACCTCATTTGAGAGTTACTAAATCAAAAAAGATCAACGACTCTGATTTGTAAACATGTGAGATCATTGATTTTTTTTTTTTATCTAACAGTTCTTAAATGAGATGTAAAACTTTAAATTTGATACTTATATCAAACGATCCTAGCTCTGTGAATAATTAGCTATCTAAAAGTTTCCTTTTAATTAACATGAGGTGACACGACATAATTAACCCATGTATTAAATATTGCTTTTTTGGTAAAAGTAGGTAGGTATCAGAATTACAAAAAAAAAAAAAAAAAAAACAATGGATTCGTTTTCTAATTCAGTGACAAATCTCAGCTCCTTGTTATTCTGTACATAACAGAACTGCCTATTAGTTAAAGACAAACATCATTTAAATCGTCCCTCTCAAGTCAACATCTACTGCTACTGTAGTTTTGGAATACATTTGTTTGTTTTGTTATCGTTGTTGATTCGAAAAAAAAAAAAAAAACATTTTCCAATCAAGGAAACGAGGGTGTTGGCAAGTAAATGAATCCAGATATAGAGACAAGTCCAACAAGTTTTTTCTTTTCCTATCTGATACAACAGAGTACATACTGTGTTCATTTTTGAGATTTTGATCTATGTGATAGGTTGTGGCTACACAAAATGGTGCCTGAAAACATGAAGAAACAACTTGCTTTGGCTTTGAGAAGCATCCAGTGGAGCTACGCAATCTTCTGGTCCAGTTCAGCTACCCAACCCGGGTGGGTACTAACTGTTTCATTCACTGTATCTCTATTGTGATTTTTTTATTTTTTTTATTGAGTTTGCTCTTTCCCCTTCTTGAATATGTTGGTTTTCCAATACATGGAAAGACTTTATATTGGATGAGGCATATTATGATTTATTTTTCTCCTCTTGGTTAGTTTGACATCCAAGTGAATCTGTTTTATTGCTCCGACTAATGTGGATGATGGCGAAGTTTGATTGTGCAGTTTTGTTTTATACTAATGGAAGAGAATAATAAATCAACAATTCTAATCTAACCAACTACATAGCTACTTGAAATTCTGACTTCACTAATAGATTTTCTGGTATTACTGGTTATAAAGTTGTTTGCTAAGAAGCCATTATATTCAAAATTAATTTTTTGGCTGATAATTTTGAAGGGTCTTGAGCTGGGGGGAAGGTTATTACAATGGAGATATTAAGACTAGGAAAACAAGTCAAGGAGTAGAACTTAATTCTGATCAAATAGGCTTGCAGAGGAGTGAGCAACTGCGAGAGCTATTCAAGTCCCTCAAAACTGCAGAAACCAGCCCACAAACCAAAAGGCCTTCAGCGGCACTGTCCCCTGAAGATCTTACAGATACTGAGTGGTATTATTTGGTTTGCATGTCCTTCGTATTCAACATTGGCAAAGGGTAAATAATTTCTCATTTTTTCCTTTTTTTTTTTTTTTTTTTTTTTAAGTTTTGGATAATCAAATTGTCTTCCCTAAATGGGGGTTGTGTAATCTGAAGTGTGTGTTAGTCTTAGTTATCTTCAAATCTGTGTATGCTCGTAGGTTACCAGGAAGAGCTCTAGCAAATGGCCAACCCATTTGGCTCAACAATGCCAATTCCACTGATTGTAGAGTTTTTAGTCGCTCTCTGCTGGCAAAGGTAAGATTCTGTTTCTTGACTTTGCTTGATTAGAATGTCGTTTTTTTTTATACTCTTTAACTCTTTACCTTGCTTAAAATGACAAAAAAGTCTGAAATATGTCTTCTTTGTTTGGTTTTTGTTTCATAAACACACACGTGACAATTGTCTTCTCTCATGCTCAGAGTGCATCCATTCAGGTAAACATCCTGATTTTTCTTTACTTAATCATCCCTGTACTATAAACTCCAATAGTTATTAACATGTTATCTTAGTACTATCAAATATGATGCGAAGAAATTTAGATGTGTTCGAAGAGGTCTTGCTTTTGAAACCAATCTGTACTCTGTAGTGTTTGGTCTGGAATTTATGCAACAATATGTATCTTAAATTCCTAATTAGTAATTACACCAAGTAGAAGAGAAAGCACTCTAACATTCGTCCTGCATTCATGACAATTTCCTCTGGACATAAGCAGTAGACCTGTAGTTTCTGCAATGGTAGCTTGTTATCCTAATTCCCAATCAAGGCAAGACTACTTAAAATCTTGTGATCTGTTCCGTGCATGTAGTTTTCTTCCAACAAGGGACTGAGATTCCAAATCTACGACTACGATGACCATAATGACCATCAAAACTAATTTCTGTCATATTTAGTAGGAAAAATCTAATCAATGCACTGTGTAATTTGTTTTCTGCATCTCATCTTTCAGACAGTGGCGTGCTTTCCTTTTATGGAAGGGGTTATTGAGCTAGGTACAACTGATCTGGTCAGTTTTCCCTTGATTTTAACATAATATTTTTATTCTGTTATCCCCCCCAACCACCTCACAACCATGTTGCTGATTTCTTCCCTTTTTTGTGTGTGAAGGTCTCAGAAGACCTCAGTATCCTTCAACGGATCAGAACTTCTTTCTTGAATATTCTGTATGTCAATGTTCCTAATAAGTCTGGAGCTACATTGAAATCAAGAAATGAGGAAGATATTGCTTGTGTAGCATTTGATCATAATGCATATGATGTTGAATCAATTCCAGAAGTAGGGTATGAAGTAATCAACACAGCCTCTCCTAATGGTAGTTCAAATGCTTTACAAGCCAATCAAGCACCAGATGAAACATGCATGGTTGAAAAGATAAACGGTGGCACCTCTCAATTCCAAAGCTGGCAAGTTATGGATGATGAATTGAGCAACTGTGTCCCTAACTCCATGAATTCTAGTGACTGTATATCACAAACTTTTGCCAGCTATGAGAAGATTGCTTCTGCTTCCATGGGTGAAAACCCTTCTGACCCTTGTGCTAGAGACATTCAAAAGTGCAATAACCCAAAAATGACCTTAGTGGATCCTCTAAGTGATGATCGCCATTATCAGAGAGTTCTTTCTTCCATTTTAAAAACCTCAGACCAGTTAATTATGGGGATGCATTTTCAAAATTCTCATCGTGAATCAAGCTTTGCCAGTTGGAAGAAAGGAGGGGCAATAGATTACCAAAGGCCAAGAGCAGGAACCTCACAAAACTTATTGAAGAAAGTAGTGTTTGAAGTTCCAAGGATGCACTTGGATGGGCTGCTCGAGTCTCAAGAAGAGAATGATTATAAAGAAGGAATGAGACTAGAGGGTGATGAAATTGGCATGAACCACGTTATGTCAGAAAGAAGGAGAAGAGCAAAACTAAATGAAAGGTTTTTAACCCTTAGATCAATGGTCCCTTCAATTAGTAAGGTAATATATATTTTAGTCATGACATTTGTTCGCTTGATTTTCACTGCTCCTATTGATTAAATGCATCATTCTTGCAGGATGACAAAGTTTCAATACTAGATGATGCAATTGAATACCTTAGAAAGCTTGAGAAAAGGATAGGAGAGTTGGAAGCTCGCAGGGAGCTAATAGATATGGAGACTAGGACTAAAAAATCACCTCAAGATTTGGAGGAGAGGACTTCTGATCAGTATTTTAACAAAACTAACAATGGCAAGAAATCAGTGATAAAAAAGAGGAAAGCTTGTGAGATAGATGAGACAGGGCTAGAGATTAACTCAGATGCTTTTAGAGGCAGTTCAACTAAAGATATTACTGTCAATATGAGTGACAATAAAGTTGTGATCGAAATGAAGTGCCCTTCGAGAGCAGGAAGACTGCTGGAAATTATGGAAGCAGTTAACAGTCTCAGTATAGACTTCAATTCAGTTCAGTCGACAGAAGCTGATGGGAATCTTTTTCTGACCATTAAATCTAAGGTGAGCACTTGGATATGTCTTTTTGGTTTTATACTTTTATTTGTTAAACAGAACATGAATAACTGATAATGTTCTGCATTTTATATTTGTTTCATACTTCCTAGCATGATCATCTCTCAAGTGTATACCCCATTGCCTTTTATCCTTTATTTGCAGTTCACAGGATCAACTGTTGCAACAGCAAAAAGGATCAAACAAACACTCCAAAAAGTGGCTTCGAAGTGTTGAATCTTTTGATTTCCCTAAAAAACCATGGGGATGTTCAATTTAGTTCCTTCCACTGCCGTGTGACTGAGGGTTCATTAGATTGATGGAGTCACAGCTGCAAGTTCTTCTTGGAGATTCTTTTTGAAGACTTTTAATAAAAGGAAAAAATATAGTTTTTGGGCAATACCATAACTCTTGGTGATGTAACATGGACTTTTGTTTAAGCAGTTGTAAATGAGTAGATAGACTTAGTTGACTAGCCATTAGCTCCTATAGCTTAAAACAGCATGAACATTGACCACTGACTATATTTTGATCGCTAGACACACATTCTTAATTATGGTAATCTTTCAAGTAGCACGTGATATTGAAAATGAACCCATCTACATTATTTGCCGAGAGCATCATACTGAAGTGAACAACTATTTTGACCTCATTTTTGTTTTTTTTTCTGTATGAATCAATAATTCTCACTTTGTTTACAGATTTCTAAGTCATGGGACTCTAAAATTCATGTGGCTTAAGAAATGCATGTAGATTTTAGAGAGTACACGTAATATACATACAGATTCTCAACATGAAAGAACACATTCCTATTAGAACTTCTCATTACATACTCATCCAATTTCATAATCTTTCCTATCTAGTAATGTAAAAAGAGAAAGCATCAAGTATTTGTAGAGGAAAATAAAATACTGGGAGGATTGCAAGGGTTGTAAATTGTCTCCTCTTTATAATGAAATACTGTACGGGTGAAACATTAATGGTAAAAAATTATATTACAGAAGTGACAAATTTTGACCCATAGTTGTGATTACCATCAATTATTCCATTCATTTTTATTGACGGTGTAAAGAACCAATTCAACCCAAAATGTTAAGCCGTTGGGTGGGTGAGACTATTTATATATCTCAACATGCTCCCTCACACGAGAGTCCAGGGCTTAAAGGGTGGACAATGCACAAGCCCACTACCTGTGCGAAGAAAGAAAGTGGGGTGGCGAGGATCGAACTCGGTACACCGAGACTATGATACCATGTAAAGAACTAATTCAACCCAAAAGCTTAAGCTGTTGGGTGAGACTACATTAATAATTTTATATATTCCAACAAATGAGATTAATATTTATCATTTTATAAGAAATAATTTTATCTCCTATACATATATAAAAGTATGTGGGGCCTGTATGAGGCTATGTGAAAAGAAGAAAAAGAAAATATAAACCTCACACACTTTCAGTGTGAACACTGTGTGTAGGAAATAAAATTATCCCCACATGAGAAATATTAATCTCTTTATTTATTTATTCCCTAAGAATACTTGGTCTTGGTCAAATTAAGTTTACAGTATTATAATATTTCTACTTTTTATATTGAGATCAAAGCACTACTTTGCTGGCTCTTGACGGATCCATGCGTAGATCAGTTTTTAAAGTATGGGGTAATACAACCCACAGCCGGCCAGAATATTCCAATTTGTTGTCAAGAGATAGTATCTGGTCATATTAATTCAATATACTTAAAATAATGATGTTCACACCATTCAATAGTACTGCATTATGCGAGTAAAAAAGAGAATATCTTGACTAAGGGGATAATTTTCAATACGACCTGCTAATATTAATTTGAACATGATATGAATTTCTTTTTTTATGTGTATCAACCACTGCCGACCCCAAAAAAATCATACTGTGTTCTTGTTAGGGATATTCATATTATTAAATAATTATTTAATTATTTATTAATTTAAGGCAATTTAAATAATTTTTATTCACAAAAATAAAATTTAAAAATTATTTATGTCGTATCATATAAGTCTGTAGAATAAAATAAGTTGTATTTATATACAAAATTTTAACACAAATAACTATTTGTATGATCATCATATTGAATTCATATCAATCCAAGCACAGATGAAAATTTTCATAAAATTTTTTTGTGACTGAGAATGTCAGTCAAAAATACTACTGAAATGATGATATTCTCGAATTCCCATGGAAAAAATTTCAGATGATTGATAATTAACACTCCCTTCGACCCTATCCGTGACAGATATTATCTATAGTTGTCACTTTTCAACCCTATGCTTCCTAACGCTCTGGTAAGCTTTTTCATGTTTCCATAGCTTCACATTGTTTTTGCTTCATTTTGCTCCGAGATTTTTCCTCAAACTTTATTATTATTATATGCTGGAAGAATAATTGCACTTTTTTGGTCCATTTCTAACAAAATGCAAAATAATACTGGTTCAAACTGAGTTTGAAGGAATTAGTTGAGGCGCTTGTATTTAGTGCTGGTTCTGACAAATAGTGCAGTGTTGTTCTTCGTGATTTTTTTTTTTGTTTTTAAATGCTGATTTTGTTTTATTTTTAGATTATGTAAAAATGAAAATTTAATTTTAAATTGTAAATGTTTTGAATGAAAATGATGGGTAGGGTTAGTTTGGTAAAATTATCTCACATTTTTAATAATATTTGATAATTAATCAAACGTAAATCTAAAAAATTTAAGTCAACATTTTTGATAATATTTTAACTTACTAAATAATTTAAATTTTTTTTTTTTTTTGAAAACTCATTTTTCTATCATATTTTCAATAATCATAATTTTTGAATAATTTTTTTTTCCGAATATTCAACTTCAAAGTACTATGGACCTCACTGCACTGCACCTACCCTTTGATTGCTTTATGGATGTCATACGTTCGCTGCTGACACTTGGTAGTAGGAAAAAAAAAATTAGTCAGGAGAGTGGAGTGAGAAAAATAATTTAACCATCAAAAGGAGTAAAATTAAAAAGTGATTGGGAATTTTTTTTTGATGGGTAACAATTTGAATGATATCAATAGGAAATATTACCATCTAAGGTATGGTAAAATAATCTTTTCTTATCTTATCCAGTAATAAATTTTGGTCTACTAAATATTTTTTCTTATCTTATCCGGTTATAAATTTTTCCCACCATGTTCTCGACAAATTTTTTCACTGATAAAAAAAATATCTCCTCTATCAAATATCCCTTAAGTGAATGTATGTATTTGACTATAGACCTCGTGAGTAAAGGTACTAATATATTGTTTAATATTTTATTAATAGATGATATCTTATGTTGTCTTGATAAGAAGAAAACTCATATCATTTAGATATTGTATTTGATATTAAAAAAATTAAAATGACAGCTGGCTTTCCACGAGCACACAATGAATGACTGATTCGTTGTCCGTTCTCGAACTCAATCATGATGAGACTTCTGATCCTGAATGATGTCTCGTAGTAAACAATCGGGACTCTTGGAATTTGACCAGGTTTTTCACTGTGTGGACCCTTTTTTTCTTTCAGAAACTAGACATTAATGCATTCATAGAATATTTTTTTTTTTTTGGTATAAAATAATGAAAATCGAACATATAATTTAATATAAATTATTTAATTTTTTAAGAAATTTATTTTTTTAATTCAAAAGACTAAGGTGCATTTAATACATATTTTGTTGAATGACCAACATACAAAAATAAGAATTTTATACTATTATCTACCAAATTTTTTTTTTATACTATTCGTTATTTAATATAATTATTAGAATATTTTTATGCTTGATATGCGTACAGTATGATTGGAAACATTAAAGAACAAAGATTAATGATTTTTGATTCTGTAAATAAAATTGTCATTCGATTAGAGAGTAACAAATTCAATCTTTAATATCATTTCTCAAGTTATTTTATCCAATATTTCTATTATTTTAAAAATCAAATATAATTTTTTATCAAATACTTTAATTTATTCCACTTAATATAAATGCCAACAAAAATTTCAAAAAATTAATAATAAAATTTTACAAATAATTTATTTCCTTTAAAGTGATATAATTTCAAACAAACAAAAACGTATAAAGCAACAAGGACAAAGATATTTTTTGATTCTGCGTACAGTATGATTGGAAACATTAAAGAACAAAGATTAATGATTTTTGATTCTGTAAATAAAATTGTCATTCGATTAGAGAGTAACAAATTCAATCTTTAATATCATTTCTCAAGTTATTTTATCCAATATTACTATTATTTTAAAAATCAAATATAATTTTTTATCAAATACTTTAATTTATTCCACTTAATATAAATGCCAACAAATAAAATTAAAAATTTCAAAAAATTAATAATAAAATTTTACAAATAATTTATTTCCTTTAAAGTGATATAATTTCAAACAAACAAAAACGTATAAAGCAACAAGGATTTAGGGCAAAAATTAAAGTTTTTTTATAATTATAATTTAGTTCAAAATTATAATAATATTTTTTCATTATAATTTTTTAAATTTTCAACTTAAAATGATGTCATTTTGAAAGTAAATATAAATAATTTATTTAGAAACATTAAAGCCAAACAATAATTATTTTAAGGAAAAAATACGTGTTATTTTAAAGAATGTAAAATTATATTATTTTAAATGAGAGAAAAAAATAGATAAAAAAAGAGAGAAAGAGTCGGCAAAAAAAATATAAGCATAAATCTCATTTCTTTGTGAGAGTAAAATGACAAAAATTGTATCATTTAAAAGGATAATCATTTTTTCCTTATCTTAAACCAGAGCGGTACTTACAAATCAAAGTTTTGCATGTTCAAGAAAAAAAAAAAAAGACAGGTGATTGAAAATGTCTCTCTATGGAACACAAGAAGTGACAAATATTAGCAATAACACGAAAGAGCACTAAAAGACATTAATTATAAGAAAAAAATATTTCTAATTTTATTGCACTAAATTTTTTCTGTTAGGCAGAAAAATATTATTTCCAATATAAATAAAAAAGTGACAGGCTTATTTACCAAAGCGTGTAAAACCTGCCACATAACCCACTTTCATGTTATCTAATGCAGCCGGGCATATATTTACACCCATCAACAGCAACACAGATCATGAGATGACAAGTGTATAATTAATAATACTTTCTATAGTTGAGGAACAAAATTCATTAATAAAATTGATTCATGAGTAAAAAAATCATTACAATGAAATAACTTTGTTTATGGTCCTCTGAACTCTAGCTATTCCAATCTCAAGAATCATACCAATCCCATCATCAATTCCCATATCAATCTAGACAGGCAGGGAAGAACAAGATACCCAAACAAGTAATAAACAGCAAGAACCTTAACCCATATACAGTTTGAAGTACCTCATTACTTTTGCAGAGTAAAGCATTAAATGTGATATTATTCCCATTCAATTGTTGATGGCGGCTTGGACGTAATGTCTTGCACAACACGGTTTACACCACGGACACCATTACAGATCTTTCGCGCAACATCGTCAAGGAATTTGTGCTCAAAGTAGTACCTGGGATTTATTTCATAATATAGTTAAAACAAATTGCATTGAATGGGATAGTTTCATAAATAGGAAAAGAAAATCCCATAGAAAAATTTAAAGGAACTTGCATTCCAAGTAAAAAATCAATGCCCTGAAACTGATGTATGTTTAACAAGGACAATGCCCAAGTATTTAATTAAGATCAAGATATAGCTTAATGAGATGATAGTGTGCTTAAGAAACACCACTTCCTCCTGTATATTTCAGAATTTTCATATATTAGGCGTTCTTTAAAGTCTCGAGTAGGTGTATAAGTTCTTATAATCTCGCGGTAAAGACATTGACGGAGCCAGCAAAGTAACCAAGCCAGGGCCTAAAAATTTAGTCCGTGCCAAACACTAAATTTTTGAAACGTGGCTAGCTACGATTATTTGGCTATGTTTAAAACGCGGCTAATTTTTAAAAATTAACCAAGGCCAAGGCACAGGCTAGAGCCAATGTGGCTCCGCCACCTGATAAAGAAACCTTCTGCAGTATCAAATAAATATGCAACAGCAACAATATTGAAAAGCAGAATATTCTATCATGGGAATCGCATCAGACTTTATTTGTTTCATTGAATAATTTGCTAGAAGCATATTTGACCTACAGATGGTAATTTAGTACCATTTTTAAAAAAGAAAGAAAGATTATGCAGCAGCAACACAGCATAACCAAACATGCTTTTCATAAGTATATTCTGCAAATGGAGCACAATCAGCTGTAATAAGAAATAAAAAGTTATCTAGCAGCATAGCCATACATTTTACAGTTGAAATCTTACCAGTCTGCAGTCATTCCATCTTGACTCGTAACAGCTCTGAGAGCAACAACATGAGAGTGTGTTCTTTGATCACCTTGAACTCCAACAGATCTTACTGGCAAAAAAACTGCAAAGGCTTGCCATATTGAATCATAAAGCCCAGCATCCTTGATTGACTGAATGAAAATCTCATCAACCTGGAAATATAATTGGACTTAAACACCAGAGGTAAATCAATATTATAGGGACACATAAATCCATAAGCACAAAATTTCCATGTACCTGTCGGAGAATATCTAAGGCATTTCCTTGAGTCACATCACCCAAAACTCTCACTGCAAGGCCAGGCCCGGGGAATGGGTGGCGTTTTAGAAAAGCCCCTGGAACGTCCAAGATCCTCCCTAATTGACGAACCTTTATACATGAGAATACAAAGAACAAAAAAATCAATGCATAACACAACAAACACATAGATAGATATGATCAAGCTAATAGATCAAATGTAAAACCTCATCCTTGAATAGAAGTTTAAGTGGTTCAATAAGTTTCAATTTCATGTCCTTTGGAAGACCTCCAACATTATGATGACTCTTGATGGTATGGGAATGGGTTCTACCACTTCCAGGTGGTGGGCACGATTCAATCACATCAGGATACAAGGTTCCTTGAACCAAATAAGAAGGTTTCTTTCCCAGTTTCTGCTCTAGCTTCTGAGCAAAAGCATCAAAGACGCAGATAAACTCTTTTCCAATAATTTTCCTCTTTATCTCAGGATCGGTTACACCTTTAAGCTTTGTAAGAAATTGATTAGCAGCATCCACACACACAACCGGCAGATGAAGATCCTTTTCAAAGGTTTCCATCACACGTTCCTGCTCCTTATACCTGTACACACATAAGAAGAATGATAAAACCACATATTTGAAATTCAAGATCTACATACAGAATCTTTTTTTTTTTTTAAATATTTCAATCGGTTCATAGCTTCACAACTACTCCGATTCAGAACGGATCCCGATATTAAGACTTTAAATCCCTCTGAAAGATGGGACTGAGGAGAATGAACATGCTCTCACCCCCTACTCAGTTTCCTAACACCAACTGAACTACCATCATTTGGTATCTTCGTACAGAATTTAACTGAAAGATAAGTCACCTAAGCAAGCCATTGTCGACAAAGATACAATGAAGCCTATCCCCAATGGCTTTATGGACTAGAGTAGCAGCAACTGTGGAATCCACACCTCCAGACAAGGCACAAATGACAAGCTCATCAGGCCCCACCGTATCTTTGATCACTTTCAGTTCTTCCTCCATCACATCCTCCATGTTCCACCCCGGTTCAACCCCACAAACATCAAAGAGAAAATGCCGCAGCGTTTCCATTCCTTGTGGGGTATGTGTCACCTACACAAAGAAACAATGTAATTTTCAACAATCATTTCCATAAAGCACAAGGTAAAGTTTTAAACTTTCAATTCTAATATGAAAAGGTTATACCTCAGGATGATACTGTAGGCCATAGAACTTGGAAGAAGGATTTTCTATGGCAGCGACTGCGCCCTGCTGGCTTCGCGCGACGACGTCGAAGCCAGGGGGAAGCGTGACGGCCTCATCGCCGTGACTCATCCAAACGACCTGTCGTTTGCCGACGTTGTCAGAGCCGAAGAGTGCGGAGGGCTTGTCGACGTGAATTTCCATGCGACCGTACTCTTGCTTGTGGCCGACACGGACATCGCCGCCGAGACGCTGGACGAGGAGCTGGAGGCCGTAGCAAATGCCGAGGACGACGACGCCGTTGGATTGGGCCCATTCGAGGAAACCGTCGGGGAAGGAAGGGGAATCGGGGGTGTGGACGGAGTGGGGCCCACCGGAGAGAATGACGACGGAGGGTTTGTGGTCAGTGATGGAGTTGAGAGAGGAAGTGCCGGAAATGCAAAGGGAGAAGACTGAGAGGCTTCTGATTCGGCGAGTGATGAGGTGAGTGTACTGTGAACCGAAGTCTAAAATCAGAACCAAATCCGATTTCACGCTTTTCGGGTCCATTACCTCCTCCTACTCCTAGGGTTTATGCTTCTCCCTAAAGGGTACCAGCCACCAAATCAGGGTTTATGCAAATGCAATAATGGTTATTTATATATATATATATATATTTTTTTTTTATAAATAATAATCGTGTGACATTAATTACTAATTAGTAGCACTAATAAGTAATAGAGTTTTATAAGAGTTATGTTGTATAAAAAGTGATTATGCAAAGTTATAGAGATTCATTTTGCGTACCGTAGTTTTTTTTTTTTCTTTTGCTTCAAAAAATGTGAGTCCCACAAAATGTTGTGTGCATAGGAATTTTTTTTTGTGTAATGTTAAATGAATTTTTTTTGTGTAATGTTAAATAATAAATACAAACCCTAAGTAATAACCATGCTCGGTTTGGCGGGAAGCGTTCCAAATTTTTCTTCCTATAATCTAAATAATAATTACGTTTATATATAATTTTTTGTGCTGATACTTTCATTTTTAATTTAGTCTTATCATTTTTAAATAATCATTCTTTTTATTATTTATTACTGTTATAACAATGTGAGATTAATATGAAATTAATATAAAACAAAATTTAAATTAAAAAATAACTATTACTTATTGGATTAAAAATACTAAAAATATGATATTATTGATTCTTATATGCAGTATTTATACTTTGTTATGTTATAACTCTAATAAATGATATTATGACAATGACGATGAAAATTTAGATTAAATTTTTTCAATGAAAATTAAATGGAATGCACATGAATAAAAATGTATTTTAACATGATAATTATTAATAATGGATTAGTGGTGTGCATTTAATTTAATAATTAGTAAAGGAGTTTTGTATTGCACCAAGCAATGTGTCCCTAAGTACTAGCAGTATCATTGATTAATTGTAAAAATTGAATTCTTTAAAATGGAATTATGCCAAAAATACACGTCAATGATATAATAAAATTAATGCGAGCATATACATTATTTGAATCAAATTTAATTATAAAATTATTAATTTGGGTAGACATGTCCTTTTATTTAGCCAAGTAAGTAAACCATCACTTTCCCTCGTAATTTTCAATTTTATTTTGACTTTTGGCAAGCAAATCCAAACAAATTTCTCACTCCTTAAAATAAAGAGTAAAGCGCTAAAAAAATACAATTCTTATATTAGTCTCTTAAAAAAATATCTATATTAATTATTTTTAGAAATTAAATTAAGTCTTCATTAATTTTTGAGAGACCACGTTTCTAAAAAATTGAAATTATAGCAAGATAAAAAATTGACATTTTTTTATAAGAGATAAAAATAAAAAGGGTGCATCTAATCTTATATTATAAGAGATACTCTTCTCATGTCATAGACATCAGATAAATTCCACTATATGTTAAAAAATAATAAATAAATAAAAGACACATTTATCAATATATCTACAATATAATATAACTCTCTCTTATTACATAAGAGAATAATTTTCCAAGTAAAAATTATATTTTTTTTGTTAGGGACTCCAATCGAAGTTTACTCTAGAATTAATTAGCATCAAGTGACAGCAAGGTCTGACTTCAATGAAATACAATATTAAAGAGGTCTGCGAATATCCATAGCGATGAAGGTTTAGACATAATAATCCTATAAAAAAAAGTGGGATGAAATAAATATATCTTTTATATATATATATATATATATATATATTTAAGATTCATATTTTATTTTTCTCTCTTCTTTTTTATGGCTACACATATTTATATATATATATAAAAAATAATTTTATCGCCTACAATATAAAAATAAACACTAATAGAAAAAATAATACTTGAAAGCATATGAAAAAAGCAAACCAACAAATATGAAATGGTTGGATTGCGTATTAATATGCGAAAAATAATTTGATATGACATCCAAAAATCCAAAATAAATATTATAATGAAAAATGGGTGTTCCTATTGTATGTATAAAATGATGTTTACAAGTTTAATTTAATTATATCTTAGGAAGCACACTATTGGTCACCAAATTTAGGATTTATTTAAAATAAAAATAAAAAATTGCTTGCTTTTTAATTCTACCAAATTGCTTTATCATCTCCAAGGAGACATTGGTTCATTGCAATCTATCATGTCTCTTGTATCCATCTCAGATGCCATCTCCAATACCAGATTTTCAAGGACATCTTCCCCTACCTCTATTGCAATGCTTTCTGCATCAACCTCTATATTTAGCCATGATCCACGTCTTGCTAAGTCCTTTCCAACAAGCTCTTTTAATGTTATTGGTGATGGATGAGGAAGAAAGTGCAAGTCAATGAGTTCTGTAATCTCTCTAATCAGAACTTTCTTCAAAACATATGCTTGGACTTTTGGATTTTTTGATGAAATATGAGGTAGGAAGCCACACTTCTGGTATACCTCCTTGAAAGTTTCGATAACACAGTCAAGCAAGATTGTACTACAGCCAGAAAGTTGGCCAGTTAATCCCTTCAATTCATCAAAGGTGGATGGATCCAGCAATAGCTCAGATGGTTCGCTCTTAATAACAAGTTCATCCCCTTTTAAGCTGAAATCCTGCAGAATTTCCCTTACATAGTCTGAGATGTCTTCGGAGGAAGAAGTTAAATTGTTTATTGGATACAAAGAGGAACTTATAAAGCCTGTAAAATGGTTCTCTTCAAATTTATCATGTATCAATGATCCATCTGCAGAAGTACTAAACTGTCAAGGCCTGATAATAGTGTGAATAAGATAAAGAAACTTGAATATCTGATATCTCCAGATTCAAAACCATACCTGGTTGAAATGTTGGTGGGTTGGTGACATCATTCCCAACATATTCAGCACGGGGTTGCTCAACTCTCTTCCTCATGTTCGAAGAATCTTCTATTATCTGACATGATGAAGCAACTCCTGGTGACATCTGGATCTCTCCAAATTTCTTTGTTCACGTTAAGGATAAAAAAGAGAAAAAGATAGGATCAATTGATAAATGTAAAACATAGAAGGATCTATGTGTCACTTCAGATTAAATGTCTAAAGAAGCTTACCAAAAAATATTCAGTTGCTCCGGTTGTATTATTTATGTTTAAGTCCCGAGTAGGACTCTCCTTACATTCGTCATCTGATTCAGAAAACATATCCATATATCTAATTTCTGTCTTACGTATATCGTAACAAGATTTTATAAGCTTCTCAGACTATGATAAAGAATTGATAGATTGCATTTGCATGGATGATACAAGAGACACATATTTATTAATTTATAAATGTCTATGTTCCGAGAAGGCTGAAAAATTAGTTATATAGAGCATACCTCTGGGAATATCATAATGTGCATGCAGATTGGCGCCAGGAAGACTTTTCCTGATACTAATATCTGCATCAAAAATGGCCACCGGTGGTTCCTTGATTTTCTGTCCCAAAGTGCTATTGTGACCATTTTCCCCTTCTTTCTGAAGCTCCACCTTTGTTCTGAGGACCATTTCATAGTTATTATAATATCTCATCCCTTCAGTGACTGGAGTATTATTTCTGTTACTACTGCAACTTTCACCAAATGAAACATCTTCCTGTCCCATGCATAACTCAGAATCCTTGAACTTGATAATCTTGTTTTTCTTCTTCAAATAAAGATATGAATTCAACCTTTCTCCAATACTAGCATGGACATTAGTTGGTGAATTTCTTCCAGCAATTTCCAATTCTTTTACTTTTTTACCATCTTCCAAGCCCTGGGAAATGCAGGGAAGTTTACATGGCACTTCATCAGTGGTCCTCAACTGCTGTTCTTTACTCCTCACTCTCTTGGCATGCCTCAACTTTCTCTTCATACGACCAAGGGGAAAATATGAAGGCTTAATATTTTGCGCATCATAACTGTGGCATTTAGGAGAATGAGGCCGAGGACAGCCAAAGCTAGTGTCAGCAATTTTTTTCACATTATATGTGCCAGGCTTCAAAACTACTATTCTGTTTGAGGACCGAGGTTCACAACTTGAACATGAATCATGTCTATCAAAGGACTTAAACGATTTTACACATCGTCTAGCATTACTATTTTGAGATTTATTGAATCTGATCATCCTTTTTTGCCTTGCATGATATGGTTCTCTCACTTGAGAACTCTGTGAGTCATGAATCTGTTTTACTAGCAGAGAGTTTGGATCTTGCAGAAGTTTTACGAAAAGTTCCTTGTTTGAATTTAAAATCTGTAAAGCATTGAAGAATTGTTCAGGCTGACAGCCTGCCCCATCTTTACCTTGAACATTTTTATTGACAAATCTCTGATCAACAATCATCTTTGTTACATCATTTCCCCAATCTGCTACTTGATCATTCTCCATGCATCCCATACTTTTCCAACTATAATCTCTTCTTTTTCTGGAACTTACCTGTAGTTAGAATTCTTCCATCAACTTAAGACATTATGGCAATCACCTTGATAAGTGGGGGACGGGGGAGAATATGTGGTTGTAAAAAGGGTGAAAACATCATTCATGCCATGATTTCAGGAATTAGACTCTTGAAAGCAAGGGGTCCTGTTATAATATCAACCTTATAAATGGAAGTATGTTTGATCAAAACTTACACCAATGTGAGGGCACTTTTCATCAACTTTGCTAAGCAAATCTGAGCTATTTCTGGAGTTTCCATTTCCTGCAGCTTGTAACAAAATTCGTAAGTTCCAAACTTCAGAGTAGAGGGGCAAAATTGATTACAAATAGTTTCCTGACCTTCAGGAAAATTAAAAATTGATTTCAAGTGTAACAACTTCAAGTAAAAATATGGTCAATGGTGGCACAGCAGAAAAATATTCGTGTAAAATTGCAGCAAATATATTATAGTAAATGCAATATGCATCTAAGAAACTTGGAGCCTTTCTGGATGATGTGATGGAAATTCTATTACCTAATATTATTTAAGGTAAAAAAAATTGAACTCTTACCAGCAGCATGTGTATTCAAATGCCTCCTATTGGAAACCAATCTTCTGTTGGAATGACCTTCACGAAAATTGAAGATTCTAAACATTCGCCATGTGCAACCTGACTCGCATTTTTGGTTAACCACAGGAGGAGATCTTCTCGCCATGACAAAGAGGAAAGCTATTATCTGTGATCTTTTAGTCAATTTTAACTATAATGGGAAAATCAGAAAAGTCTGTGCAAGCACAAAGATGAGAAAATGTTTCAGAATGTCATCTATACATTGATAAGAAATCAGAATCTAAAGTACTTACTGATAATTAGTTTCAAATCCCACAAAAAGTTTAAGTACTAACCATTGAAATAGAAAAAAAAAAAATGTATATATGAAAAAGATAAAAACTCAAAAAGAGTTTAATTTTACAATTGAATGATCATATTTTCTAAAATCAAGCAACTATATTTATATATTTGATCTAACCAATTGACAACTTCACATATTACCCCAACCCCGGAACAAAAAGCAAATAAAAGAATGAAAAGGAATCCACCTTGTGTGTAACACGTTTGGACCAAGGTTACTTTCTCTATTACTTATGTGATTGAACTTTGATTAGGACCCAACCTCGAACTTAATCATTAATTCCTATCACTACCAAGTCATTACATTTTCGATCACAGCAATATACCAACTCGCTAAAAGGAAATGTTATATATGTAAAGCTTCTTTTTCTTTATTATTACATGCAATGTAAAGCTGAATCCTTTAAATTACATCATCTTATGGTGGTAAACGGGTTTTCCATTTTCCATAGTGAATTTCCAATCTTGGTTGATACGTACAATGACCATACTAACTAGATGCTTTTAGCCATAGTTACACTCAATTCATAATATAATGTATTTCTAAGTCTACATTGGAAATTGTGAGTATATAATAATTGTATGTGTGTGTGTGGAGGTAGAGAGAGATACCTGAATTATAATGCCTAATTTAAGTCCTTATGCAGCTTAAAGGCTTAGACAAGTGCATGATGATGATGATGATGAAGATCCAGAATAGAAGAGGTTGAGTGTGGACATGTGAAACACAGATATAGGAACACGGGGGATGTGTCTGTCTGTATAATCAATGGGATACAGATTTGGACATTTAATAATATAAAACACGACAATGACAGGTAAATTGTAAAACAAAATTGGTTGAGGAAAGCTTTTAACTGAAGGCAACTTGGCTTGCTTTTTTTGCTTTCCCATATCTCTCTCAATTCTCAAACTATCCTATCACTTCCTTGCAAAATTCAATTCCACCTTCCTTTATCTCATCTCAATCAAAATTTAACCGTCTACTATTCTGACCCACTATTTGTTGAATCCAGCTCCGTGATGTCTCAAAATGCACCAAACGTTGTCGTTTTTAAGGAATCTTCCATCTTGCTAAAGCTTGTCGTTGACTGACTTCTTTCGCTGGATAAGACGTGTTGTTGTACATAGTATAGAAGTCCACATTGAGTGTGTCTCTTTGTATTCTTCAATTGGTTTGCTATATAATAGCACCAATGTTGTGTAGTTCAATATAACAAGGATTACAATGAATACCTCTTGTCTCTTGATAATTAACATGGTATCAGAGCCTCGCCGCCCCCCACTTTCTCTTGTGGCGTTTCTTAGCACAGGTAGGCTGGGCCTGTTGCATTGTCCACTCTTCAAGCCCAATGGGCTCTCGTGTGAGGGGGCGTGTTGAGATATATAGTCCCACATTGGTTGTATGTGCAACTAATGTGGAGTTTATAAGGCCTTGGGCACTCCCATCCTTTGAGCTAGCTTTTGGGATGGTGACCTCAAGGTTCTTAACAAGACGTTTTCCTCTCATTCTTGTTGCGCAGGAAACAACCCCTGGCCCTTGGAAAACTTTTCAGTGCTACCGATGCACTGAAGTTCAGTCCATTAGTAGTTCATTTATACTAGAATACGTAGGGCGGATTCTGCGTAAATTTCTAGAATCCTACGATGGATCCCCCTACGTATTCTAAGATAAATAAACTACCGACGTACTCAAGTTTTGTTCCTGGCCTTGCATTTTGTTTGACTGCATTTGGCAATGGAGAACCACTATAGGTCCCATTGCTGCGTCATAAATCAAAATGGTCCTGCAGTCATTTATTGTGTAGACTTACGTTAACTATTTAAATAAGATTTTGTTTCTATGGAAGTTTCGTGCAATACGTAGGTACAAATAACATCACTACTATTTTCACTTTTATGAGCAATAACATCACTATTCTACTGTCATTGTTGTCATAGGATTCAATAATGTGGCTCTCGCGACTACACAACTGCATTTTTTTAGCCGTGTTTAATCTATCCCACAAAATTCTCTTTCCAAATTAATAACATGAATAGTAATGAATTGCGTATAATTTGCGATTTGTTGGCGAGTCAAGAGTGCACGTCATTTTGAATGTGAAATACATATACATACATCGTACAATTTTGCCAATAGCATTGCGTGTTACGCAATCCACACAGATCAGGTGGCTGCAGAAAACTCCATACAAGTTGAAACACACAGAATCATATAAAGAAGAATAAATACACTTCAAATCCACGCTCTACCACACATCCTTGACGGTAGTGAGTGATACAGGTACAATATTACAACCCTTTCAACTGATATGAAAAAAGGTTTTGTGGAAATCACCTCACCTATTAGTCTATTACTAACATTTAATTAAGGGTAATTTTTTTTTCCCTGAATCGTGAATTTCCCACAAATATTATCAAAGAGCTATTTTGTGGTCTAAAATATTATCAGAAATATTGACTTAAGTTTATTGATTTTATGTTTGGTTGATTGCCAATGATTATTATGGGAATGTGGGCAAATTTTACAAAAATAATTTTTGATCATTTTTTTAAAAAAAATTCTGATATGCCACAAAAAGATAAAAACGCGGGGTCACTGGAGAGAAGTGGTGTGAAGCATAGAGAAACCCAATATAAAGGCATTGTGAAAAGGAAGAGAAAGGAACTCACAATTTTGTAAAACAGAGTAAGGTGCTAGAATTCTAACAAGAGAGGGTATTTTATTTATGAAAATATTAAAGCAGAGTTATTTATGTCCTATAAATTATGTAAAATTTTCTTAACAAGTGGGAATTCAAGAATACAACTCAACTGGTGGTATTATTTAATGAGATTCTTATTTACAATTTTAATTCCCAAGAATCTTATCTTCCTAGAAAATTTTTAAGAATCTTTGTACCAAAAGAGTAACTAGGATTCCCAATATGAGTTTACTGAAAATCTAAAATTTATCCCTCTACCAAACTATCCTGAGAAAAAAGGGAGTGGATCCTCTCATGTTGAAAAAGACATGACATAATCATATGAACAATCATAATCATATAAAGGTAGATCAATGATAATAAAAGAGGAGAGAAAAAATATATAAAAATAGGTAGTTATTAAATCTTAACTATTAATTTTCCTTTATATGATTATGAATGTCCAACATGACTATATCATTTTTTTTTTTTGGTTAAACATAAGAGCATTCATTTCCAAAAAAAAAATGTTAAATGCATGTTCTCAAACCTGACATCTCTCACATCCTTATGGGCGGAGCCCAAAGAAAAGAAGACTAGACAGAGTCCAAGATTATGGGAGAAAAGTTGAGAGGGTAATGTAGTATAGTATGGATAAAGGGTGTGTATTATTGGGATCTGAATCAGGCATAGGCCCAATAAATTAATCTATCGTATCCACATTTGATAATTGATACAACTAATTAAAACCCAAACCCTTCATTCCACCCACAAGCACTGACTCTATTGAGTAACTTGTTAAGTCATCACCAATGTCTGGGATGGCTTCACCACTTCTTTCTCTTCCAAACTTTGTTTCTCCTAAAACTACAACTACGTTGAACTCTATCACTATAAAATCCCAACAACACCTTCTTCGTCTTCGTCTTCGTTCTACTCTCTTCCTTAGTTCCTCTTCATATCCAATACTTCGTGCTATTGGGCCCGATGGCAAGTTCTATCCAAACCCAGCAGACGATGACCCACCGGAGGTACTCGACGATTCAGCTCACGGCTTCAACAAATTCCAGCAAATTGAAATCCAAGCCGAGCATGCACGCCAACTCCAAGAAGAAGACTTCAAGAAAAACCAGTCCACTTACCTCGCCGCCATCGCTGACGTCGAAGATGCTCCCGAAACTCCTTCTCCCTCTTTCAATTCCCAGGATGACTTGTTCGGCGAGATCGATAAAGCCATCGCCTTGAAGCGCAAAGAGTTCGTCAACCAGGGCCTTCTCGAACCCAATCCCAGCAAGAAAGAACAAGAACAAAACGCCGTCGTCGAGGACCTCGACGAGCTTCAACCCGAAGAGGTCGTTGATTTGGACGAGATTGATCAACTTCAAGGCCTTACACAGATTTCCGACGAGGAAAACACTGAAAATCGAGGTTCGTCTTTGGAATCTCAATCTCAATCTCCGTTTGAGTTAGATTTTGACAGTTACGGGAAAAGTAAGGCTAGAATTGTGGAAGCCAAGTTTAGGATGAGTTTGGCTGAGCTTTTGGATGAGAGCAAGGTCGTGCCTGTGTCTGTGTATGGTAATTTGGAGGTTGAGATCACTGGGATTCAGCATGATTCTAGGATTGTTACTTCTGGTGATTTGTTTGTGTGCTGTGTTGGGCGAAAAACCGATGGGCATTTGTTCTTGACTGAGGCTGATAAGAGAGGAGCAGTTGCTGTTGTGGCCAGTAAAGAGATTGACATTGAGGATACTTTGGGTTGTAAGGCATTGGTGATTGTGGAAGATACCAATGCTGTTCTTCCTGCCTTGGCTGCATCTTTTTACAAATATCCTTCTAAAAATGTGGCTGTCATTGGGATAACTGGGACGTATGGCAAAACAACCACCACCTATTTGATAAAAAGCATGTATGAAGCTATGGGTCTACGCGCGGGAATGTTCAGCTCGGTTGCTTGTTATGTGCATGGGGATAATAAGTTGGACTCTCCTGACATGACCCCGGATGCTGTTTTAGTGCAGAATTTAATGGCAAAGATGCTTCACAATGGAACTGAAGCAGTGGTCATGGAGACTTCTTCTCATGGATTGGCTCAAGGAAAGTGTGATGAGGTTGATTTTGATATCGCGGTTTTTACTAATTTGACTGAGGAGGCAGATAGAGATGCCCAGGCTAAACTGTTCTCCAGAATGGTGGATCCTGAGCGGCACAGGAAGGTTGTTAACATTGATGATCCAAATGCGCCGTTCTTCGTTTCACAGGGTAACCCAGGAGTTCCTGTGGTGACGTTCGCATTGGAGAATAAGAACGCAGATGTTCATCCCTTGAAGTTTGAACTCTCCCTGTTTGAGACACAGGTGTTGGTTAATACACCCACTGGGATACTAGAAATTTCATCGGGTTTACTTGGAAGACATAATATTTACAACATTCTTGCTGCCGTGGCAGTTGGCATTGCTGTCGGGGCACCCTTAGAGGACATTGTTAGAGGGATTGAAGAGGTTGATGCAGTTCCCGGTCGATGTGAGTTGATCGATGAGGAACAAGCTTATGGGGTAATAGTGGACTATGCTCATACTCCTGAGGCCTTGTCTAGATTGCTTGATTCTGTTAGAGAGCTTGGACCACGCAGGATTATAACTGGTATGTTTGCGTTTCTCTTAATTGCTGTGGAAGATTTCCCTTTTTTAATTTTATTTTGGACATTAAGAAATTAAAACAAATCATTCTCTGTTAAAACTTGAAACTGCATATTTGTTCGCATGCCTGAAGTCTGAAGACTGATATTATTTGACTGAAATCTACCTTCACTGTTTGAAGTTATCGGTTGCTGCGGTGAGAGTGACAGGGGGAAGAGACCCATGATGACCAAGATAGCAACAGATAAGAGTGAAGTGACCATGCTGACATCTGACAATCCCAAGAATGAAGATCCATGTATGTATTTTGACCATGGAATATAGTCAATAGCCTTATTGGCAATTTATGAATGTTTGTGCATTGCTTACAACAAAATTTCATAAAATGGTAACTAGCAGGGTCAACAGCTTCAGAATCCTAATTTTGACATACTTTTTTACTTTTTGTCCAGTGGATATTTTGGATGATATGTTGGCTGGGGTAGGATGGACAATGCAGGAATACCTGAAATATGGTGAGAATGACTACTACCCACCTCTTCCGAATGGCCATAGGCTTTTTCTCCATGACATTAGGAGGGTAGCTGTGCGAGCTGCAGTTGCAATGGGAGAGGAGGGTGATGTGGTTGTAAGTAATTGAAGCTCCATTCTACTTTGCACCTTCTAATATAGAAATGAGCTGCGTTGAGATGATGCAGAAGTCACTTAATTGAAAACATTTTGGTTCTTGGTATAATGGTATTGCAAAAAAGGATTTATGGTTTTTTATTTGCTGAAAAAATTGAAGAATATTAAGATGTTTATCAAAGTGATATTTCAACGAAGGATGAGATTTTCCTAAAAGAGGTTGCAAAGGAAACAAACAACTATACTCAAATATGTTAAGAGGCAAATTGGGAGAAGCTTAAATTTAAACACAATGAACAAACGCAGAATAACTATTTGTCGTGATCCACAATAATAATTCCTATTGCATGTGCATGAATTCTCCACCGACATTCAGTTTACTGTATGGCATTTTAGTGATCCTATGAAGTCACAACTTGGATGCCATGATGAACTGACTTCCTTTTACCCCTCAAATGTGGGAATTCTAGTTTATGTCTCCTTTTAGCAGCCTTGCTCCAATTGAAGACTTAACTAATCCTTTTCATTTTATTTATCATACTTGTGATTGATGCTACTGCACCCTTGTAGAGAATGCCCTAACTCATTTTGCTTTATGATTTGTGTTTATTGGAGTTGAGAAAACTTCATGTTGACTGTCAGTCTACTATTGACTATGTCTTCTATCTAACTTTAGAGTGGCTGTTTGGAAAGATAAAATACTGAAAGCATTACAATTTGAGTTCAATAATTTCTCTCCTCTTTTGGACACCTTTTTTAGTTAATTATCTCAGAATATCACATCGTACATAAGTTAAGATAATGCACAAAAAAATTAATATTCAAGAAGGAATAGTTAATTTGTGGATTGTGATAAGTGACATGAGGTTTACATTTTTAAATGCATGGTGCAGGTGGTTGCTGGCAAAGGCCATGAAGCATATCAAATAGAAGCTGATAAGAAGGATTTCTTTGATGATCGAGAGGAGTGTCGTGAGGCATTACAGTATGTTGATGAGCTTCACCAAGCTGGAATAGATACAAGTGAATTTCCATGGCGGTAAATTCAAATGTTTTCCTCTTTTAATGTCTTTTTGTAACTTCACAACGCATTATTGGTCTAAGACCACACCCCTAACAAAATAAAAGAAAAAGAAAAGCACAGAAAAATAAGAATTGTCATCTGTTGCTCAGTCAAAAAAAAAAATGTCACATGTTTTTGTGTATAATTTAGGTTTTTGTCTTGCATTTATTGTCGCAGGTTACCAGAGAGCCATTGATACAAAAGGCTGCTGGGAAAAACAATGGGTACTGCATTACTTGTTTCCCTGATTAGAAGGCCTTTCCGTGATTAGAGGCTCTTTCTTTGCAGGAGCTTCGGAAGCAACCAGGTAAAAATGGACTTTTGAGTTTGAGCGGCAATGGCCTTCCGAGTCCAGCTAAAAATTGCTAGTTTGACATAGTACACTACAGTTTAATCCAACCGTTATTTTTGCATATACAAGTGTAGTCATAATTGTTTTCATTTTTTTTCCCGGCCTCCATTGTCCATGCACCTGTAATTCTATGTCCTCTAAACAAATTATTGAAGAGTGAGGCAATAGTCCATCCTCCTCCTTGTCTAATATATGATTAAACAAAAGTCCACTTGTATGTGAATTTGTTGAAGGGTCCGTTAGAAAGAATGCAGCTTGTTGCAAAATTTGCTATCAAGCATTAGAAAAGCCAATTCATATCCAAAAATGTCCAACTGTAGAACTTAATTAGCTTTTATAGTGGGCATTGGAAGAAAAAATTGATATAATCTGTTTTAACTTTTATCAAGAAAATGATATCATCTATAACATTGCAATACAGCTTAGTAATTATTAATTAGTTGGTTCATAGTTTCATGCATCAATACAGGGACGTTTCTGACAATAGGGCGGAAACGAGATCAGAGGACTTTGTGGACAGGAGAACCAGAAAAACCATGTCTACATATCAGACTCCAACAACACAAAAAACCTGAAGGATATTGTAACTCCGACCCATACAGTTTTCTATATATTCGTTGTATATAATATTGTAATACGGGAGTGTTGTATGAACTATGAAATATGAAACCAATCCTGCCAGTCTAACCCACACACCCACGCATAGATACATATACTCCATTTTCTCTGTTAAAGTTTCTTCATTTTTTATTTATTGCCGGAGTCATCATGATTTTCTTTTTTCTAATTTTAAGAGAACGGGAGGTTATTTCATTTTAGAGTCAGTAGACCTTTTTTAATAAATAAAAAAAAGAATTTAAGGGTGGTGTGGTCTAAACAGTAAAGTTAAACTCTCTCCTACTTGTGAGAGGCTGTGTCTTTAGACGGGGTCGTCAATAGTCTCATATCTATTGACTAAAGCTACCAAGCCAAGGTTCGCATACTCACGACACTAGGTAAACTTTGCAAAGCCATGCAATTACAATGGTTTTTCAACCATCTAAATATCACTTTTCAAAAAATAAATAAATGCCTATACAATTCAAAACAGGAAAAAATTATAAAAATAATGCAGTGAAACGCACCTTGGGAGGATGTGAGTTTAAGGGGCCCTTGGGCTTGATGTGCCTTTAAAATTGATTGAATTGTTTATTGCCAAGCCGAGTACAAGATAAGGTTATTTTGCCACGGTTTAAGCATGGAAAGCATTTGTACATAGCAAATTGCCTTGAATAAAATTAGCCACGGTCAGACCGTGACAAAATAAACGCGACGAAATACGCACCAAGAACTACATTAAATTGGTAATTCTTTTCAATTTTAAATGATTTTTAAAAGAATTAAATTATAATGATCAAAAATCCCAATCACAATCCTTGGGGGCAGATGTTATATGATTTAGCAAAAACTGACAATAAAAATTTAGGTTAATTACTAAAGAAAATTTACGGCAACAAGAATTTAGCATATAACGTAACTAACAAAATACGTCAAACCTCACAAATGCAACCAAACCTTATATTTATATATTAATTAATGCACGTGGATGAAGGTGATTCACTACTATTGTAACTAGGGATGCAAATGAGTTAGATCGGTCTACAAGGGCCTACGACCTAGCCTATATTAGGTCAGGCTGGGCTTATTTACAAATAGTAAAATAGAACAGACTTAGGTTTTTAAAAAAACCTATTTAGAAAAGGACCATAGGCTTTTTTGTACATGTCGGGCCTATAAGCCTACAGGCCTATATTATTATTTATTGTAAATAAAATTATTATTTTAATAATTTGAATAATAAAATAATATTATTTTAGTTATTCTTTTAATTGTTGAATGTTTAATAGGCTTAAACAGGCTAACAGGCCTAGGCTTAGGCTTTTATTTTTTAAATATAGATCAGTCAAACTTGTAATTTGGGGCCTACACAGGCTAGCAGGCTAGGCTAGATGCAACGTTTTTATATAGGCTTAGCCTATTTAAATCAAATTTAGCCTAACCCAGCCTATTTCACCCCTAATTGTAACTAATGTAAACCCACTAAATTTTATAATCCTCTAAAAATAGAACACATATTATATTGATGTTCTATTATGACATCAATTTTTTTAAAAAAATAATAATTAATCACTCTAAATTTTTTTGTTGTATTCCGACCCTAATTATCTTTTTTGAGTCCCCGATATCCTCACAATCTTTAACTCTTTAAGCCGGCTATTGTGTTTAGTCACAGTTAAAAATTCATTGTCTCTGCCCACAGATGTATTTGGTGGGAATCAAATCCAAGTTCTCTCCTCACTCTATGCAACCTGTGTTGCCAACTAAGCTACACTCGTTAGGTACTAATTTTGTTTGTTATAAAGTAATTTATGTTATTTAAATGATTAATTTAATAACAAAAATATGATATTAAAGATAAAAGGTTATACTTATCACCAATTAAGTTTACCACTTCTTACCACTAAATTTTAACTGTTAATTTTGGATAATATGACGATTATAATTTATTAAAAATTAAAAATTAATTAATAAGTCTCATCTAATAAATTATAACTATTATAATCTTTCTCATATTAAAGAACTAGTTTATTATCAGAAAGATTAATATTTGCATCCTAATTTAAAAAGTAACGAGATGTGTGTGTGAAAGAGAAAGAAATATGATAAACATGGGGCATGTTATATTTATAAAAAATTTTGTTTACAAATTCTTACAAATTACATTATCTTCTCCCGGAAAAACACTAGTTGTCCTATCTTCTCTCGAGAAAAGATAGCGTAATTTGTAAAAATTTGTACAAAAAATTGTAAACGGATCCTTTCCCGATAAACATATCAATAATTTATGTACATGTGTGAGTGCGTGAAATAATTATAACTATTTATTCTATACATACATTATAAACATTATTTTATTTTATTTTATTTTATTTTATTCTATTCATACTCTTTTGGAACATTATATTTTTTTATAGAAATAATTATTTTGGATATATTCATTTTATGAAATTTTTATTAAATAAAAATAAGTAAATGATTTTATTTCTTTTAACATTTCTAACACATTACACTTCATCCGTATGTGAATTGAGGCAACACCAATAGGTGTTATCCAAAGAGTATGAGCTGTCATGCACAACATAAAAGGCTAGTGCTGACCCTGCCACTCTGCTTTTTGTTTTTGCGCACATGTTATGATAATAAATACACAGAGGATTAGGCCCACATTAATAAAATTGGTGGAATATTGGAGACACAGCTAAATAAGAACACAAATAGCCCCACATCATTTATTATTCATGATTCTTCATGTTCATGGAAATCATAATGAATCAAAATCAAAGATTAGGATCCCTAAAATCATTCAAAATCTACAAAAACATATTCACTTGTGCATTATAGGGTTATGAAATAATCTATGCTTCCCTCTATTAAGATGTAAATTGTCGTGAATGTTTTTTTTTTTTTTTTTTTTTTACCTTTTTTAGCAAAAACATGTTGAAAAGTTAAAGCAGCTTCTTCAATTATAGAGATATGACTTTGATGTACGAGTGTAACACTAACGTAAACCTTCGCAACAGGGACAATAACTACAAACCAGAGCTTGATTACGACCTCAGAACAGAAAATAAAACTGGTTGCCTATGTCCATGTGCTTACGGTATAGGCTGTCACTTTCTCAACGGTCACCAAACGGTCATTTCTTTCAGCCCATTCGATTTGTTTCTATCAATCTCTTAAACCTGTGGCTGTGATTTTCCTACCGTTAAATTGATGGCATTTGTATTTTTTTGAAGTCAAAATAATTTGAAACAGACCTTCAAGACTTGTATGGTATAAAATAATAACCTCACATTATTGTAGATTACTGAATAACTCCGCTTAAGTCATTAACTACTTGACGCCATGAAGTACCTCCTCAACAACAACTGCACAATTTTCAATATAACTAATTATATATATAATGTTTCATCACTCATTATAGAACATTATTCAAGTACATATCTTTTGTATGTAAATCTTAATTAAATGTTCATGATTAAATTAATTTAAAGTAACTTGAAGTTAATTATAATGCGTTAAAATTTATTCATAGTCACGGGTGTTCAGAACTGCAAGTCGCTGCAACAACTTTTGTGTGTAAAGAATCACAATAGGAAATTACCAAAAAAAAAAAAAAAAATCACAATAGGAAAAAAGATTAGAGAGAACATCACAAAGAAACAAGCAAGTACCGCTCACATCCTTCCACATCATCATTTGTAACACTTCAATCCACATCTTAATGATTTTTTTTATTCTAAAACTCCTCTAACGAAAACCAAAAAACATAACAGCACATTAAAACTTTGCTAAAAAAAAAATTGTTTCTCATGTTGTTAATGATAAAATTATCTTCTATATATATATGTGAAGTCTATATGAGGCTATATGACTATGTGAGAAAAAGAAAAAGAAATATAGACACCACGTATTTTTATTTAAGAAAATAAAATTTATTTCCTACTATACAACAAACATTATTTCCAACCAAAAAAAAGTTCTCACTTTACCTATAATTATTATTAGTAGCCAGCATAGCAAATAATGGACATTTTGTCCAGTTTTAAGTTTCCTCTCTCCTATATAATGAGACTATTCTCATTCTAAAGCACATTACATTTTTAAGACAGAGAACAAAGAAAAGAGTGGGAGTGTTGGTTGTAACTTGTTAGAGAAAATCATGGATAAGGAGGAAGATGTTAAGATAGGAGCAAACAAGTTCTCAGAGAGGCAGCCCTTGGGGACAGGAGCACAGGGTGACAAGGACTACAAGGAGCCACCACCAGCTCCACTATTTGAGCCTGGGGAACTCAAGTCATGGTCTTTTTACAGAGCTGGGATTGCTGAGTTTGTGGCTACTTTCTTGTTCCTTTACATTACCATCTTGACTGTGATGGGTGTTAATAGGTCACCCACCAAGTGTTCATCTGTTGGCATTCAAGGTATTGCTTGGGCTTTTGGTGGTATGATCTTTGCACTTGTGTACTGCACTGCTGGAATATCAGGTACTTGTAACCTTTTTAATTTTTAGTATGCTTTTGGCTTTTGCTTCACATTAATTACATGTTAAAGATTTTCCTTTTAGAATGTTAAAAACTAACCCCCAGATCTATGTATGTTGTGGTTGGTTGTCACAGGTGGACACATAAATCCAGCTGTGACCTTTGGTCTCTTTTTGGCTAGGAAGCTGTCCCTCACTAGAGCCTTATTCTACATTGTCATGCAGTGCCTTGGAGCTATCTGTGGTGCTGGTGTGGTGAAGGGTTTTGAGGGTAATGCTCGGTATGAGTTGTTCAAAGGTGGAGCAAATTTTGTGAATCCTGGATACACCAAGGGTGATGGGCTTGGAGCTGAGATTGTTGGTACCTTTGTTCTTGTGTACACTGTTTTCTCTGCCACTGACGCCAAGAGAAACGCTAGAGACTCTCATGTTCCTGTATGTATTCTCTCCCATTCTCGTGTTGAATTAGCAAATATATGCGAGATTTTTACTACGTAAAGAATCAATTCAACCCAAAAATTAAGTTGTTGAACGACATTACATTAATTGTTTTATATATATCTAACACACTCTTTTACAAAAGAGTTCATTGGACTTAAAAGTTGGATGATATATCAGGCTCAACCTACCTTTATTAAGAAATTCCACACACAAAAATGGAGGCGGCGAGGATCGAATCCGAAATACCGATGCTCTGATACTATGTAAAGAATCAATCTAACTCAAAAACTTAAGATGTTTGTTGAAGTTATATTAATAATTTTATATATCTCTGACATGATAACGATTCGAAGAAATAAATGAAACATGCAAGGATCTACATATATCAGCCTTATAACTTTTGTTGTAGTTATAGAACCAATCCACATGAAAATTTAGAGGTGTCTACTGAAGGAGCATTAATTCTGCATATGTTTTTTTTGTGGACTTCTAAATGTTTGATTAATACCTAATCCAATGTGTGTATGTTTTAATGGTATAATTGTAGCTTTTGGCACCTCTTCCCATTGGGTTTGCTGTGTTCTTGGTCCACTTGGCCACCATTCCCATCACAGGAACTGGCATTAACCCAGCTAGGAGTCTAGGAGCTGCTATTATCTTCAACAGGGACTTAGCATGGGATGACCATGTATGTTGTTTCGACTTCTTTCTGATGAAATTTTTGACTTGAAATTTTGTTTTATTTCCAATTGCTTAGAATAAAAATGCATAAATAATAATAAAATTTCATGTTTTTTACAGTGGATTTTCTGGGTTGGACCTTTCATTGGAGCTGCTCTTGCTGCTGCATATCACCAGATAGTCATCCGAGCCATTCCTTTCAAGACAAGGGCTTAAGGCTCTTATCCGTTCTGTGCTTGTTTGTTTTATGTTGTATTTGGTGTCTTCTTCATGTCCAATTGGACGTTCATTTATGTGAATCTATTTTAATTTTTTTTAGTCCATCTTATGGTGTAAATTATGACATAATTACTTCCTTGTTTTTGTGACACTTTCAATGTATAATTCTTTTTATGCTTTATTAACGTTCTGTGCTTGTTTGTTTTATGTTGTATTTGGTGTCTTCTTCATGTCCAATTGGACGTTCATTTATGTGAATCTATTTTAATTTTTTTTAGTCCATCTTATGGTGTAAATTATGACATAATTACTTCCTTGTTTTTGTGACACTTTCAATGTATAATTCTTTTTATGCTTTATTAATTTTATGTTACTTCATTTATAGTGTTGCCTACTTGCCTTTCAAGTTCTGCAGATGTCGCTAAACAGTTACCCCATAATTTTTATTTACTTTTTTTATGAGCTACATAGAAAGATGCAGGGAAGAGGGGAAGGATTAGTTATATTATCACGAGTAAATTTGCTTCTTTTTCCTAATTTTAAAATGGAATTCGGAAATCATTAATCTTCTTAGCTTGAACAATTAAAATAAAGCTAGTAAGTGAAAATAAAAAACATTTAATATTATTGAGTAGTGCTATTTATTATAAAAGTATTCACACAAATAACTTTTTTTTGTCATGGACCATAAAAGTAAGAGCTCCCACTCTGGGAGACCTGAATGTACAAACAATAGCTGAAGCGGGGCTGGAAGAAATGCAAAGGAGAGGTCAAGGAAATATGTATGGAGTCACAAGAGATGTTCCCAAGGGTGCATAATTTTCTACACAAATCCCATGTACATCAAACCTAAATTGTATAATTATGACAATAATTTCTTCTATTTTAGGGTTTTGCATTTGTCATTTCACATGACACAAATTTTTTTTCTACACACACAATATTTTGTGGAGTCCACACTTTTTGAAGCAAAAATAAAAATAAAATTATGGCACGCAAAACGAATCTCTATAACATTACACAATCACTTTTCCTACAACATAACACCTATAAAACCCTCTATTTTATTGCTATCAAAAATTGTTAGGTAATAAAATTTACACCTAGGTATGGAGTCACAAGTGATGTTCCAAAGGGTGGATAATTTTCTACACAAATCCCATGTACATCAAACCTAAATTGTATAATTATTACAATAAGTTTTTCTATTTATTGCTATCAAATTATTAGGTAACAAAATTTACACGTAGATACTTGTTAATGCGGTGAAATGCGCACATCATCTGCTTTTATCCTAACCGTTTCTAAATTTGTTTTCATCAATTTTATCAAATTAATAATAAATATATAAAATTTAAAAAAATGTAATATGAATAATCATGATTATAGACACGAAGATGTAGGACTATGATCATATTATGTTTTTTTTTTTTTTGGTAAACTATATATTATGTTATTTCTTATTAAGAAACCCCCAAAAAATTTATGGGGATAATTGTGCAGTTTACAAATGAAATAATAAAATTATAATTCATTTAGCTTTAATGCACTTATCTTTCTTTCTTTTCTGTTTTTTCATTCGTATGCTAAGTTTTGTGTGCAAGATTTTATGGTCCTTGCCAAGAATTTTTCTTCGCGTGAATATTTTTGTATTAAATATCATTACTTAATATTAATGCACTTTTTTGTTTGTCCATGTCAAAGTTTTGGACGAATGCTAAGAAATTATTTTGGATCCCTTTTTCTTACGTTGTTTGTAATTTTTTTTTTAAAGTAATCGATTATAACTATGTTTTCGGGAATACATGGTTATAATTTTAAAGTTTTTTTTTCTCTCTTCAGAAATTGTCTATTAACGTGAAGAGTGAAAAAAAAGAAGAGTTTTTCGTTTATAACTATATATTACGAATAATACATAATTATGATTGGTTGTTACAAAAAGAAAATCAAACCAACATAAGAAGTACATTTCTCAATTATTTTTATAGGTTATAAGTTTATCTTATTACAGCAGAAAATTATAATTCCCTAGACTCATAAAATTGGGTTTTTTTTTACCCATTTGTCTTTTATTAATTAAAAAACAATCACTTTGCCTCCATTCCAAAATTATACATTAATTTGTCTCTGTTTAATCGATTACAAGACTCGCTTAATCAATTAAATGTTGAATTAAAATAGTAATCGATTAACAAACATGTTTAATCGATTAAATTTCGGTGATACTTTTTCTCTCTCAGGTTTCTTTCAATTGCTCTCCTGGGGTATACATGGAAAAAGATTGGAGAGAGCTCAGCTCCTCAGTGTCACTTGCCCTTTGTTTTTGCTTTATTTATGATTGATGCTATCTATTGTGAGGGTATTTAACCTCCCTCACCTTCACCTTGTTTCTTTATTTCTCTTCTAATAAAAAATTCTTTGTTTATCCTTAGAAGAAATAGGAAGACGCTTTTTCACTATATGAAGTTATCTTTTTTTAGAATGAAAGACCATTTAACCTCTCTCATTTTTTTGAGAACTGAGGCTATCTTTATGGGTATTTTTCCTTGGGAAAAGATGTTTGATGACATGGGGGTTTTGTGGCGATTTGGATATGTTATGTGGTTCACTCGGGGAAGGAAATATTGTTGTCAGGCAAACTAAACTCGATGCAAGACTTCATGCCCTGACCCTTGGTAAAAAATTATTACTAGGACAACTCTCCTTTGAAGAGTCAACTTTTACAAAAGATCGCTTGCGTATGTTGCGCTGAGTAGAGTGAAGCAAAAGAACAGAGCAAAAAACCAGATACAGAATCAACAGAAAATAAAGATGAAATCAATAGAAAAAGAGCGCAAGCCAGTAGCAACTGAAAGAAACCTTAGAGAAAAAGTGATAAAAAGATTTTGAAAAAAAGAGTGTTTTGTGTATCACTTTAATCGATTAAACATGTTTGTTAATCGATTACTATCTTAATTCAACATTTAATCGATTAAGCGAGTCTTGTAATCGATTAAATAAGGGAAAAGTGGTTATTTTTTAACTAATAAATGATAAAAGGATAAAAAAAGCCCATTAAATTGTGAGACCCACCAAATTAAAAAAAAAAAAAAGGATGAAGATATGTTTCTCCTACAACAGTAGAAACTCATTATTCTAATTTTTATTACAAATTATATGGATCATGGTATATTTTCAATCTTAATTATTGAGATTATTTATATTTAATGATTATAAAATTTTAATTATATGAATTATTGAATTTTTTTTATAATGTTATGAGAGTATTTAGTCCCTATGTATATTTTAAATTCGTGTCAAATACAAAAAAATAAATGAAATATTTTTTAAAATATTTAAAACTATAAATAGTAATTTTGAAAAAAATTAAAATTTTAAATTAAAAATAAAAAAAATATACATATCATTCTTTAAAAGAAGATACACTTTAGAATTCAACTGACATTAAAATAATAAATTTTAATAGAATATATAAGAGTAAATATTTTAAGTAATTGATTTGACGAAAATTTATTAATATTTAAATAATAACTTTTGTAACATAAACAATGATATTTTCAATGATTTCCCTTTTGAGGAGTAAAATATTTCCTTGCTCAATATTTCCATGATGTATAGGGCAAATGTATATATTTTGATTAAGGTCATATTCTATGATAATGTTTTTAATATATACGTCTTTTTCATCTTGTCAAAAATTGTTTTTACAATATAAACGCTTGTGACCTCCGTCTCTATACCATATCGTAATGATTTCTTTGGCATTTCAATCATTACCACAATTATGTTGTCTATAGTTCAAATGATTCTATGGATTGGATCTTATCTCACTTTATTGTCTATGGCCTCACTGCATGTGTTCGGGTTAGAAGTTTGTTATAAATGTATAACCATGTTATTAAGTATTTTTATTTAAATTCTTTTCTTACTAAGAGGTGGAATAGAATAATTAGGTTGAAGCATAATGTTCATAGGTCTATAATGCATTGCATGTCTCCTAATAGGTCACACATTTCTACCCTTTATTGGAAATCAATGACTATTCATAGCTATTACCTTCATATCAAAGAGGAGTTCGACCCAAAGTTTTATTTTTGTCCTAATTGATCGTAATTTGATATTAGAAATATATTGATTTTCTCTCAATAACTGAACAATTTTGTCTTCGCATTGAGTTCTACTCTCAATTTCAAAACTGATTTTTTTTTTTGTACATAGAATACTACTTTTTTATTGTTCATATGTTATGATTTGAATATACCACACTAATTTGTTATGTATGGATGATGAGATCATATTAGTACAAAGACAAAGTATTTTTTTTTTCTAACAAATGGTTAGAACTTCAACTGAACTGCGTAGTTTTTCTAGTATTTATTAGTATTCTTAAGTTTGCTCATTCTCTTCTTTCTTTTTTCTTTCTATAGTGGAAATAGTCACTCATAATGACACATCACGACCATGTTATTAAAATTTTGGGATAAGAACGAATTTCCTTCCGAGTGGCTGAAAATAATATTCCAAAACTTTGATATGTTCTCCTTTGCTTGTGTGTGTATAACTTTGTTCATAGGGATCAATTTCCTATCACATTGCCTCATAATAATTTTGTAAAGCTTCTCATAATTTTCATTGAACCAAGATATGTTGCAATCGTCATTTGGTTCATAGGATCGCCATCTCACAATCGTACATGAGATTTTCACCTCATATATCTTCTCTTTCCTTTATATGTATAATGATAAAATACTACATAAAAAAAAGATGGCATTATTCTCCTTATCAACTAAGAAGGAATAATACTTTTAAAAGAAATTTGAAGTCAACTTTTCCGTAAAAAAAAAATATTTTTGGTACTGGATAAAAAAAGGGGCAACTCTAAATTTATTTCTTAGCAATAATACCATTCAACTTCACATAATTAGTCACTTCAACGGTCTTCGATCATGATGTGACTATCTAAAATACTAATGAGATGAATATTTGTTGCCCTAACCATTCTTAATAGTTTCGATCTTGATAAAAAAGAGAGGAGAATTTTATTTTATTTTTTACAAAGTTTTCATGTTATTGACTCCTTAAGGAGGTATTTCTTCCTCCATGGTACCTCTTGGTACTAGTTGCATTTCTTTTTTTTAATCTTACACCTCTTAAAAATAATTACTTTCATATATAGAGTGAAGATATTTTAACTATAAAAATTTTTTACTTCTAACTTACTACTCATCACATCACCATTGAATCAAAGAGAGAGAATGTTAAAATATTTTTGAAGAGAGAGAAAATATTAATCTAATAGTGATTAGTTAGGTAATAAGTTGGTAATGAAAAATTTTGATAGTAAAAACATGTCTCCTCTCGTATATATATTTTGACTTATAAGTTAAATACTTGATTTGATGTTTTAAAGTAAAAGTGACGTCATGTTAATTTGTTTATTAGTAACTTCAAGTTGGTATTTAAATAATAGTTAATATTATGAATTTATTTTTACTAATAACTACCTTAAATAAAAAAACATGACATTATTAATTTAATGTTGAATACAAAGAGTGTGTTGATATATTTATAAATAACTTTTAAGTACCTTTTTAATATATCTTTTAACTTATGGAATCTAAATCTAAATATAAATCGTATACAATGTCAAACTAAACTAATATAACGATCATTTAAGGAAAAGTGACATTCATATCACGAGGTTCATATTTTTACTTTGAGATTTGAATTAGCATATAAAAAAGGTTATTTTATTTGACATTAAAAAAGTTAGGTCAACCAATAAAAACTCTTAACTCTACGAGTCACTTTTTAATTTATTCATAAATTAACGAAAGGCTTGATGTTACAACTTATAAGAATGTTAAAATCAAAATTATGGAATAGTACATATCATAAGAAATGTTAATACAAATAAAAATACATGATGTAAAATAAGACGTAGGATATTATAACAATCAACTAATATTACTACGAATTAATTGTACCGTTATATTAATTACGTTGATCCAATAATTATATTTATTTTCATATTTAGTATTAATACTAACCAATTGATAATTAATTGTTACAATATATATTTCCTCCGAATAATTAGCATAGTATTTTAAATCAGTTTAAAGCAAAGTGTGTTGTCCGTGTTTGGACTTTCGGTGTGAAGAGGGAATATGTGGTTTATTGGTTGGAAAGGGCCATCGGGGTTCTCAGCTTCTTCCACTGCCGATCAAGTAACTCAAGGGATTGATGGAACTTCTCTCACCGCCATCGTCACAGGTTTTTTCTTATGTCTTGTTTTTATTTTGTGCTGATGTAGGGTTATTTGTGTTGTTGTTCCGTTAGTTGTTTTTTTTTTAATTCCATACTTTGTATTATTTTAACAATCAAACAAAGTATTGTGCTGTGTTTATCACTTATGTTTTACCAAATCAAACCACCCTTTAGGTTGTTTTTATAGTTTAAGGATGCATCATCTTATTCGATGGTGACATGAGTTTAGATCAGAGCTTTGTACTGCTTGCTAGTCTCAGCACTTGTGATCTTCTATGGAAATGCAATATGACATAATATGGTATACATTATTATTACACTGATTGTTTTTCTTTCATTGATTCTGATGATGAACATTTTTGCGGAATTAAACTAATAAGATCCCTTAACCTGTTATTTAATTTTTAGATTAGGGTATTTAATTTAGTTTAATTTCAGGTGCATCAAGTGGTCTTGGTCTGGAGACTACCCGGGTTCTTGCATTGCGTGGTGTCCATGTTGTTATGGCAGTGAGGAATGTGGACACTGGTATGAATGTCAAAGAAACAATACTTAAGGAAATTCCCACTGCTGAAATTGATGTTATGGAGTTAGATCTTAGCTCTATGGCATCGGTAAGGAAATTTGCAGAAGATTATAAGTCATCTGGTCTTCCTCTCAATATCCTAATGTAAGAACCTTCAACTTTAGATGTTTTAGATATCTTGGGTACTGTTATTATTTAACATTCTAGCTCATTGTTTCTGTTTGTTTATGTTTCTCCAATTGGTTGAATGTGACTGATTGATGTCTTTTGATTAATGCATGCTCATTCATCTCTTTTTGGAAAGATGTTTGTTAATTTTACTACTTTCTTGTTTGATATGGTGCTTGATAAACACTTCCTGTCAAATTTGCTATACGGGTCTCCTGCTTCCCCATTTTCCCCTTCATTTTCTGCACTCTGGTTGGGATACTGCACAAATGACATTGCAAAGAAAGAAACTCCTATCTGTCTATATGTTTAGATTGCTCATTTGAAAGTTTAAACATATGATATTCTTTCTTTCTTTTGAAGTAACAATGCAGGGGTGATGGCAACTCCATTCATGCTTACCCAAGACAACATTGAATTGCAGTTTGCAACCAATCATTTAGGTATCATATCACATGTTTCCCTCACATAACGAGTGAGGTTTATCCAACCTGTTGTTTCTGCAATATATCTTTCTAAATGATATAACCGAAAATTGTTATTTATTCTCTAAGAATATACAAAATAACTTGAAGATTAATACTTAATATTATTTTGTAGGCCATTTTCTCTTGACAAACCTTTTATTAGAAACTATGAAAAAAACTGTACTGGAATGCAACCGGGAAGGAAGGATTGTTATTGTATCATCAGAGGCACACAGATTTGCATACAGTGAAGGGGTTCGTTTTGATAAGATCAATGATGAATCAGGGTAATGGTCTCGTTGGAATGATAAATAGACGATTTTTCCTTTTCTCTGTCATCTGCTAAGCTTATGCTATAAAATTTTATAATAAATGTTTACTTTTCGTGTACAATGTTTTAAGTTCTCAAAATTGTATAATTTCCTCCCCCTCTATCTGATTTTTTTGCAGATACAACAGTTATTTTGCTTATGGACAATCAAAGCTTGCTAATATTTTGCATGCAAATGAGCTTTCTAGGCGCTTGAAGGTATTATACTCGCGAAAAGTCATCTCTAGTTTATGGAATTTGGTATGATTCCACTTTATTTAATGCAATCTTAAGAAATCTCGTGTCTGTAAATAGTCTGCTTTATTAATAATGGATTTTTCCATCCCTCTGAACTTATTGATTGAGTTTGATGTAGAACCCTTGCATATTTCTTTGTTTGACAGGAAGAAGGAGTGGAAATAACTGTGAACGCCCTTCATCCTGGATCAATTATTACAAATATTCTGCGATACCATGGTTATGTTAATGGTTAGCATTCAAAACCATTCAATTATAGTGTCCAAGTGTGTTATTTTGATTAAAGTATCCTTGCTTTTTGAAATAGGTCTGATAGCTGAGGTTAGGCATTATAGTTAAACGATGAAAAAATCCATATCGATATGTTTGTCATGCTATGTATAATCTTGTGAACGGACATAGAAGCTAGAGGGAATTGTACTAGCTGGTATTTCTTATACTTAATTCCTTGCATAATATTTTTGATTTAATAATATTCATGTATATACTACTTGGCTTGTGCAGTCATTGCTAATATGGTGGGCAAGTATTTCCTTAAAAATGTGCAACAGGTATTTTGTCACGTCCTAGAACAGCGTTGAGGGTGGCATAACATGCATGCCTTGTGCTGCTGATATGCTGTTAGTAGTCTGAATGTAAGACCAAAGCTACTAACTGAATTGTTGTGGCATGTTTTCAGGGAGCTGCAACTCAATGTTACGTGGCATTGCATCCACAGGTGAAGGGAATTTCTGGGGAATACTTTATGGATAGCAATAAAGCAAACCCAACCTCTCAAGCTAAAGATTCAGAGCTGGCAAAAAAGCTATGGGAATTCAGCGTAAGCTTGACTAATCAAAAGTAGCTTAGAGGTTTGTTTGACTGGACCCTGAGCTAGAGCAAAAATAATTGTGTTAGAAAAGATGTTTCAGAGAATTAGAAATTTGCAGTTGAAGCTTTTAAGTACAGCTCAGATTATCCATTACTGGTTTTATACGGTCATTGTTGAAAATCAAGCAGTATATAATTATTTTACGTGTAATCACTACATAGTATTTAGCACATGCATACCTGAATTTTCCTAAACAAAACGAAGCATGATAAATTCACATACCCTTTCGCATGTGTATGAATCTGTATCGAGTTAACCTGCATACCTTAGCAAAACGAAGCTCACAAACGTGGGGACATGTAGTCCCTTAGCAATCTGAATTTTCCTAAACAAAAACAAGGGTTGATTTATTTTTTAAAATCTAGTTCATTTAAAATGATTCTACTTGCAGGTGTGTAGTTGTTACTGCAACATTTTAAGGTCAGCCCACTGAAGCTGATAAATTCAGATCCTAGCACAAATTAAGTGCATCAACCCCAACAGATACTTGAAGAAAATCATGGTTAAATAAACTATAATTGAGTTTCTAACCATCTTTACAATAGTCATTAGCTATACTTCTGCTTTTGGCGCCGCCACCATTTTCAATTAGTATGATAAATTACAAAACAGTGACGGCACCAAAGTTGGTAATGTAAATTTCCTAAAAGGTCTAAAAAAAAATGTTTTTCTCAGGACAGAATTAATCTGTCCTCTGTAAAATCGATGATATTGTCCAGACCATATCCACAACAAAATTAAAGTTTGGCTAAGTATCCAAATTTAGCTGAAGGCAAGTTAAATGCCATTTATGCGACCAAGCATAGGGGCACCCGGCTTAACATCCCGGGATGTATTTAGCTTTGTATAATCCCTCAACACCTGGTGCGACAAACAATCAGCCAAATTTGACTTCTGGTCATGAATTTCTCTAGGGCCACCCTGGACAGCCTTCACATCATGGCTTGCACGGGCATCATTATCAGATGACATTACATCCCGGCAAGCATGAGTACCTCGTCTATTTCTCCTAAACTGATCATGCTTTGAACCCTGATAAGCAGTGCTTACATTTGAATAAAAATCATTCTGAGACCTTTGAGTCATACTCACTGCTTCACATGGGAATGATGGTTGCTTTGTTTGATGAAATGGGATTGCATCACCCCCACTGGTGAGCAGTGTAGATGTGCCAGATGCACCATGAGGACTAGCTATTGGAGAGGGAGACATCCTTGCAGTCACATGCAATGATCTAGAAGGAAAATGAGGGCTACAGGAGGGAGAAACGGGACATGGGATGTTCATTGGTGTATGGGCGTCGCTGAAAACAAGGGACCAACAAAAATTAGTACCTTCCCATTGGTATCAAAGTACGTTGAATATATTTTTTATTTTTTATTTTTTTAAAAAGCACCGGTCAATTTTCTATTCGGTCATGACATCAGTGCCTTAATCATCACCTTTCCAAATTACCTAATATTGAAGCTTAACTCGAGAGCTATTTATCTAAGATGAGCACTAAGATTATGCCGGATCCTAGCTTTTACATATTATGTACAAGTGGGCACTACAAATATTAATATGCACAACCAGACGGTCGTATTTCTTTATCATGCATGTGATCTTTTTCATGCTTGTGTGTGCGTTTGTGTGGGGGGGGGGGGAGAGAGAGAGAGAGAGAGACCTCGATCCAGAACCAGTTCTCAAGCTTCTAGGCGGATAGATACCAGCCACTTCTGAGTCTAAGCATAAATTATGTTTTGCAGGTCCAATGGCCTAAAAGAACATTCAAAGGGTTAAAAAATGAACTCATGCAGTCAGTGAAAATCCAAGTACGGAAGAAAACAGACAAACAAAACATGCATCCATATCTTTACCATGAATCAACAGATCTTACCCGTTCCTTGTCCCAATACCAAACATATTATATTTTATTTATTTCAGCATGTACCCCGCAATTCATAACAAATCTATCTACTTTGCAGGGCTTCTTGTTATTTTAACAACGTAGATATGCACAACCTCAGAAAAATAATGAGCTGTAAAAATGATGTAGTATGAACGAAGGCATTGAATATACAAGTGGTCAACACACGTCAATTGCTTGTACCAGAGATCTCAGTGCATTTATAACAGCAGGTGGTGCTTCCAAAGGATCTGCAGTCAGAATGGGTCTTTCCAGCGAAACATTTTTAACAAACGGATGCTGTAGAAGTTGAGCCGCTGAGGGGCGATTTAGTGGATTCCTTTGCAAACAATGTCTGACAAAATCTTTTCCATCTTCTGATAGATGATCTGGAATTGTAGGAAGTTCCATGGTATTCCCAATCTTAAACATAGCAGCAACCTTGAAGCATGTAGTGTACAACAGAAAAAACAAATTTAGCAAGACAAGTATGTGCTCCAACTAAGAGAGTCCTATGTGCCAGAAAATAAATTTCAAATGTACATATAACAGTATTCAAAATACTCTCAAGTCTGTCTTCAAAATTCACTTACCCCTTCGTACTGGCTCCAAGGAGGCTTTGTGGTTGCCATCTCCAAAACAGTGCAACCCAGACTCCATATATCAACAGCTAGATTACAACCATTTGGATTTTTTAAAACCTATGTCATTGAGGCAGTGACACAAATAAGAATACTATGAGCAAAGTATCAGTGACAAAAGTTCTAAGTAGACGTAGGAATCATCCTGACCTCAGGTGCCATCCAGTAAGGACTTCCTTTGAAAGAAAATGGACAAGGTGTCCCGCTAATCTGTGAATTATTCCAGATACGCAAAATATTAGAAGTCACAGCCTAATGGTTGAAGCACAGAGATATATTCAACTCAAGTCAGATTATACAATGCCATATAGGTTGCACAGTATACACATGAAAACATCTTATAAATGTTCTTACATGCTTTGCCATCCCAAAATCTGCCAATTTTATCCACCCATTAGGGTCCACCAATATGTTTGCTCCTTTAATGTCCCTGATCAGAATCCAGTAATCAGACCAGGACAAATTGTTTTGTTTCACAAATCACAACATAATTAGAAGTAAAGTTGCTAACTGAACATGTGTTATAAGTAAACTGTCATATGATCATCTACCAAACTCACCTGTGAACTGTGTTCTTAGCATGCAAATATGCAAGTCCTGACAGAATTTGCCGAGTATAATTACGAATGGCAATTTCACCTAACTGGCCATACTCCTGAACCAGTTTATAGATAGACCCACCAGAGACATACTCCAAGTATATATAAAGTTTGTCATCTATCTGTCAGGTATAAAGAATTCATAAAGCGGTTAACACAATCTGAATTTGGCAATAGATACTGCAGATTCTGAAGTATCAATTGTGAACAGTTTGACAGAATCTGTATATAGTATATTATATACTGCAATTGAAGTTGCGTATTTATTAAAGAATCTGTTTATTATATACTGCAGTTGCAGTTATAAAGAAATCTAATGGTGGGTTTCTCAAAATATAAAAAGCAATTACAGTAGCTGATTTGTGAAAAGTAACATTTTTGGAAGTCTTTATTGTAAATAAGAAAATTCAAAAGTGAAATCATTTACTGAATGAAGAACATAATTCAATAAATACCATCTCAGATCCATAATACCGGACAATATTTGGATGCCGTAACTGACTTAGGAGTGCAATTTCCTGCAAATGAAATCACATATATGAGAATATTCATCATGAATTAGTTTTGATTCGTTATACATATATAGTAATTGATATACAAAATTATCCTTAGTTCTCTAGTATTTTTTATCCGTAGTTCTTTTTTGTTTAAAGAAAAAGCAAGGGAAACTGGAAACAGTAAAAGGTTTTTTTTTCTTACTCTCTAAACAATACATATAATTTGGACTTCCCAAAGGAAAAATGAGTGTGATATACGTAAAATGGAATGGATTAAGTAAGTTTGACCTAATCTACACAAGCAAGCTTACTTGGCCAAGTTGCCGCGCACATTCCTTTGATTTAGCATCATCTGAAACAAGGGTTACCTCCTTCATGGCACACATTTCACCACTTTCTCTATAGATAAGAAATTGAACTAAGTTAAAGCTTAAAAAGTTGAAAGAACTTAATGAAGAAAAAATCATACATATAACCAAGACCACAACACATGAAAAACAATAAATATCAATTTTGAATCAGGGCCAGTGTTGACATGAACAGATGAAGGTTAACTAAAATGCAGACATGCATATTCAAAAACAATCTGCTTGGTTAAGAATTCCAAAATCATGCATACAGAATTCCTAATATTAATAATATAGCGATCATAGGTCCAACAGCAGAATATATATAATATTTTCCTGGCAGCCACTTGACACAGACCTGTTAAAACCAAGATATACATGTCCAAACGTTCCCCTTCCAAGCAGCTGCCCCTTTGTCCAGCGTGAACCTGGGCTTGTTGGATTTTCTGCACTGCCAGGACTGTGAGGGGCTGATGGAGTTGCAGAATATGTTGGAGAAAATGGACAACAATTATTGACTGTTATTGGAGGAAGGGGTAACCTATGAGTTTGTTGTTTCACATTGTCAGGACGTCTTGTAGGCAATTCTGCAGCTGCAACTCCAGCTCGTGGATGTAGAGGGGAAACATCACCGCTATGTATCCTGGAACTGGGGCCAGGGCTTGTCATTCTGGGACTGGGTATTGGGGAACATTCAGCGCTGCACCTTTTATGCTGCTGAAATGTCTGTCCTGACAGATCCCCACCAACTGAATTTTGACCAGAATTATGGCCTGAACTGGGACTATAGTAGTGCCCAGAAGCTATATCTGGATAAGGCTTTGCTGTCCAGAATCCGGTGTTCAACACTTGCTCAGGACCACATGCTCTCATTCGATTGCTAGAAGGACTTGACTTTGAACTATCTGGAGCACTACATAAACCACCTGGTCGAGCTATTTGCAGATGCAAAGGAGCTGGTTTTGAGGATGCTCTTGAGTTTCTCTGAATAGTACTAGGTGATCGATCCTTGTGCACAACACTATACGAGCATAGAAACAAATTTAGTAATAGAATGAACAGAAAATAAGGTAATTGCATGGAGAGAATTAAAAAAACTGCATCTAGAAGGAAACCAACTCACCTGGAAGAATTGTTAATGGTGGCTATGTTTCCATTTTCAAAGTCAGATGCCAGAGTACTAACAAGATGCAAATCAGACAAGTTATCACTATCAATTGAGCTGCCACTATAAACAGATGCAGCGGCGGTATCTCCCTCTTCATCTTTGGGTTCTCCCCTGTTAGATATATAAACAGGTTTTGGTAGGGGAAAATTAGATGGCTTAGAGCCTCTGGCTTTTTCCAGTTTTGATGCTAAACTAAATTCCGAATTTGTATCACTGACAGTAGGAAGGTGAAAGCATGGCAATGGGAGTGCCCGAGGATGAGGCCTTTCTGCAAAATTTTGACAGCAAGACACATGTGTATTGGGTGATGGTGATCTTGAAGGTATGATGGATCTAGATCCCTTTTCTGAGATAGTGTCCCTTCGATGTCTCCTAGATCCTCCTGGTTTATCATTGCACTTGTCTTCAGAAGCATTCTTTGATTTCTGCAGTAGTGTATCAAGAATACTTTCCCTATTTGGCTTCCTCTTCACTTCTTTGATTTCTCCTAGTTTATCATTGAACTTCTCTTCAGAAGCATTCTTTTCAGAAGCATTCTTTGATTTCTGCAGTATTGTATCAAGAATACTTTCCCTGTTTGCCTTCTTCTTCACCTCTTTGATTTCTTCTGGTTTATCATTGTACTTCTCTTCAGAAGCATTCTTTTTGGAGGAAGATTTTCCCCACCATGACGGCATGTCTTGAGAAAAGCTTACCAAAAACACACAAGGAGAGAGAGAAAGACAGAGAGAGCAGGAAATAATAGCAAATTATGGGTGTAAATTCAAATTTTGCATTACGGCAATACATATGACACGAAAGTTTGTAAAATAGTGAATTCAGTTGATGGCATCATCTAATTTCCACTGAAGAGGCACTACTCTGATCTTATAAATTACAGATGAGGCGTGTGTCACACCATAATGACCTGAAGAGAAAATTCCAATGTTAGTTAGTTCGCTCCAAAAATAACATTTAATAAACAAATTATACACACAAAAAGTACAAGGCTGTGAAACAGTAGATGAGATCAGATAATGGATCATCTATGTTCACAGAACTCTTTAATATTGCTTGAAAGTTCAGATTTTTTTATCTATCTTGTAGTCTATGGCAATTATTGGATCCTATTAGCATTTACTAGCTTCCATTAATAAAAGATTGGATCGGTATCAATTAGCATTTGTTAGTTTCTATTAATAAAATACTGGTATCAATAGATTGATATTAATTAGTCCAAATTAGTATCGAGTACCTTTTTAGTATTTCAAATCCTTGTATTCAGCTGTTATAAGTCACAATGGCTGTAAGGAATAAGCAAGCAATGATGCTCTTCCAACCATTCTCTCTCTCTCTCTCTCTCTCCCATATTCTTTGTCTTTTCTCTCTGAAATTCTGTCATTCTACAATTACCTCTTAAGAAGAGGTGCTTTCATCAACTCTTGCCTGTAATCCTCCACCACGTTAGCACCTTTTCTCAAGAGTACAAGGTTCAATTGCAAACAGTACAACAGCCTCTGTCGTTGAACAATTTTGCTAGGATTTCCCAGACTTTCAAGCCAACCAACTTAAAGCAAAAAGTCTCATGGTGTTACTGGACAATCTTGATCAACACCTCTTTGCCACCCTTCGACAGCAGCCACCAACATTACCACCACACGAAACGATCCATCATCGGGCATTCTTGGTAGCTGTCATGCATTCTTGGTAGTGTTCCACACAAGTCCACGACTTCAAAAAACACGCCAATGCATGGATGTAAACTTTGCCTCGATTATATGGCTTTTCAACATGCAGCACTATTTTTAGTATCATAACAAGCACCCGGAGAATTGAATGTTTTCGATCTCAGTGCATCTCGATGCACCTGTGGCCACATGGTGCCAAGGTCTAGCGATCGATAGCCTCCAACACAATTGGGACGCATTTGTATGATGCACGGCTTGATCCAATCAAACATCTGACGAACGAGGAAATGCAAGCGCGACACGACACAGGACTATGCTTCAACTACAACAAAAAGTTCGTTGCATGATGCAAAAGCTTCCCTTTTATGCTCGGAAGGTCTTTGTAGTACGGAGGACGACTCGCTAAAGTCCAAGCCTATCGAATTGGAATTACTTCACCTAACCCATTCACTAGCCACTTGCTCTACTGTCATGACGGGTTATCATGCGAGGTACTCAATAAGTCTTGCGGGTGTTAATTCAATTGTAGGCCCTTGCACCCAAGGACTCTAGCATGGGAATATGAGAAAGCATTGAATATTACTCAACTTGAGGACAAGTCGCATCTAGATAGGGGAAAGGGTGTTATGCACCAAGCTCTTTGCATGGTAGCAATTAGGATTAACTAGCTTCCATTAATAAAAGATTGGATTGGTATCAATTGGTATTAATTAGCATTTGTTAGCTTCTATTAATAAATTATTGGTATCAATTAGAACATATTAGTATCAATTACCATTTTAGTATTTGAAATCCTTATAATCTGCATCTATATAACTCACAATGGTTTTATGTAATAGGCAAGAAATTAAGCAATTACCTTTGTCCCATCATTGTCTCTCTCTCTCTCTCTTCTTCTGTATCTTTTCTCTTTGGAATTCTGCCATTCTACAATTACCCCTTAACACATATGCTTTCAGATCCTAAACATAAATCCAAGGAAGCAGAAAAAATCTTTGGTTAATAATTAATTAGAAGGCATGCTGATAAAATCATAGCTCTAGAAAGTTAAAGACAAGTTAAACATGTCATTGACTAAGTTTTATTGATTTAGACATTTAGTCACAAACAGTTAATAGTAAAGTGACCCATAAAAGCCGGGAAACCATGGATCTTACTTGTTCTATGACACAGTTACTCATTTTATATTTTGAACATTAAAAGAGTGAACCACTAGCAAAGAAGTGATGAAGATGATTTCGGAACAAGTTGATCATTATCTGACTTTTACCTTTACAAAAAGTAATTTTTTATTATGTATACATAATGTACAGTATATAATATCAGGTAAGTAGGAATTCAGAAGGTACTTTACATAACTTGCCATTTTACAAATTTGAGAATGAATTTTACCCATGGCATTATGTTTTCTGTCAATAACATTCAGAAGCAAGAAAATCAAAATGCAATTAAAAAATTTCCAAAACTCTTCCTGCCTCTTTCTTAATGTACTTTAACTAGAAAATTAAACTAATGAAAAATCATCTCTTTCTTTCTTGAGAACAAACTTGCCAGTATGGGAAAAAAATAAATTCCTCCGAGTTCTTTCCCTCCATTTTCTCTCTGTCATTTTTGTTTTTAGGCCAGATAGTATAATCTAGCTCTGAACTCGGACAACTACGACACAACATCACATAAAAACATAAAATCAGCAGATGAAGCATGAGGAATCAATAGCAGAGGCGCTAAATTCAGATCTAATTGTTTAACCAACTATCAAGAACTAAAATGATCACATGAACAACGAAATTTATGAAGTAATTGAGTCAAAATCACAAACACCAGGAAAACAACCAGCAACTATATAACACAAACAGCAACTGAAAATGCAGAAAAACACAAGCTGCGATTCCTATATACAAATCAGCAACCGGAACTAAACAAGTTCGAATTCCGAAATGAAGCATGCAAATGATCCTTGACAATGACAGGTTTTCAAATATAGAGTGTTCAAATCATACAAGAAAACAAACCAGAAAAAAAAAAAAAAAAAAAAAAAAGCGCGCACAACACACACACAGCGCAACCCCTACATTACTCACTGGTGTGTTCCTTCAGGTTCAAAACGTTTGTTGTTCGAACACAGCAAGCACAGCAATGAGAAACTGAAAAGCGAGAGGGAGTGAAGAGATTGAAGAAGCTGAAGAAGTAAAAAGGCCCACAACAGCATCCTTCAGTTCAGTTTAGTGTCTTTCCGAGCGTTAAGTGTAGTGAGATAATAATTGTTCATTAAAAAATAAAAACTAAAATAACTCGGTGCGTCGCATGACACAGTTGCAAAGACGTTGTAGTTGGGATCTGACCGTAACTTAGCTATATTGAAAGATGTGATATGGACCATACAGTGATGATTGTGTGGGAGCATGGTATTCCTGTGGATCCTCTAACATAGAATTTTTTCTAATCTTTAGTTTTGTAACGGCACTTATTTAATAATCAACATATTCTATTATTTTCATGATGAATTATAAAACTAGAAGATTTTTTTTTTCTTTCCATTCTAGATGTTTCTTGTTGGTGTAACTGACTGCTATTACTGCCCATTTAAACTTCAACTTCATGCAAGTGTGTTGTAGCCTACAATTTAAATTGAGGACGTTTATCGAAGAAAAAATAAAATAAAAAATGAGGACGGTTTTTTAGAGACAGCTCAGTTTTGTGAAAACGCAATTTTTTGTCATGGCCATTGTATCAGCAAGAGGAGAGCGTTTTTACTGCCACCGTTGGTGAGATGGTATAACTATGTATTTAGAACCAGTATTAATAAAATCGGATCGATTCGGTTGGATTGATCTTAAAATTGATAAATTGGTCATATAATCAGTCCAGTTGAAGCAACGAACCGGCTATACATCAGAATTGATGTGATCCGGTTTGACCCGGCCGATTTTCATGAAAATCGTGACTCGGTCAGGTCCCAAGAAAAAAATTCCAAATTCTTTTTTTTTTCAAAAAAAAAATTATAATTGACATATTTGAATTTTTTTTTACTTATTGACTTACGTAAGTTATTTACCTACAACATTAATATTATCTCAATTATGCATTATGCAGAAAATTTTGATTTGATTTATAGTTAGAGATATCGTTTTCTGAACCTAAAGCCTCGTAGCACGATCAATATATTTTTGTTTGATTTTTTATTGGATAATAATATGTGATTTATTATTTTTTATATTAAAATATTTGAAATTTTTATAATTTTTTTTAGAAATTTGAGTATGTTTATAATTTTTTAATATAAATTATAAAATTGCATATAATTATCGGGTCATGCGGTTGAACCAGTAACCCAGTACCTCGACCAGATCAATGACCAAACCGATTTTAATAACATTGTTTAGAAGAGTATATAATTATAATATTAAAAAAAAAATTCACATCAGTCGATAAATTTTTGAAGAAAAAAATAATTTTAATATTATAACTATATACTACTTAAAGTAATAATTATAATAATAGCATTGCACCTACTTGCACTAAAAATATTTCCCACCGAGAGAGTATACGTAGCATGATGACTTGGCTTCGGCTTATCAGTACTAGTTTGTTTATGATTTCAAGCTCTACGTCGTTAGCACCTAAATATAAAGGTTTCATTCATCGCAAGACTTAATCTTACATCTTATTGCATGAATTAAGATAACCATGCACCAACGACCTACCAAAAAAATAAAATAAAATAACCAAGCACCACTTACATTGTGTTCTTCAAGACACCCATTTTATTCTTAAGAGCATATTTATGTACTCGTATATGGTCATAATAGATTTATTTTGTAAAAAATGTGGGTTATATAAATCTAATTTACTAATTGTAAAACATTTAATTACTCAAATGTTTTAAGAATAATCTTAGGTTATTGAGTTTTCTCATCGTCGTAAAGTTTCATTTTCCATCCGAAATTAATCTCCTTTTTAAATGTGAAAGAAATCATATTTACAAAAATTTATGATCAATTCATTTAATT